GGGGGGGGGGGGGGGGACGAGCACAACAGAGGAATATAACCATAATAAAAAAAAGTACATTAAATTACCTGAATTGAACCTATAGTAAATAAACAAGATGAAAGACCAAGATATGTCTGAGAAACTCTTGGGACTGTAAGCAATTTTTGCATTCCACCGCGATCCACAAACACTGCAGCAAATTTACGATGAGCAGCCAAAGACCAGATCAGCTTTAGAACATCGGGCAAAAGTTGCGAAACTTCAGATTCATCTTTATCATTGAAATTTTGCTGCAATAGTGCAAGACACACGTCTACTCCTTTTTCATGCAATACTGGCCCAAGGACTTCAACATATTCGCCTAGAATCGCAAGACACTGGATGCAGAATTTCTCTCTCAGCTTTGCAAGAGAAAAGCTATCGAGAATGAAAAAATCATCAACTTCCTCACTGATCTTTTCTGTAGGCTTAGGCTCTTGTGAGTCATTAGCACTAGTCACATTTCTATAAACAAACATAACAAAACATCATGAGAAGAAAGAAACAAGACATACAACATAAAGTGAAAAAAATATGGCAACTTGCACATTCTTGCTTCTAAAAATTCAAAAAAAAACCAAAGCTACCAACCTTGCTGCCTTAACTGCAATTGCAGCATCAACTACTGTAGATGCAGCTCTAGAAGCAGCCACAATTGCAGCCTCTTCATCATTTGCCTTTTTGAATTCCTATACAATGAAAAGTTGCAACTTAGTTGAAGCCAACCATAACACCAAATTTTTGAAGCATAAAACAGCATGAAAGATTACTAAGCAAGTAGGAACTAAAAAAGCACACCTCTAAAGCAGCACTTTTAACCACTTCTGCAGCAGCATCACCTGCTGCTCTGATGGCTTCTATAGGAGCATTGGCAGCTTTAGCTTCAGCTTCAGCAGCAGCAACTGCTTTCTTTACCAGACCAGTGATGTCCTTAGAACCAAATTTACAGTCTTGAAAGCAATCATCGTTATCATCCCTTTCCATTCCATGAACATCAGTAGAATTCCTCTCAATATTCTGCTTGCTTTCCATGATTTTTCTCCCATCATAATTCCTTGCTAAATTCCTGCTACGAGCATGACCCCCCATTCTATTTCCAGAGCTAGCAGGAGTCAAAGCTAGTTCATTCTCCATGGCAGCTTCAGTAACCCTAGGTCGCACTCGAGACCTTGCACAACCACGACTTGTCTTATGCCTTGCTGAGTCATCTCTAGAGCTATCATCAACATCTTCTTCCCTTACAGATCTAACACTTTGCTTTGACTTGCCATCATGAAGATCCCTTATGTGTGATTTATCTTCACTCTCAGTCTCAACAACATCGATATTGATATCTACAGGCATCATATCAGATGGTTCTTCATCAATCCAATGTTCATCTCCATCTGCATGCCTGCTGAATATTCTATCACGATCACGATCCCTCTCCGCCAGTTGGTCATCAACGAGGCCATCCTTAGAAAGTACAGGGGCATCCAAATAAGAATTTTCAGGCCCTTGACGCAACCGACCCTTGCCCTCCTCTCTAGTTCTAATACTAGTAGTAGCGGCTTTGCTCTCAACTATTGATGTAGAATCTCGTTGTGCTACGTTTGTCTCTCCCAAGATCCTAATGCGGAGATATCGCATAAGCTTGGCTGGCAATCCGGGGGTTAGCACATCTTCAACTACTTGACTACCACTACAATCATTAGAGTAATTGAAAAAAGCAGGATATAGTCATTTAATAGGAACATCTTTAATAAACCACTCAAGTGACTCAACAAGTTTCAAAAGAATACCTGGTCAGGCAGACAGCAATAAGCCCAGTGGAGAATGTTTTGAGCATTTCAGAGTCTGAAGATTCTTCTCCTGACTCATTCCTCCAATAAAGATCATCCCCGTATTTACATGTCTCCTCCATTGCCCAGCTTTTTAGATTATCCAAAACAGTTTCTTCAAAAACATGAGGATACTGGACGCCATATCAATATTCACAAACGCCACATACAATTACAAATTAGCCAAAATGATAACAACAATTCGTAATAAATTAATGAATAAAGTATGTACCACAAAAGTGAGTGAACAGCTAAAGAGGAGCCTAGTTGCAGCAGCTTGTACAGACATCGAGTATCTTCTTTCAGATAAAAATTTTGATGAAATAAGTTCAAAGAATTCATCATTCTCCTGCAGAGGGGAAACAAATACAAGTTAAGATAAAATAATTGTGTTAATGGCATAAAAAGTGAGGCGAATACACCAGTGCAAGAAGAATAGAAGACAATGACAACTACCCGAATGAGGTTACCCAGCTGTCCAATGTTATGTGAAGAGCGGCCATTTGGGGAAGGACAGCTTACATCTTTCATGTAACTGCACTCAGAGAGAGAAAAATTAGATTACAACAATATAGCATAACTATGAAATACTGTACACGTCAGAACTATTTGTTGACTATATCCGTCGATAAAATCTTTTTATATAGTGGAAGATGTGTCACTAAATTATTTTTTGCTTTTATGATCAAGCAGTTTATGATTATTATTTATGTAGAGCTATTAAGTTGTATCGCTGCTTTACTATCTTAAGCAAACTCCTTGTTGTTGGCTCATTGATTAATCTTTATTAGAAGAACTAAAATGCCCTTGTAAGTTTTAATTGCTTAAAATGTTTAACAGTGGCAACATGAAAAGTACTTACTATGTTATTTTAGGCAAACATATAAACTGCCAATGTTATGTAAGACAAAACATTAAGTAAAACCATCATATTATAATAATGTAAGCCCAACAAAAAAGCTCCAATCTCAACTAAGTATAACAGGGTTTTAAGCCCCCCCCCCAATGGTCCCCAAGACTCGTTCCTTCATTTTCTACACCGGGGTGGGGCATATGGCATAGGCATAGACCATAACCCAATCAATCCATAAAATACAACAACAACAAAGCTATATCCCACTAGGTGGGATTGACTACATGGACCAACGCAAAGGTCCCCCTTGACCACATCGTGTCAAGTCTTCTTAGGTCTACCTCTTACTCTAGCCACATGTCTATTAAGGCATTTAGCGAGATCAATCCATAGAATATTCAAAAAAATAAAAATATACTCCCTCCGTCCAAAAAAACTTCACACTTTCATTTTCTATCCCAAAAACTACCTGCTTTCCACATTTCCCTTTTAAAAAAGGAATATTTGACAATATTTCTCTCTTCTAAACAAACTTTAACTACATGCTTTTCAATTTTTAACATTTCTCATAAAAACTTTTCAATGCTTCTTATTAACTCTCAAATCAAATTATGAAGTCTTAAATCTTTATGGATAGAGGGAGTATGACAATGCCACACTTTCATTTCTAGAAGAAATGTGTAAACTTCATTTTGGGATATCCAACAACAAAAAACAACATTACCCTAGTGTCTCAACGACTCCTGCCCATTGCGGGGTAAGGGAGATGGATGTATGCAGTTTGACCCATATGTTTAAAACGTAGAGCGGCTGTTTCAAGATGACCCATGATGAGCGTTGAAAGTTGCATTGACTAACTACTACTTCACAATTACAAGAAGCGCAGACAGTTTAAAGAGCCAATTTGCTTTACTCCATCATACCCCAAAGCCAAAAAATAATGAATCTTTGGCTCCATAAGGGAATGGAAATCATTTTGGGACATCCAAAAAAATGAAAAGAAAAGTATAAACTTCATTTTGGGATGGATGCAGTATTGAATTATATTGTAAATTTATTATCACTAGATGCATCTTAATGTATAGCTTTGAAATATAATTTTATTAGAGGTACTCCCTCTATCCCAAAAATCTTTATCTAATTTCCTTTTTGGATGTTCCAAAAAGCACTTCCCACTTACTTTAGTAATGGATTTGTGACTCACAAGATTTCTCTCATCCAAACAAAATCATCAATATATTTTCAATCTTCAACACTTTTCTTAAACTTTGGGAAAGTCAAACTTGGTAAAGTTTTAGTTTTTTGAGACAGGAGAGTTTATATATAATACTCCCTCTGTCCCAGTGTATTTGTCTAGTTTGACTTTTTTGAGTCAAACTGGACAAACTTTAAGCTTCAATTAAATAAAAACCATAATATATTTTAACATAAAAATGACTTTATTGGATTTCGTATTGAGAACTTTTAAAATTTTATTTCATTATGCTAATATGCAATATAAATTGAGAGTAATTAGAGTTCAAAGTTTCTCCAGTTTGACTCAAAAAAGTCAAACTGGACAAATACACTGGGACGGAGGTAGTATAAATAAAGATAGTACGGAGTAGTATTCATTATTAGAGTGTTATGTTTTACACTGTTGATCGTGAAAACTCAAATGGAAACCTTGGTTTGGGAAGGATGGAATAATTATTATAGAAGTGTTGTGTTTCCGTGTTAGTGGACGCAAAATGTGTTTCATCACTTTCATGGAAAGCAGTTGTTTTCAACCAATATGTTTCTTTATATCAAAGCCACAAAGAGCCTGAAAGGCAGCTAAGCTGCCCATGAGAATTTGTTTTTCCTTTTAAACCATTGCTCCAAGGAGATAGGCTCCTAAAGAAAAAGCATTCTTATGCAGATAAGGGTATGAGTTATGCATACTACTAGCAGTGTTTGAACCCAGGTAGTAGACCTAGTAATAATCCTAGGAAAAGTATGCAATCGTCCTCCCTTAATCAATCAGTTATGCACATAACTTTAAAAACATACTCTTTCAGTTGCTGACAGAAAAGCTGAAACTAAGAATAGGATGAAAGGATAAACATAGTATGCCTACATAACCTTGTAGTCCAGAAAACTATGTTACACCTCTTGAAACAAGTGCTGCTTCCTGCCCCCAAAATGTCTTTGTTTTGGTACTTGAGGACGTCCTAATTCCCAACACCTACGTTCCTTGTAAAATTTGGTGTTTACCCATTCCCGGCGACATCCCCATATGAGTGTACGCACCCTATCTCTATGTAACTTAGCAAGCAAACTAACTCCCAAGAAGCATGTAAAAGACCCAATGATGACTATTCATATTTTCTTCTGAAATTGATTAAATACAGACATCGATAATAAACTCTTTGTTCTCCCTAACTATACTACTAATAGCGTTGAAGCTGGAAGGGCAATGCCTTTCCAATAATCATCAACTATTCATTTAAAATGAAGCAAAAGAGCAAAGGTGTGTGTGGGTGTGTTATGCCCGACTGAAAGGCTGATAGTAAAACTTAGCAGGCACCAGCAGCAGCATCTGCAAACAAATTGAATGTAACATCTACTACAACAACAAAGCTTGTTGTCCCAAAAATTCAAGAGCAAAAGCATCTGTAGACGTGCGCACACAAACGGTAACGAATTTCCACATACCTGGACTCTTCGAACTCAAGAATGGAGGAGAGAGCGTGCAGTGTATTGGAATTAGGGTTCTCGGCGTTGGCAGTGATCTTGTCCATTAATGCTTGAGCCTTTGAGATCAGCGCGTCGTTAGACTCGTCTCCTTCGTCATCGTCATCACCCCCAGCCTCCTGCGGCTGGTCCTCCTCCTCCTCTGCGGCCGCTCCAGTCTCCTCCGCAGGTGGCGCTTCCGATGGTGCCGCCGTCGATTCTGGTTGGGATTCCATTCTTGACGGCTGCATTACTATCAATCGAAAGGAGAGATGGCGAAGAGGCTGGGTTCGCTCCTCAAATGCTTGTTGATGTTTGTTTAAATTCGGGGGTGTGTTTGCAGAGAGGCACGACTCCGTGAGGGGGCTACGCCGAACGCTTTTATACCAGGGGTGGTAGACTCCCCCCAACCAGGCATCATCAAATGACCCGATTATGAATATATTAGCACGACCCGTCTTAACTCTTAACTTCCTTGGCTAGGCCTTCTCCCTCTAAAAGGTGAGTTAACTTATTTATTCATACCTTCATGTATACCACAAATCACATTTTTTAAATACTTTTTATTAAACGTTTTATATGTTCAGAGTACGTATGCGAATTAAATATGTTTGTGTTTATACATTTGATTTTTTAAAATACGATCTATAATGCGTGCAGATATTTTCAATAAGAAAAATCATTTAAATTTTGCAAATGAATACAGATACATCATACAAATTTTAAAAATTTAATCAACGCTATAATTTATTATTTATTTTCTTCATGTGTATCCAAAAGTGATGTTTAAATCAACTACGAAGTATTATTGTGTACTTCCAAAAAATGTAATCAAAGTAAGAACATGATTTTAGAAATAAACTAACATTTAGACATGAATGGAGCATTTGAGAAATGACAAAACTTATATCATTAGACAATTTTAGTTTTACAAAATTGGTTAAATACTCATCATGAATTTTAAATGAAGACTCAACTGACTTTGTAAAATAAATATAAATTCACTAAATATTTTTTTACGCAATTTAAAATTATGTGAAATGAAATCAACTTTATATTTTTCATTTTTAGAATAAAAATTATAGTTACAAATTAGTTTTTTTAAAAATTTAGATCACATAGACATTTAACTACGGACAAGACTAACTACAAAAAATGATTACATTTTACAATCTAAACAAATAGGATAAAATATTGTTTTCTAGTTTCTACTATTCACCAGAGCAATTAGAGTGTCAGACTCTCAGTCAGAAGAAGTTGAAAAGACTGGTATACCGTGGATGATATTTAGTTAACAAATGGCAATGGTGGATGACTCGACTCGATCTGGATTCTAATACTTTAACAATTGCCGAGTCACCAAAATTTAGATATTTGAATTTTGGGAGAAAGACAACCAAGTAAATTGACCCGATCTAAAATTTGACATTTTAAGGGTGTGTTTGTTGAGCAAAATAAGATATGAGTTTTGATATCTCGAAACGTCGGAATTTTTTTTGGTGTTCAATGAAGCGAAAAAAGATATCGAATTCGATAACTCCAAATATCATAAATCTTTCAAATGAAGAGTTTTGAAATCTCTCAAATTTGGAAGTTATCAATATCGATATGGGGATTTGATATCTATCTCAACCATTGAACATTATTCGTCATCGGCTACCATTGTCACTGTCAATTACTCCCGTTATCAGTCACCCCTACTAAATCTCTCCAAATAAATTTGTTTAAGATTTCAAACCATATCATTTCTTTCAGATTTCATAACCCATATCTTATCATATTTTCAAAATTCACCAAACGGGCCTTAAATTTTGATTGTTGGAGTCGATGGAAGAACATTTTTACACTTTAATACATATAAAATTTGTAAATACGTTTGGGGTAAAAAAAATACATATATTATATGTTTGTTATATGACAAATTTGTATTTGAGAACATAATGCACATATTATACATGCGCGTGTATAATACACATATTATACGCGAATAAGCTAACAAATCTAGATTATGACCCCGTTTGGCATCAACGTTAGATATTAGCGTTAGCGTTTTGAGAACGCTATCTAACGGTAGCTTTTAGCGTTAGTGTTTTCCGAATTAATTTACATCGTTAATATTTTATCATAAACGCTAACGTTAATTGAAAACGTTCTTTCACCAACAAGGCCTATGACTATTTATTTAGCACAACCCGTCTCAACCCCGTTGGCTAGGCCCATAACTCTTCCTCCTAATATGCAGCTGCAACTACCCTTTTTGGCGGATATACTACTCTTTTTAAAAATAAATTAAAAAAAAATTCATATTTTCTATTTGGACTAGTACCAAAAAATATGTATCCAAAATATATTTGAAACCTAAATATGTCCAAACTGATATATTTTTGAAATCAAAATATATCCGAACTTAAAAAATATCTAAATGATTGATATCCAAACCAAATATGTGAAACCCAAAACCGAATCAGAAATGTATGGAATCGAATTATATATTGAAATTAAACCACGCCAATTATAACATATAACTGAAAAATATTATTCCCTCCGTCCCAAATTATAATGCCTGTTTACTATTCACAGGGTCAAACTTCATTCACTTTCTTTCTCTATTTTAATTAGTAATTTGATAAAATAAAATATTATTGTCACTACTAGTTTTGTAGATCTTTTGATGTAGTTTTTTAATATGTAATTTTTATTTTTTAATTCTATATCATTTGTCCTATAAAATACTTTGAAAATAATTTCAGTCAAACATCGTAAACCGAAACAGGCGTTATAAATTGGGACGGAGGTAGTAAAATCAAAAAAAATCCAAATCAGAAACCAATCTAGTTGATCCGAGAAAACCCAAATGATTGTCGTCTAATAATTTTTGTTTTATTAGGAAAGTAAAGATGTGAGAGTTTTTTTTGAGGCGTGGGGGAGTTATTGAGGCGATCGTTCTAGAAGAACGAATATTTTCATTTTCATGGAAATTATTCTCTATCCCCACACTTTCCATTATTTGGTAGAAAGAGTTATCATTATTATTTCTTTCAAAAAATCTTTTTCCATTGGAAAATAAGTTTTTATGTTGGTACAACATTGGGGTAAAATGATCAAAAATTTCTTTACTTTGTTCGTGAAATCAGGGGGCTCAAATAGTGAGTATGTAGGAAAGTTGAAGGCACAGAAGGAGATGAATATAATCATCTAGCGTGCCCTCATGATTCAAACCAAGCATGTAGCAGTTAACTTGGCGTTCTTATATATTTCAAAACACCCCAGTAGGTGTAAATATTTCAAAACAACCTGAGAGTATCTAATTGGGTGTGTGTGTGTGTGTGTGTTTATATGTGTGTGTGTGTGTGGTGAAGATGTTACAAGGTTGTAATACCAACTGGCACACAGGGCCTCCAAAGGGTACCCTCATTTCCAGCATCCATTAGAGCTATTCCCTTGGCACATAAATCGCTCCTGATCTCGTCACTTTTTGAGAATTCTTTCTTCTTCCTTGCCTCGGCGCGTTCGTTTATTTTTTGCAAAATATCATCCTCGCTCAAACCTGCCCTCTTCAGTGCCTTGTCTTTTAGTTGCTGCAGAACCTGTCCAACCAAACAGGAACACAAACTTATCCCCAATTTTGTAACAAGCACAGTACAATCAGAACAAAAGTGAAGAACCCCCCCAATAAGACCTCGGGATAGGGCGAATCAGACAGCAATCCTAGCACCATCAACACTCTCCTAACTCCCTTCTCTAATTCAGTCAGATAATGCAGAGTTGATTCCTGTTGCTGCTTCTTCTGGAATGATGAATGCAAAACCAAAAAAGAAAAAAAGAAAATAAAAGATAAGAGGTTGGTTAGTAAAAAAAAAAAAGTTTACAGGCCGGGGCTGATAGTCCTGAACCATCGGAGGAGGAAATCCATACCTTGATGAGGCTGGTGGAAGAGTTCATGGACCTCAGAGCTTCTTGAAGAGTGGCATTTAAAATAGTGGGGGTATGTAGATCATCAGACAATCTTTTCTCGAAATCGTCATTTAACTTATTGATACTCTCTTGAGCAGCAGCACTCAAACGAGGTTTGGCACTCAAGACTTCAACCCTTTCTCCAACAGCTCTCACAGCATCTTGGCAGTCTCGTAACGTCTACCCCACCAAAAGAAAAAAAGAAAATGAACCAAATAATAATAATAAGAAGAAGCGATAATTTCCTCTATCAAGATACATGCCACTTCGAGTCAGCCTGTACCCTTGGTGGTATGAACTTGTGCCGATTTCACTACACATTATTAAGATCACATTTTGACATTAATTCATTCACAGATTTACCTGATATATGTAGAAAACTGCTACTGATGCAATCTCCATCTGTGGAATTGAGTAGTTTACTGGAGAACGATAGTGAGTCCCCAATAAAAAGTACCTCAATGCAAGGGGATGATACGATTCTGTAACCTACAACACAAATGAATCAAACTGAATGGATCAGACAAATTTGATAAACGACAGCTGCAAGAATCCCCACAAGACACGCCCAGAAAAAAAAAATACAGCAGTAAAGCACCTCACGGATAGTCTTGAAATGCTTCGAAGATTTTGATACTTTCAAGTTATTTTCTGTGACAAATTCATTGTGTACCCAGCAAGTAATTTCACTCTCTGGGCATGCTGCACAACTTTGGGCTATCTCATTCTCATGATGAGGGAAAAGCAAATCCATCCCACCACCATGAATATCAAATCTATGAGTCAAATACTCAGCACTCATAGCAGAGCATTCTATATGCCATCCAGGTCTTCCAGGACCCCATGGGCTATCCCAACTAGGTTCGCCAGGTTTCGCGGCCTGAGAAAAGACAAACAAAAGTGATTCCTTGCAGGCTCCAATAAAGAGAAGACAATGCCTATCACAGTTCTAAAAGATTCTTTTAACCTTCCACAAAGCAAAGTCAGCAGGATTTCTCTTTCTAAAATCAACCGCAACACACACACACACACTTATATATATATACACAAAAACACATACATAATGGAAATGTACGGACCTGAAGAGAATGCCGAACACAACATAGGCACGAGCATGGCCAACGTGGCTAAAGTTATACGGAGTAATACCACAGACATACATTCCGACTTTTCCAGGATTCATTGGAGTGAATATCTCTTTTTGTTTCGTCATACTGTTAAATAATTGAAGCTCCGAAAACTTCTTCGTCTCCTCCATTGTTTCTGGAAAATTTTCTGTTATTAATTACTTGGTGATTATTTCTAGCACTTTCACTCATTCTAAAGATTTTGTATGAAATTCACCGCTCATGGAGATCCATTTTGCAAGCAAAACATGGTCTATAGAGTTAGATCTATATGAAGTTCTCTTCTAGAGAAAATGAATTCAAACCTTTCGGGCACGACAGTGGTTATGATTATACAAGCATTGTGTCGATAAGTATGCGCACTTAGATTTATCATTTATATGTATGTGTATCACGTGCAGAGTTGCTTGTCGCACGGTAGCCAAAACACATGCAAAGGGTGGGTATCTCAAGCTTATCAAAATTTCGATGCTCAAGGACGTGATACGCAAAAGTGGGCATACAAGTAAAGGATTCAACATGAGGACATTAAGCAATAGTGTAAGACAATTGAATGTAAGGAAAATGATTTTTTTTTGAATTTGAGAGCATTGTGAGACTGTGTATGTGTCTCAAATAATTCACACATTTTGAAAATATGATACACGATAAGCATGTTTAATTGGTATTGGATCCTTACAAGTGTAACACACAGTAAAAGCCTTACATGCAAAAGACAATCTTTCCCCATAAATCGCACAAAATAAAACAAACTTAAATAGCTATTACATTTGGTTCAGTTCTGCATTTTATTTTTGCAGAATTTCAGTGTTTCTATTACAAATGGCAAATTGTATAACACAAAGAGAACATATTATAGTGGATAGTATTACTTATAGGATCCAACGACCTAAAGAAAGTTGGTAAATATGAAGTTCAGATATGTTTGAAGATAAATAGCTCAAATCCACTGAGTAAAAACTCAAAGAAAAGGCTTGTGTACGAATACAATTCTTTCAAAGACATGGCAAGTATCAGGGCCGGTCCTGAGACTTCAACGGCTTGGGCCGAGACAGGAAAAAAAGGCCTTAGAAGTCTTATCCCTAATTCCTTATTGGTCTAAACAATTAAAATATGTAAACTAATTATATTTAAATGACAATTAACCCAATAGTATTAAAAGAAAATGAGTAAATGACAAAATCATAGTAGTATAATTACATAGTGTAAAAGCTAGCCGAGAATTTGTAAAGTTCTTCTTGCATTTTTTTTAGAGAAAATTGGTTGATCACATCTTAGTGAAATCAAATACAGAAATACAAACTTTAAATTTCCAAAAAAAAAACAGCTCTTCATATTACAAAATTAATAGAATTTCAGATTTTCACAACAAATTCATAACAATTGGAGAAACTTTCAAATAAGGGTTTTCAATTTTTCACATGACAAATTCATATAACAAAATGTCAAATTCACAACAAAAATTCATAACACAAATTTATAAAGATTAAAGATTTTTCATATTTACACATAACAAAATGTAAAATTCTTAAAGAAATTCTGAAATTAGTACGGAGTATTATTTACCTCCGCACCTGGACTCCTGGACCTGGAGGCTGGATAGTTTCCGGCGAGGCGGTGTCTGGCGGGCAGCGGCTAGACTCTGCAGCAGTGGAGCGTGCAGGGGGGCGGCGACTCTCTCTCGGCGACTTCCTTCTGGCGTCAATTTCCGTTCGTGCTTGGGCGTTTGGCTACTTCCGCTTTCTTCCGTTATATGGCTAATTCATATAACAAAATGTCAATATATACGGAGTACTCCGTAATATTTAAAAAAAAAAATTAGGCACCTTAACTTGTTGGGCCCGGCCCGGTCAGATTCCAAATTGAAGATGCAATTATTATTATGGTCAGGGATTTGAGATATTCTTTTTTCTATGATATGAAGGCCTGTCAAAATCGGGGGGCAAATTGGACTTTGAGAAAAAAGTGTGTTATAAATAATCATACCCGAGACGTTTAGGAGGGAACTCGCACGGTTCATTTCGTCACTTTCCCTGTGTGTATTAGAAGATTTTTGGGGGTTTGGTGGAGTGAGAGCGCGAGATGGGGTTGCTCACAAACAGAGCGGAGAGAAGCGAGATCAAACCGGGGGATCACATATACACATATAGGGCTGTTTTTGCCTACTCCCACCACGGTATGTAAATGTAGTGCCCCCTTCAGTTATTCCAATTCAATCTCGTTTAATTCCTGCCCAATTTCTGTGTTTTTGATTGATTCCTTCAATTTCTGCCGGCTGCGTTTCTGGAATGGGTGTGTCAAATTTTGCTTTGTATTGATCCCCTATTCTCGTCGTTTGCAATCTTGATGGGATGATGATCTTAATTAGGGCTTGGCAATTTTTTGCATTTTGCGGGTTTTGTTTTTGTTGCTTGTACTGCCCAAAACTTCACAAGAGAAGTAAAGAAAGGGATGTTTAGCATGTCATTTTGATGATTTAGTTCATTATTTCTTCTCCAAAGTAATTGTTCTAGCTCCACTGGCAAGTGAAGTTAAGAGTGGGTGTATTATTTCTGATCTGCATTGGAAGGAATTTTAAACGTGCTTGTGTTGTGTTCTTGTCTCATTGTTTTGGTGCACACAACAGGCATCTCCTTCAATCTAATACAGATAAGTTGAATTTAGGGCTGGTTTGGGAATAGTATTAGAGGTTAGCGTTAGCATTTTGAAAAGACTGTTTACGGGTAGCGTTTAGCGTCAACGTTTTCAGAGTTAACCTGCACCATTAAAATTTTATCCAAAACGCTAACGCTGATCGAAAATGCTATTCCCAAACGGGGCCTTAGATGTGTATGCCATATGTAATTAGAGTCATTATTTTCATCTGAATCTTGTAGTAGTATTTAGTACACACCATTGTCTATCATCCTAACTCACAAGGGGCATTATCATCATCATGCGGAGTATTTAATTTGTGGATGCAACTTGCATCATAATGATAAACACACACAGGCATATATGTTGGTGGAAGCAAAGTTGTTCATTTTACCCGCACCGAGAGCTCCATTGCCGGTGCCGACGGGGACGGGGATAAATTAATGTTGCTGAACCTTTCATCATCATCATCATCCTGCCCAAACTTCCCTGACTGTGGATTCCAGCAGCAACCAAACAGTGGCGGCAGCGGAGTAGTCCTCTCCTGTCTGGACTGCTTCCTCAAGAATGGCTCCCTTTACTGCTTCGAGTACGGGGTGAGCCCTTGTGTCTTTCATGCCAAACTCCGAGGGGGAACGTGCACCACCGCACCATCCGACCCCCCTGAGACGGTCGTACACCGAGCGATGCATCTTCTCCTCCAAAACAACGGGTTTGGGAATTACGACGTGTTCCGGAACAACTGCGAAGACTTTGCCCTGTACTGCAAGACGGGGCTTCTGAGTCTGGACAAGATGGGGGTGGGGAGGAGCGGGCAAGCATCCTCGGCCATCGGCGCCCCATTGGCGGCGCTCGTCTCTTCTCCTCTCAGGTTACTGATGCCCGCCGCCGGGCCTGTCGGCTTGGCTGCAGTCACCGCGGGGATGTACTGCATGAGCCGTTACGCCACCGATATTGGTGTCCGTACCGATGTTGTCAAGGTAGCAGTTGAGGACCTGCCTGCCTACATATGAATGAATATGATGAATGAACCTACCCTTTGCTTCCATTTTGAATTGGTCATTGTAACTATTTTGGTTTATGGCATTGTGTGTGAACAGAGAGTGAGTAATAGACTTTTTATTGGTCTTTTTAAGTTGTTGCAACAAATGCTTTAACTTGTCTTCAATTTTACACCAATTCAATCGATTCAAGTTCATCAATTGCGTGAAACACATTATTCATTTTGTTAAAATTTTAAAAAAAGACGAGAAGTGGCATGATTTTTTTACAATAATGAATGTAAATTTGTGTTGAAATCCAAACGTTAAATACAATCAATCTATTAATCACAGTACAATTTGTAAGTCACAGATTTCAACAGCATAACACAAGTCCGAACATCAGCAATAATACTATGAATGTCATCATGACCATTAAATGGCAATCCATCGTTCCAACAACAAAATATTACTGGCAAAAACCCACAGTTCTGTTCAGTTCAGATATAGCCATTGTTGTTTTGTTACCAATGGCCATGAGATAGAATTTGTTTATATAAATGCAAGAACACAAACACACACATATAGTTATAAATAATGATGTATATATACTACGGAGTACAAAGAATATATTAATGGGTCGCCGGGGCGCTGCTTCCTAACCCCATCTTCTTCCCCAGCACTGCAAGCTGCTCTACAAATTCACCTCCCGTTAGAATCTCCGTGGCGCCGTATATGATATGCTTGACTGGCTGCTGCTGCTGTTGCTGATGCCGCCGGTTTGCAAGATCCTGCAAGCTGCCATACTCCACGTAGTTCCCGCCTCCAATCATGAACACTATGGCTTCTTTGAATGGCCCTTTGGGCAGATGCCCCCCGCTACTTGCTGAAGGGGCACGTGGATCGAAGACGAGGTAAGGGTCGGTTTCTGGGTTCGGCTTCCCCTCCATCAGCGCTTCAACTGTTCTGGACAGCGCCAACTGGTGGTCCCCGGCTAAGAGGTTTTTCACACCGGCAGTCACAGCACTGATTGACTGCCCATACAGCTTTTCTGCCCAATCCACAATATTGTTCCTGCTGGCTGCTGAATTTGCAGAAGCTAATGAAACGTTTAGAGATTTTATTTTCTTCACGTACTGAAAGGCGCTTGTGTCCACCTCGCACTCTCTTAGGGCAGCCTCAATCGTTTCAATCTCTGATTGAGGGATGTTCTCACTTGAAATGATGTAGATGATGGCGAACCGGAGCTTGTCCAACTTTGTCCCCTTCCCTTTTAGCACCCCAAGGACTTCACTGCGGTCAATCCCACCTTTGACCATCATGTCATCCTCTTTTTTTGCATAAGTGTCAAGAGACCTCTCCTTGATTTCGCCCAACAATGCAGTCGCAATATTAGTGTGCTTGTCTATCACTTGCTTCCTTTCGGTCAGCTCAGGCAGTGAATTCACAGCATTCATCAAATGCTTCGTGTTGCCAATCAAATCGGTCCCATCAAACTCGGCTCCACCATCGTTGCCTCCGGTTCTCCTGTTTACCTCCTCCACATCCTTCTTGTATTTATTCAGCTGGTTCTCAATCTCTAGAGCCACCTCTGGGAATTCCAGTGATCCATTTGCCATCCAGAACAGATCAGATCTATCAAGCTCGAAGGATTTCGTCCCCCCGCCCTTCTCCCCTTGCACAGTCAGCCTATTCAATCTCAGCCCAAGAACATCATGAACAAGGGGTCTATACCTAAAGTCGTGCTGAATAGCAACAGACAACTCGAAATTCCTATCGAACAAACACAAAACAGGCCTCTGAAATGATATGGAAAAATTGCCGCCTTCGGAGAACAAGTTGTTTTTCACCAACAAATGGTCTCGCAGACGCTGATCCAGCAACGACGCCACCATCTCGGCTGGGCCCCCACGAGGGCACCTGATGATTGGCACCACAGCAAGCGTAGCCAAAACGCAGAACAAGCCACTCACAATCTTCTCAATGATCTCCTCAATGTCTTTATCACCGGCAGAGGGATCATTCAACTGAACATAGCAGTTCTTGTTTGCGAGTGAAAATAAATTGTCCTCAAGGGTCACAAACTCCAAGTACTGATCATGCACTTTTGCTATCCTCTGAATAGAGTCCGAACCAATAGTACCTGGGGAGTAATAACATCATATATCCACTCTCCATTGTCAGTGTTTGGAAAAAGTAGAAAAAAGATGCAACCTTTCAAGACCAGTGCCTTTGGATCTACAATTCTTTTAAAATGCAAATGAAGATTAATGAAAAGAGCAAAGCAAAAGAAGTTTGCAAATGGTGCCCAGTTTCTAAGTGGGTCATAACAGAATGAAGGTAGCAAGTGTAAACACACGGTAGGCTTGAATTCTTTCTTGTATGTAGCTATCATCGATTTGAATTTGATATGTGTAACAGTAGTGACCAAAAAGGACTAGTTTATACACCCTAAACAACGCTATGCAACAACAATTCGAGGAAAAAGAAACAAAGAGATGAGGAAGGTATGAAAGGAATGCGTACCTGATGCTAGGTCCTCCAGCAGGGGTCTAGGGATGGAGGAGGAGAAATTGAGGTGAAAGGAGTCATAGAGAGACTTGGAGGCGTCGGCGATGATGCGCGTGACATTGGAGTGGGTGGGCTGGACAAAGTAGACGGCGGGAACGTCGTGTACGGGCTTGCGATCCTTGTCTATGAGGAAGTAGAGGGTGACGCCGTGCTTGCGGAGGTCCTTGACACGGATGAGCGGCGACAGTATGTCCTGGCAGAAGCGGTCGTAGATGAGGATCTTATACACCTCCTCGTTCGCCGTCCCGCCGGGATTCACCGGCTGATTCAGATTCAACACCCTCGCTATGCACTCTGCGGCGGAGCGGACAAGATTCGATCAGATTCAATATCAGATCCAAGTTAGACAATCCAATCCACACACAGAGAAACGGAGGGAGGGGGCGAAAATTGAAGTGAATTACCGGTTTGTTTCTGACGAAGATTGAGCGCCATTGCAGGAGAGCTCCTCCTCCTACCTACTAGTGAGAGATGCGATTAAGAGAGGAGAGGGGTCTTCCTTCCTTGGCTGAGCTTCGCGATCCACGCAGAAGAAGAAATGGAATCTAGCAGTTGATTATAGTGCAAAGGCCTGTTGAAGATGTGATCAATTTTGGGATTTTTTACAGTTTACTTCGGAAATTGATGATAGTTTTCTACGACTTTAGCATTGGCTATTTTGGGTTTGAGAGCTTCTGGCTTTGTTTGATGGCCTTTATGACAGAGTTTGAAACAAAGAAGAAGAAGAAAGAACGCAAGAATTTTTTACTCCAATCTCTTTAAACAGAGTTTGATCACTTTGATGGCTTTTATTACAAATTGTTTTACTCCAATCTCTTGATAATTTTTTAAAATATTTATTTGTTTGTTTCATTAATTGTTTAAAAAACTAAAATATTTTTTTCTTTTGAATAAATTTTATAATTTGACGCGTATCTTTTTTTATGAGTTCCTTTCTCAATTAGTCTTTTTTTATCTTCTATCATAGTCAACGGCTAATCAACCATAATTATTATTATTGTGTTATGCGTCTAACTGATATCAGAATATGCAAATGGATATATGGTTCATGTCAAATTACATATTTAGCTCTCAAATTAACAGCAACATGACAAAAAACAAGTTTATTTGTGAAAATGTGCCAACAACGATATACTAGGGGAGTTATATTAAAAAATCTTCTGTTATAAAGAACTAATTAAAATTGTTTTTTAGTATATAATTTTTTATTTTTATACCAATTTTTGTATAAAATGATTTCAAAAAACACAAAATTTTACTCCGTATCTCATAACTCTCAACTTATAATCTAAATTGAGATGAAGGGAGCAAATATTTGAGAGGATATGGATAAATGGGATATCAAAATATGAAGCAATAAAAATTACAGAGTAATGTTTAGTGAGTAAAGAGAGTTTTTTTAGTGTTAATAGCTCTATTATAATTTTTTTAATAAAAAAACTCTTACTCCCTCCGTCCCAGAGTATTTGTCCAGTTTGACTTTTTCGAGTCAAACTGAACTAATTTTGAACTTCAATTAAATAAAAACCATAAAGTATTTTAATATAAAAATGATTTTATTGTATTTATCGTATTGAGAACTTTTAAAATTGTATTTCATTATGCTAATATGTACTCCGTAATACAAATTGAAAGTAATTAGAGTTCAAAGTTTGTCCAGTTTGACTCGAAAAAGTCAAACTGGACAAATATTTTGGAGAGAGGTAGTATAATTGTAAGATTTGTTCATACATACTATTTTAGTCTTCTGTAACATGCAGTATATCTTTCTTAATAATTATATACTACATATCAGTCAAAACACATCCAAAAAAAGATTTAAATCAAGGAAAATTCACATCAAAATGCTAACATAAGCAACAGAGAAATTGACAATGATGAACCCACATTGTGATATCAAGAACAATTGTGGGACCAAAACAATGATTTTCCCTTTACAAAAACACACTTAAAAAAAGAATATAAATCCTTAACAAATTAGAGAGAAAAGGTCCTCCATGATAGTATTATTATATACACATGCAGTCATTTTCCATTTTTACAGTACATTCATTACATAACAGTCACAAAGGGAACCACAAGAATAATACTTTCATGCAGAGTTGCAGTTTGGAATTTCACAGTGACTATATTAGACACACACACTATATACACATCTGTCATGAACTTGATCCACATTCAACCGATTCGGCAGACTCGTCATGAGGTTTACCATTCACTTGTGGCAACTTTCTGTCGCATTCAGGCAAGTCATGAGGTTCCGATTGAATTGGTTTCTTAAACTGAACCAATATCATAGTCATGTTGTCACATCCCTCGCCTCCAGCCGTAGAGGGCGCCAAACACGTGTCTAGAACTCTCTCGCACACTGCCGAAAGCTTACTCTCCTGCACAATCGAATTAGGCTACATTTGGAATGAGAAAAATGTAAAAGATAAAAATAAAAGAAATTATAAAATGGCAGTGTTTGGTTTTGCCTTCACAAATACGTGAAAAGCTCAAATTGATTATAGCGTTTCAATTTTGCATGACCACAATTCTTAGTCTTGATCTACAGAGTAAGATAGAGGGAGTATATACAAATAGCCAAATACAATGAGTTTGAACAAATATGTAAAAACTAATTTAAAAATAGAACATTTCCCCCCTTAATCTTATGTCCTTCGAAGTTGTCCTTTAGTGGTCAACCTAATTTTTTTATTCTCCTACACATTTTATAGTATAAGATTTTTTTAGGGTGTTGCTAAACCCACTTCCAAATGGTTATATCCACAACTTTCATCTAATTTTGCAAAATCCACATCAATAATAAATTTATATCAAGGGGTGTCGATTTAGCAAAAGTAGGTGAAATGTGTGGGTTTAGCCATTTAGGGAGTGGATTAGCAACACCCTTTTTTTATCATATTCAATTTTGCTTTTTGTAGTTTAATAGAACCTTTAATTCCTTTTTTAATACTAGGCAGTGCATATATAATCAGCTCCAGAGCACTTACAGAGTGTAGCTGCTCATGTATAAAATCAACCAATTGCTGGCTAGACATACAATCCCTGAATATAGAAGAGGATCAATCAAAACCAGCACATGTAGTAAGTATAAATGTACAATGTTCACATTCAGCATCATCACCGTATGAAGCTAGAAGCTTGTGCTTAATAAATAAAAAGTTAAAAGAAAAAACAAATAGTGGTAGACTGATTGTTCATCAACCTTAGATTAGAATATGGTTCCATATCTTCTGGATTCATAATCTAGAAATCATTCCATATCCTATCCTTTTCCGTTTTCAAAAAAAATGATTATCTAAAATAGAGAATTATTTTAAGAAGTCTAAGAAAACTAGACATCTGAATTCCAAAATTAAGAGGTAAGAACAATATACTGATTTAAGAAGCACATAATCCGGATACTCCCTAGTCCCTCCATCCCTAAATAAATGTCCTAGTTTGACTTAATGGAGTTGAATATCATTGCTGAAAAGTGTAAAGCATGTCAATGCAATTTGTTTAGAGGAGATAGAAATGTTATTAGCATGATCACACGCACGTGCACACACACATATAGTCAGAGTAGGACAGGTTAGTTTTGGATTGATGCTTTCTAGGAAACTAGATGTGCCAGAATATTGAGTTTTGAAGTATCATGTCAGTATTGCTCTGTAGTTTAATCATATCACTTCTGGTTCTTTCAAAATTTCCATACGAAAACAAAAGAAAAAAAAAAAGGCAAAGAGCAGTCTAAAGCACGTACCATATGCCATCACAAGCTAGCACCATAAAATCATCATCCTCACATAACTCAACCTAAAAAACAATTGAGAAAAAAATGAATATATATATATATATGTATATATATGTATATATATAGATATATGTATGTGTGTGTGTGTATCATGGTTGTTAAGTCGAAAAGTCAAGTCGAGTCGGTGAAGAGAAGACTAGTGGATTAGTCGACTCGTCGGCCTACTAGTCGTAGACTAGTCGACAAATCACAATTAGTATTGAGATTTTTAACATTACACACACACATCTTCGTTGACCCAAGATAACTATATATATTTATATGACAAAATATCATAACCAAAACAAAATTATGTTTAAAGGTAGCACATAAAAGTCACATAGTGAAGGGTACATAAGAAACAAATATCCTTCAATCTTCAAAAACCACATACCACCAAAGATAATATGCACAAAAAGAAGTCAAAGAACAGATTAAATTATTTAATTCCATGTTTTGATTTATCAAATATCATCATCCAACGTTATGCCATCATGACGATTTTCTTCCATTGTGGAAGATGGCGATGAAAGAGACATCGAGATTTGAGAAGGGTTAAAGTCGACTGTGATTGTGCTGTGAACTGAGGGAGGCAATGTTTTATGGAGTATTTTTTAAAATTTAATGAAATTTGGGCCGGGTCGGATCGGGTTGTGTCAAATTGGGTAGGTTTCTGTCAGCAACTAGTCGTTGCTTAAGCGCGACTAGTCGTCGCTTTGCTCGCCCAGACGACTAGTCCACCTAAGTCGCTAGTCGAGATGCAAGTCGCCACTCAGAAAACGACCGGACGACTAGTCGACGACTTGATAACAATGATATATATATAAGCAAGTCTAAAATGACACCCGTGTTACTAGTGTCATTTGCTTACACCGGTTCACTTGAAGCACCTACGGTGCCCCGTTGGTAAAAATGATGGTTCCTACCCCTCTAACCTCCCCCCTAAACCCCCCTCCCTACCCTGGCAGCGCTATTTGGGATGACCAGTTGCTGCTCTGCTTCGCGATGAAAAAATGGAGGAAACGGCTTCAGCATATTATTTTCTCTCCGTAGCTGATAATAGCTAGTCAGTCATCTTTGAGGAGGAAAGCTAAACGCACTAAAATGAATGAAAAAATAATTCATCGTGGTATACAGAGGCATAACGGCGTAGGGGTAAAGTGGGAATTAAAAAACAGCGTACAAGATCCAAAGCTAAATGTACTATTTTTTGGATGGAAAAAGAGCATAATATTAAAAGGTGCCTAACCCTCTTTCACATTTATAATATGTCGCCACTAAAAAAGATAATGCCCATGTTGTATTTTTCCAAATACTAAAAAATGGGAGATTTAAAAAGATCTAACATGTTGCATCCAAATAAACAAAAACCCCCGACTTGGCTTCACTTAAACAATGAGTGTGTGGGCTAGCATGGGTGTTGAGAGAGAGATAGAGTACTGTATTTATGTCTGGATTGGCCGTTATTATTTGCCTCTCAGCTGGCAAAAACTTATTCTGCTTGAATTCCATGTCTCCTGCAAAGATTGAAAAAATAGTGTTATGGCTGCAATTCTTGTATATTCTGTGAATCAATGAGATATCAATTTTCAGTTGTGGCAGTATTAAAGAGAGTGAGCCTATTTTCATGTTGATATAAACTGGAACACAGGGTGAGGAGTACTGAATAGTTGACACTTGCCAGAGAGCGGAAAGGAATAAAACCATCAGGTGCATATTTGACCTTGATTTGGGGATCATAGCACATCAGCATCCTTAATACTACACATTTTTTTAGAAATATCATAGGTTTGATATAACTAAGGGGGTTTTCTTAGGAGAAGAGTAGAAGCAAGAATTCTAAAACTCTCTCCATTTTATTAAGAGAGTCCGGTTCATAAAGTTGCAACATTAAATTTCGGTAAGGTACAACCATTAAAAAGCATGAGCATTGGTCTTTTTATGGGACAGAGGGAGTATTTCATAGCTTCAATGAGGAGGGGTGGTGCGAGAAATAGCTCTTGCCGGAGAAGAGAAAGCTAGCTGCTGGCATTTCCTGCTACTGAACAATGGATACTCTCTCAATTTTAAAAAATCCGTTATGGATTCTCTCTCTCTCTCTCTCTATCTATCTCTCTCTTCCGTCCAAACATATATTCATAGTGATGAGAAGAATAATAGTAGAAGATATAAATATATAATACCTATAGCTCTTGCAAGGTTTAGACTTCCATTCACTCGCCCATGATGAATGAAACCACCGGCTTTCAAAATCCGTTCTCTTTCAACCTCAAGCTCAGGTTTGTGATCCCTTGACAGATTGTATGCCTGCACGAAAAGAAAATTCAGCTCAGGCACTACAATATACTACATGATAGCAATTCAGAAGCATGGTCCCCCAACTCCCCGAAGTGCAAGTCAAATGTTGTGACTCGCTCGAGTATCGAGAAAACGAGAATGTAAAAACAGGTCTGCCTAAAATATCCTCATACAAATAGTGCATTATAGTCTTCGTAGGTTATCCACTACCTGACCCTTCCTTGAAATCACACAGCGAGAGTCACCGGCATTTGCAACAACAAGGTGGTTGCCTCTAATGATTGCAGCACAAGCTGTACTTCCAGAAGTGGGTCCAGAAAAATCAGAGTGGGGTCCCTAACAGTGTGATTAGCGATTAGCCACAAGTCCATAAAATACGAGAAGAATGAAAACAATGAGCATTATTATAGGACTAAGGTTTTGCTACAGGTAGTAGAACAATGACATCAATGAACTTTGGTAGCATAACTACTTGTCATGAACTATGTAACTAAATAATACGGCTCATATCATAGTTTCAAATACCTCCTCAAATGCCCAATCATCATGTTGATCATTTCCTTCGGAGTTTCTTGAGGACCATATCAAACCTTCTATCAGACCGGTGAGCTTGATCAATTTATCACCCAGAACAGCAAGCTCCCGCCACCCTCTCTGTCCACGCATCATCTCATCCATTCTTCATCATTATATATAAAACAAGGTTAGAATGACCGGAGAAACCTGAATACCGCTCCAAACTTCTCAAATGAAAATAAAAGGTAAAAACATTACTTCTTACTCTTAGTAGGCATATATAGATAATACTCCGTAAATAAACATACATAGTTGCAAAAAACATTAAAAATGCTCGACAAACTTATTAATCCAGAAGAGAATCAGAGTAAGATTCAATATAAATTAATATTCAAACTCACACATGGGAACTGAATACTATCTAATAATACAAACTTGAAGCAGTGTGAAAATGAAAGAAGAAAAACCCCACTAGCCTGAAAAAGAGGATGTCTGTAGGACTGTACTTTTAAACCCGTTTTTGGTTATATCAGTCCTTAGGTTTGCTACTGGATATTTGGCCTTACAAGAAGAATTAACCCCTTTCACACAATGATATATGTACTGGTGCTTTCAGAAGAAATAGAGTGTATCCAAAAAAAAGTTAAAGTTACACAATAACACAAGTAAACAAGATCAGGCTTGCATGCCAAACAGCAAGAGTAATAAACAATATTTCTAAACCACATTTATTGTGTGCCTTGGAGATTGATCTCATTATTACTTATTTAAAAGGTTGCAATTTGCAATATGCAAAGTTGTGACCGGAAGGGCTTCCGGCATGAACCATTTTCACCATCTTTTTTGTGTAAACTAATTTATACAATTAATTGACAATATACATTTTGATAAACTCAAAGAGAATCGATTGTGAAGGTTTGAAGTGTGAACACATAAAAACAAGACCTAACGAAGTACCAGTTAGAAGACTTGAGGGGGTGTTCAAATGAATTGTGCAGTCCCAAAAGCACATGGGAGGATGTTATTAGGAGAAATTTCTCTTGACTGAATGCAGACAAGAGTATGGTTATGCATAGAAAGAAATGGCGAGAGAACATTCTGCGAATGACCAGACATGATTCTCCTCTTAGTTCATGTAGCCAACCCCAAGTTACTTGGGATATAAGGCTTAGTTTTTTTTTTGTTTATACATTTTCTGATAGTTGGGATTAAGGCGATCATGATGGCACTGATTTCTAATCCATGTTTACTTTAGCATCAAATTAAATATAATTTGAAGAATCATCTTACGAATATCATAAACAAACATTACATATTTGATCTAAATAATTAATGCCAAGTCTTAAAAATAATACTTGGGTCAACGAACATGTTACCATTTTTCTTTTAAAGTGAAAAATTTATGGTTCATGTTGTTTCGCTCTCTTTTAAATAAATCTAAACCATACAGTTTTCAACTTTTCATTTTCTAATTCTTCGCGCCAAGTCAAACTTGGCATTGTCCATTGGGTCGAAGGGAGTATCTAAAAACCAGCAAAAAAGAAGAGTCTCAAGAAAATTACCTTAAAAAAGATTTCTGCAAAGAAGTTCCAATATCGCCAGCTTGATACGCTTCATGCTTAACTACTTGTTGATGAAGATATTTGGCACAGAATTTAGCAACAACCTTCCCTGCAAAATAACTTTCTCACTTCTTCTCTTTCCTTTTTTTTGAAAAGAATATGTAGTAAAAAATACTTCTCTGTTGCAATCAAATTCTAACTACACACTTTTTACTTTTTAACATCTTTTCAACACCTTTCTAAATAAACATGAAGCCAAAGTGTGCAATCTGTTATGGGACGGAGGAAGTATATAGATTATGTTGGAGATCAAGTAATACTCGTTAAAAGCTGGAGAGACAAACAGGAAACCATGAGGTAAGAATAAAGTTGTGAACATCAAATAGTTAAAGGAACTATCTTATGAAAAGAAGTTGCCTCTGTGATTTGTAGGGCATCATCATCTGCCACTATAAAGTTAATAAAAAGTCATCAAATGATATAAACCTTAATATAATTACCTCCATGACCATCATAAACGCCAAAATAAGAAGTCGAAGTGTCCAAGTCAAGGATCGCAGCATGCTAAAATAATGAACAAAAATATTTAGAGAAGATTGATTTATACTGTGAATCCAACAAGCACACACAACTTTAGAGCGTCTTAACAATAAATTATGGAGCACATTAATCACACTATGAAGTGTGGTTATGAAAAAAGTGTGTTTTTCTAGGCTTTTGCTGGTCATAAATAAAGACTAAATAAATAAAAGGAGTTCACTTGTCATTGGTAAAACTTGGGTCAAATGGTTGAATATCATGCACAACTCAGCACAAGTGAGTGGATAGAGTTTGTTTTATTAATAGTAATGATGATGATAGATACAATAACACTAATTTGAAATATAAAATTTATAATATAGCATACATGTGATCCATCAAAGAGGTCTGCTCATGAGCTTGATAAAAACTAACTTGAAATTGTGATGGGATAAGTGGTGTGTGTCTTTCATTGAGATAAAGCCATGATATGTAGAAAACTTTTGGATCACTTTTTAAGAATAATAACTACATAACTCTTAAAACATTATATCTTCTTGAATATTCCACAATTTATCTGATACTGAGCATTTGATTAGTTGAAAATTCAATAAATTCGAACCACAAACATCAGATGACCAAAATATATCGGAATGGGTAGTAAATATTCACCGCATCTTCCATTGTTGCACGCCATCCTTGCATGGATGATAACCCATATTTGAGCCCCATATTCTCACCATCCTCTGAGAGCTTCTCTGTTTTTGGAGAACTAAGATATATGCCCATCACTTTTAACTGAGACCAAACGAGTAGAATAAACAATGTAAATTTAGTTGTGAAGGTTGAACAAAAAATGTGCAAATAAGAATGAAGATATGATCCTTTTAGCTTAACTTGAAATAAAAAAATACGCTATCTTTTCACTATTGCTTTTTCAGGTTTAATCCAAATGTGTCTTTTATCTTAGTGCACTTTTCTTACTCTTTGGCTTGCTCTTTGAGCTTTTGTTGTACTAGCTGTTTTTGTATTGCTTGATCTGGGAGTCTCTTGGAAACAGCCTCTCTACTTTTAATAGGGGTAAGGTCTGCGCACACATACCCTCCTCAAACCCTGTTGTTGCAGGATTCTATTGGGTTGTTGTTGTTGTGGTGAGTGAGCTAGCTACAAATTTTTCCTGAACTGAAATTTAAAGAAACCTATGCTGCATATAAGTATATCACTAACAATCTAAGAGGAAAATGCCAAAAACACAAATATGTATGGCGCATTAAATCAAAATATCAATGTCCTTCCCCTGAGTAATGTGACCATAAAGTACACAGTGGTAAAGAGATTGGAACTGTGAAGGGTAACATCCACAGAAACCAAACCCCAGTCAATATTAAGAGAATAACACAAATATCCCTATCAGAAACTTGAATTACCCAAGAAAATACATTTCAGAGATTTAGGATACAATCTGGAGACGTGGGGATGAACATCACTTTTTGTTGATAGATACCATGCTTTGCTATGGCATTTAGATGATTGCGGGTGAAACAGATTGAGTATTTATAACAGATTGAGTATTTATTGTGTGAAGTACATGTTATTGATAAGAGACAAAATGTGAGAATCAGAAATAAGCAGAACACCTTAGAGTCTGTGTTAAAAAACATCAGATCATTAAACTCTGTGTATAAAGTAGGTTAAAAGTGACTTGTTTTGTTTCTAAAGCGCAATCAAAGGCTTTAAATATTTCATGCACGTGTGTACCATCCCCTTTGCCATGGCCAAAAAAACTGAAAATTGCATTAGTCGCTCGCTCTTTAAGAGCTCCACGATGATTAATCAAATCAAATCACTTACAACTTTCAAGTGTCAAACCAATTTTAAATCTATAAGAGCAACCTAGCATCATCTCTTTTCCATGTCTCCTTTGTAGCAGCATCTTTCAGAGGGTCATCAGCTACATGATCGTCTTCATCAATGCTTAGAAGATAGATTTTTATTGTTTGGCTTCCCCATAAATGACTAGAACCACTATGTTTGTGTTCGGTGATTTTTGCTGTTAGTGGGACCATGTGGGTCACAACGAAAGGTTTATCCTCAGGCATATTGGAACAAAAAGTGCACCGGGCTTACTAAGGTAACTCAAGAATAAAAACGTCATGCGGCAGCACATGAGAATGCTGGTGAACTCCTCGGTGCCGCGCGCAGGAGCTTCGGACGGTCATCCATTAAGAATGGCAGGAGCTCCGATCAGAGGCTTTGATGCCATACGAATTGAAAATGGATAAATAAGCATATCAATTTACGAATCCATATATGGATTCAAGGACCTATCTTACTGAAATGAAATAATCATAAGTCAACAAAGTAGGCTGATGGGGTGAAATTTACAGCTGCAGTTATACACACCAAACAGACTGACGAATGAATAGAATAAGGAACATTGAAGAAACTCACCGATACATCTTTGAATCACAGATTCCTAATTGAATGAAAAATGGTGACAGCCAAGAATCGTGGATGAAGGACCAGATCACAAGCATATGCAAGGACTCGAGAATAACTACAAAAAATATACATTCATATAAAGACCAGATGTTCCACAATGGGGCAATAAAGTTCGCAGAAAGCTCTTTAGACTGACCTTTTTTCAGTTGAGCAAAGGTCGTCTTCCTCGAATCAGATCCTCCGCAACCTGAATTCTCAAAGATAGAAAAAAAAAACTCCGTATAGATTACGAGTAATACCAACCACTGAATACTCCCTCCCTCTCCCCTCCCCCTTAAGAGGATTAGTTGACTTTTTTTACCCGAGTAATACTCAATTAAAAAATTTGTACTCTCCTTCATTTTATTTTATGTTGTTTGTTTATTTTTTAATTAAACTTTCATTGCTTTTTATTATTTGTTTTTATTTCTAATTTGATAAAACGATATGGTTATGATATATTTTATTTTATAGAGCTTTAATTCTAGCTCAATTTTCAAATAAAATAATTTGAAAATAACTTTAGTTAAATATTTATAAATTATACGAAGTAATAAGGAATATAAAATATGACGGAAAGAGTGTATTAATACAATGGAATAATTTTTTGAAAAGTTTCTACAAAATAATTACTCCATATAATAAAATCATTTTATGCTAATATAGTACGGGGTAATATGTAATAAAGGAAGTTGTACTAGTATTTAGTTAATGACCAAAATTTATTTAATTTGATTTGAAAAATTTGACCAAATTAGTATTATGGGACGGTGATAGTATTTAGAAGAAATGTGCATCTATATTCACATATAATTTTTTTTCTTAAGTATTAATATTTAAACATTTGGACTAAAATTTTTGTAGTAAGTGAAACTCTGTCCTCATACAACTTTTAAGATTTTTGATAACAAAAAATGAGAGTTGTATTGACCCTAATAAAAGTAAGATTAGAGTGGATTTGTTGTTGATGTGTCAAAAAAGTGTCTTTTAATTAAGTGAAAAAGTCTCAAGACCACTAAAGCTTTCAAGACAATAAGCTATAATGGAAGATAATGTGAAAAAATTGAGGCTTTAAGCAAAGTAGAAGCACTTTAATAATTTTATACATTCCTCCCAATTAGATCATGTTTTCTTCATTTGATTTTAATAATCCTGATCTGATTGGAATAAATTTTAATCTAATCTAAATGTAAGTTATGATCATATTAAATAATACGGAGTAAGTAATAGGGAGAATGTCGCTTTATTATCCAAAGTACAATTTTGCAATCTCAGAATACAATAGAATAACTTATGCACATATATAGAAGGGATATGCTAGGGGAGAAAGAGAAGGATAAATGGATAACAGCTAGTGTATAGTGCGGGCATGAGTCTCTAGAGTGGGGCAGTACGAGCGGCGCGAGCAGCAGCCGCTTTCTGCAATGCCTTGAGCTTGTTAGCCTCCATGCGAGCTCTTTGCTCCTCTGAGATTTCATTGCTCGATGAACCGCCTTTTACCTCCTCACTTGCCACATCACCTCTCTGGGCCTCCTTGCTACTTCCACTCTCATCACTACTCATACCCTGCGGCTGATGAGGAGGAAGAGGACTTGCTTCCTGCCCACACCATGTTTACCAGTAATGAATCAATTACTCAGCACACACAAAAACACGCACTAGCTAGCTAGCTAGGCATAGAGAGGTGGACACGGTACCGGTCTGGAACCGGTACCGTCCAGCTGGACCGGGTACCATGCCAATGGGAGTGAATGAGGGTACTGGTGCCGGAACCGGTGGGTGGGGGCGGGTGCAGTTCCGGGTTTTAAAAATGGAGGACCGGTACCGGTTCCGGTGTTTTGTTTTATTTTTTGTTCTTTTCTGGCAGCGCCTTAACTTACTCATTCCACCCTGTTATTATTTTTAGGACCATCAGCCCACTGCCCACCATTTTCACTTGGTTGTTTCTTGACCTAAAGAAAACATGTACTCATCTGTTTGTCACAAGCCAGCTACTAACCAAACTGCTGTGTTCTCTTATTTCTTGTATAACATTATGGAGAATAATTTACAAACTGCCATCCTGGCAAATATAAAAGTTGGGTTTAGGGAGTTAGCCTAAACGGCTAAATCCACATTATTCACCCAAATTTGCTAAATCCACTCCCCAAATGGCTAGTTTACATTGTTTATATGAGTGGGGGTGGATTTAGGATACTTGAGCAAGGGGTGTGGGTTTTAGTGAGTTTTTTTTTAAAAAAAAAATCTAAGATATGAAGTCAAGGGGAAAAGCATAAAGATCATCAACAGTGATAAGCACATAAGTAAATCAATTTCAGCAAACAATGTGGTACAACTGAACCTTATGATGTCAACCTGCAGGAAAGTGGCACTTACTTTCACTATGCTATCCCACACATGATTCATTTCTTGCTGAAATCCATCTCCCTCAAGATTAGTTTCAGCATCTTTCTGCAGAGAACTTGGCTCATCTAAGTTCATATTCTCTGAAAGAGCAACAACTTTGTATGAGATTTTAGAAGCCCTAGGTTGAAAATGTCACTACACCATACTGGGAAGTGCTTTATGGACGAACATTTGATGAACCCATTGTGAAATGTATCATACTGCTAACTGTGTGTTTTTGGTATAAATATTTACACAGTTAGCAGGACATTCAAACACCTTGTCTCAATTCTCAAAATCAGAGACCTTTTTGTATTTCAAATCCTGCCCCATACAATGTATACGAGGTATGCCAAGTAGATTTACCACCCTGTGATCATGAAGATGTGTACCAAGGTTAACAGTTCCTAGGAGAATCTATATTCTCTTCTATTGCTTCATTGATTACTCAAGTGGTCAAAACTCAAAGTGAGATAAGTTGGTTAAGGCAAACTCTATGCTAGCAATTATCATAAAGCTATTGATTTACGTGCACCTTGCTCTCTATTTGGGATCGATAGTATATATGCAGTTACATTACTTCATCCATTGCTCAAGTGTAATTATATAAACTAAATCATTTGCTAATAATAATAATAATCATAAGTGCACCTTGTTCTTCATTTGAGATCTGTTCTTGAGCTTCATTCTCTTGAAGCTTGGCCGGGTCAACTCCATTAGCAACTTTTTCACGTAAATTTCTCAAACATAACTGGATGACAGAAAAATGCATTGGGTGAAAACATGCTGCACATTAGGCCCGTGCCTCAAACAACATTGCTTAAATAGAGGAGGGAATGTTAGTACTCCCTCCAAATAAATCTATAGGCCTCACACTGATGATTGTTTTTCAAATGAAGCAAAACAATGTCTACTGCAAATATCATATTCTCATTTTTTTAAATTAAATCCCACTTGAAAATAGAACCAATTACAAATAAAGCGAAGGGCAAACGGGCAACAAGCTACGCTGCAATCCCCTTTTGAATAGAAAACCTGATCCTACTAAAAACAATGTTATGTGCCTTAGGAGTCTAGAGACATTACTATGCACGACCCGCTGGACCTGTTAAGGAATGCTTGTTTTAAATGTATATTGTACAAAACTACAAATCATGCACAGTTGTGCATTTGGTCTATGTGTTGAATACTCCATCATGAAATGAGAAATTGGGAAAAATAAAGCATGATTCTACAAGACCCATTAGGTATCCTAATATCTACTCCTGTCACTGTTTTTTGTATAAACAACATACCACCTATGTCCCAACTTCTTTGGGGTCTGAGGGTCAAGACGTACACACCCTTACCTCTGTAAGTACACAAGACAGTGAGAGTGGTCCTGAGGGTCAATTCCAGTTTTTAAAACTTTGTAGGGTCACTGTTTCCTAATTAAATATAGTTATATTTTTAAAAATGGAGAACTGAAAAAAAAGATTTATTGGAGAACTGGAAAAGATTTATTGGAGGGGCACTGTTTCCTAATTAAATATAGTTATATTTTTAAATTCACAGGCACATACACTACAAAGTTTTCAATGACACAACAATCACAGTTTTAAATGCTTACATTATGCATATACATATTTTACAATAATATGTTCAAATTGATTAACATGAATGTGCAACCTTAAGCTCAAAATCCTGTAGAATAAAACCATATGCCCATTTTAAGCATTAGGTAAATAGAAAGAAGATAATAAGGGTGTATATGTTACCTTGACACGCTTTGAGGCACCAATTTTCTCAACCTTATGTACAAACTGATCGAATGAGTAGTAGGGAAGTACACGTGAGTGCCAATCAGAATATAATCCAATTAGGTTTCCTAGATCAGACACCTGCAGCAAATTCAATTAACTGGGCTCACAAACTCCAACCCAAATGAAACTATAGTGTAAATAAAACATAGAGCATTACCTTCTAATGGAATTTGTGCTTAGTTTTTTCTAAGTGCTGTAAAATGGAAGAGAAAATGCACTCGAATTTCTCCTAATTATCGGAATTTAGACACAATTTAAATTGAAAATAACAACAATGTCCGGTAATAAATACAAAATAAAACAAAATTTGTGTCCTAGTTTTTGTTAAATCATGTAAAGGGGAAGCTTTCCGGAAACACATTCTAATTTCTTGCAACTATTAAGATTGATGGTGATGATTATGCGTGATAATAAACAAAAAAACCCAACGAAATTCGAATGGAGAAGTTGGAAACATGATCATACCTCGTGCCCGCGACCATGGTACTTGAAAGCTCGAGGAAAGTGGCGCAGGACGTGACCGATTCCATCGTCAGATAGAAGGGAATCTGCAGTGAGTTTGGGGCGCGTCCTCGGGACTGCCTTGGGTTTGAGAAGGGAACTACCTCCGGCGCCGGAGTTGGAAGCGTTCGGCGTGGATCTGCGATTGGACGCAAAAGAATTCGGAAGGGAAGTAGAAGTCGAGTTAGGGTTATTGCCATTGCTTGGATGGGAAAGGCAGTCCCTTGACCAATGGCCGGGGCGGCCGCACTTGTAACACCCTGTGGGAGCTGCTCCGCCGCCGCCGCCGCCGCCTCTCTCCATTTCTTCAAATAATTGCCTACTGATTTTCCTCTCCCTTTTCAATTTCCGCCTCAGAACTTTGGCAAGAAGGGAAGGCGGGAATGCGATAGTTATGGCTGGGGTAGGGGGGCGGGAAACTGAGTTATTTACGCAAGAAGGCGGGAATGTGATAGTTTTTGTTAAATTTAAAGGAAGTTTAGGAAGGTGAACATTATTTTTTTGAAGTAATTTTAGTACTCTCCCTAGTAGACGAACAATTGAGAGAGGAGGGATAATTTATTTTTTGGATTCAAAATTTCAAATTCAGCGACGTGTTTGAGAAAGGAGTGCGAGAGGAGAGCGTGGATTTACAAATTTTTTCATGTTTTTAACGAAAATGTTAATAAAGAACCATTCGTGAAAAATAATATCATAATTAGTGACTAAAGTATTGATATTTGATATGTATGGACTAAATATGAAAAAGGAATAGACTTTTTATAGACTCAGATAAACAGTACTCCTTCGAGTCCTTTCATCCCAAATTTATACTATATCCTTTATTTTCTTTTTGGGCAGCAATTTTTGCTTAATTTAACATGCTAGTGACATCTAAGTTTAGGGATGGGGATAGAACGTGCGCCGACTACCGCCCCCGAGCAAAGTTCACCTGAAACCATGCTGGAAGACATCGAATCTCTGATTGAGGTACGCAGTTTACGCTTATTTTTCACAGAAAACCCTAATTTGCGTGCCAGGAGTAGTTCCCGAATGATCTCTCTGTGATATATTTATGACGATCTAGCAAAAAAGCTGTTTGCGGGATTCATCCATTGTAAATTGAGTATGTGATTGCCGCTGGCTCGCTAGTTTAAGCGTCACAGGCTAATCAAGGACCCTAATCGCTTTATGTTGCGACAGCTGACATGAAATACATAGTGATGATTAATTGTATAACACTCCTAAGTCCCATACAAAAAGCCCAGTTCAATGGAATACTTTTGTCCCAAAACAGAGTCTTGTTTAACAACGAAAAACATGCTAGTTTTCATCTTTATACAATGATTGTGCATTTTTACCTTACTCAAAAAGAAAAAAATAATTTAAACAAGACTCTTTTTATGGGACGAAGAGAGTATTAGTTTGTACTGTAAAGTCATGCAAAAATCACAACAACCTAGTATAATTCCAACATTGTTGGGGTTTGGAAGTCAAGATGATGTACTCAGTCTTATCCCTTGATTCCATTCAAAAAGAAAAACGGTGAGGTTGTTTCCATTAGACCCTAGAATGTAAAAAGTAAGGGATGTTTAAATTTCCACTTTAGTCTCCATTACAAGATTTTGCAATAGATGGCGTTCTGTTTCATTTTATAATAAAAAGTGTACTTTTATTGTATGTGTGAGGGAGAGAGGGAGAGATTAGACCATAGAGATGAGGTCTTTAGTTAGGCATCCTCTATTGATGTCTAAAAGAGATATATGTGCCCCGATTGGCAACGGGTCTTTAATAGTTTATCCGTACTTGCTATGTTCTTTGTCTGGGAATGGTATAGTGTTATGTAATTCTCTTTTGTCATCTATCAACTTTGATGTGTCTTATATTGGTTAGGCGGCAAGGTATGCTGACATTGAAGATATAAAGAGCTTAGTATCCCGTGGTGTATCTCTTGATTCAAAGGATTCACTGGGCCGAACTGGTATTGATTTTTTTCATATTTTGACTAATTAGAGATCATTAATAGACTCAAAGTAATGCATTTTGTGTTACTTAATTTTTCTTTGATGGAATTGCCTATGCGCCTGATCTCCAAATTTTAACAACAACAATAATACTCCATCCATTCCCATCTAAAAATGACAGAGTTTAGGAGTGAAAAGAATATTATTTAAATGCTTGTACTTATTTTTTAGGTTCAGTAAAAGTGGAGTAAAATGTATTACTACTAAATCTATAGGTTGTTGAGTGTAAAAGTGTATTCTTGCTAAAAAAGAGTTAAAGTGTGTGCCAAGAGAGAAAAGGAGAAGATGATCGGGGGCTGGGGTGGGGGTATGGTGGTTTATGGGGTAAGAACCATAAATTTTGCATCCCAAATTGAGGCAGTTTCATCTGATCCTTTCCAATGATAATAATAATGCTATTATTACGTAGTATTATTAGTATTATATTTTGACATGCCTCAAGCACATCCTCTTCTTCCTTTTGTATTTTATGTGCCAAAGTATATTAAGGGAAGTAATGATTGAAAATGTGAACAAGGGTTGATATGCCATTGTGATCATAAACTCCCTACAATTGTTTTTTGTTGAGACCCAAAACTTTCTTAGCTTTGTGTTCAATGTTCTGCTTTTATTGTATTCCAATAATTCTCCCTGTATAATGGGGAAATATGATAAACCCCGTGCTAACCCAATAACAGAGTAGTTAAATATACTTCAACCAGATCAAACCAGACAAACTTAGTATATCTCACTCAAGAGTAGGGTGTTGAGGGGGATATGTATGGAGACTTTACCTCTACCCCGCTGAGTAGAGAGATTGTTTCTCCAAGGACCCATTCAAACAGTGAAAATTCCTTAATCAACCAAATAATCTAGTTTTAACATTTAACTAGTACTCCGTATTTTTTGCTTTTAGCAAAGCTTTCTTTCTCTCTCAAATTGGTTCCATGTCTTTCATTTTTCAGATTAAATGAATGTTGTTATTCTATTGTCTAAAGAAGTGTAAAATGAAACCATTACACCACAATATAGTTTAGCACTTTAGCATCATTTGTAATTAAGAATTTGTTATTTATGTGGTATTTAAGTAGTTCACATCTTGTATTTCAACCATTGCCTGGATGTAATGACTAATGTTACTACATAGATACAATGTTAAGCTTGCTAGTAACGTGATTGACTATTTTTATACATCTTAATAGTTAATACAATTTGGGCCCGTATGAAAGTTAGGACTATATTATACAACGATCAAACCTGCGATGGACCAAAAGTGCAAGTATCACATGCAATTCTTTGTGTGTGTGTGTGTGTGTATGTGTGTGGGGTGGGGGGGAGGGAGGAGGAGTTTCTTCTTTGTCATTCTGCACTGTTATATTGTGTTCTGGTGTATGTAACCTTGTCTAACTATTTATGTTTACAGCACTTCATATGGCTTCTGCCAATGGGCATCTTGATGTTGTAAATTATCTCATTGACAGTAAAGTGGTGAGTATAATTCAGATGCTCTCTAATTAATTTACATCTATAGTACCCGATTCAGCAGTATTAGTTAAGAAATCGCTGTGTTATGTTTGTTTTTTTACTTTTTAAATTATTGTGATGAAACAAACACTCCCTGAAAGATGTGAATACTAATTATTTGGAAAAGGATGTTAATGCTTTCAACGAGGAGAAAAATACGCCTTTACATTGGGCTTGCATCAATGGGCACATGGAGGTATGCATTACTGTCCTCTAGTACTAACTTCGTAGTTCGTTTATATGTACAGTAGTGTGAGCTTATTGATGTCTCTATCAGGTAGTTAAGAGCTTGATCCTTGCTGGAGCAAGTGTATCAGCGCTGAACAGGTTAATTCTAGTTGTTGCATGCGTTCTCACTCTTCATTTTTGTCAAGTGTCATGTTTTAAATGTTTGCACACATTAAGAAAGTACGGAGTAATATTTTTCTGGAGTTAAGTCGAAAGTAATACTCCATCCTTAAAAGGGTACACAAGCTGTACATCCTTTTTTACATTCTCACAAACGTTTGTTTTTTGGGTGAAGTTAGTAAGCCCCTTTGCACTTCACAGACATTCCACAACTTATTGCATAATTGAGGATTGGTATATTATTAATCCTGATTCAACTAAATTGTTGCATCTCTTCCTTTTTTTTCTTGTGTTGATTAATAGCCATGGCAATACACCATTGGACGAGGCATTGAGAATGAACAATAAACTGGAAGTCGTAGATGCTATCAACCAAGCAGTGACACAATTTGAACTTCAACGCTCAACTGTATCTTAGTTTTACATTGTACTTTAGCAATCTCAATGTCCACCATATATTGGGAAGTTTTATTTAAGGTTCCCTAAAAGTATTGTTTCTGTAGTTCTCATCCATGTTTTTGAATGCTTCATTGACTTTCGCTAATGCAGAGCGGCAGGCAAAAAAGTTTGTTGATTTGATGATAAAAAATAACTAACGAGATGTCAACGATGGCAAATTGGCTATTGTATTGTGAGCTATTTTTGCACTTTTCATCAATCTTCTTTCAACTTTTTTAGAAACTTTATTTCTTTCTATAAGATGATGCCCTATGACATTGTTTATGTTTTCTTTTGTGTGAGATTTTGCTATACATTGGTCTATTTTTTCAATTGTTTATCTGATTAATCCTCTTTGAAGATAAAACTATTATTGCAGAATTAATGCATACCATTGAAAATCGACTAATCAATAGTTGCGACTTTTAATTGTGCCTTGTTTATGGATTTGATCCTTGCTTTAAATTTTGATTGGATGAGTCTCGAAGCTTTTTTCAACAAAAGAAAAAGATGAAGCCGTTTTCTTGAAGCACATTGATCTTGATCTATCTCTGTTGTTATATGTTTTGTACAGCATACAATACAACCTATTTTTCCTCTATACGATACAACAAGACAAAAATGTCACCTAAAGAGCTAGAAAGAAGATTTGTCTCGACACATTCACAAATGCCTGAGTAGCCAACAATATGCCTTGCCATGAAATTTGTACCCCTTTGGTGTGTTTCACAAATCAAATTCCTAACCTCTTAACACCGCACTCGGAGCAATACTTGGATGTGTCTCTCAAGTAAGGGGCCCCACATTCATCACAGAACTTTGCAGGACCAGCTGGCTGATACACACAACACAAGCAAGGGCAAAAGACATGTTAAACCATATAAGTGCAACGAGGAATGCACATTTTACAATATAAATGCTAACAAAAAACCATTGCCAAGAGGTTTTTTTATGCTTTTGCAACCCTCAAGTCTATCCCCACTTGGGAACATGTGTGTGCTCGCTAAAATTCATTTGTAAGTGATTTTTTAGTCGTGATTTTCATTGGATAACAAAAGAATGTTGTGGCCAACTGGGATGGAGGAGAAGAGAAGTTATGATTCTTGCAAGAAATTACAAATGATAATAGTATTAGATTACTTAAAGAAAAAAGCAAATTCTCTCACCTGTAAAAGCATACGCCCACCAGCATGACCTATGGGTTGCAAGGGAGACATGTGAGTAGTGGGAATGGTGGCAGAGTGCTGAGAATGCACGATTTCGGACAAGTGTGAATGAGGTCTGCAATGAGACAGATGGGCAATGTGTTGGTTTTGGTTCATCTGATGTTGAAGGTGGCTCTGCTGAAGGGGGTGAAATTGAGCCTGATGTGATGTTGCCTGCATGTGCTGCTGCTGCTGCTCTGGTGGAGGAATCTGGTGGCTATTCTGTGGCTGCTGCATATTTATAAATAGGTTATTCAATATCACATTTTAAAAAAGAAACAACTAATAGAGTAGCCAAATTAGTAAGAGTCTAAAATTTGTACATCTAACCTCACTTACAGAATGGTAACCTTGAGCTGCACTCATAGGAGGAGAACCACTATCTGTTCCCGTGAATGTCTAGAAAAAGGTGTAAACAACTTATATGTCCATTTACCTCCTAACAAGAAAAAAAAACTTTCCCGAGATAAACTCAAAAGAAAAAAAGGAATCAGATTATACTGGGAATGTACGCATGTTTGGAATGGGGTTTGATGCTACACGTCTGTACTTGTGCCTAGGTGCATAGAACTTGTAATCTCTTGGGGAGACTGATACTTCACTGCGACCTGTCAATCTTTTGAACCTGTACATGGATAATAAAGTAACAGCTAAAAAGCATATTCAACAACTTATAGACAACAACCTAGTTGAATCCCACAAGAGTAGGGTCTGGGATATTCAACAACTTATAGATCTATGCATAATTTCACTTTCTGTATCAAGTTCCAAATTTTTAGAGTGACCTTTTAGTCAAGAAGGCTCCAATACCATGTCAAGGAACCAACTCAACCATAAGCTCATACCTGTGGTTGTAGGCCTAGGAAAGGTTTTTATATCTTAACACAAAGCAAAAATATAGAACAAGTAAAGAGTACATATTAAGTACAAATTAGAAGTACAAAAGATTACCACTCAATATCATCGATTAGCATACTCGTAGGTCTCTCAACAATAGCTAGACCATTAACAACCACAAAACGGACACGCTTCTCCTCTTGTATAACTAATTCTGGAAACCTTGACCGTGTTTCAAAAGAAGTTGCTAATTCTCGGCGTTTATACGTGCAAGATCCTGCATCGACAACAGCAAACCAATTGCAACAAGAAATTCCCCAAACCCAGTATAATGCAGTTATCTTATTGCATCGTGCCTAGCCTTACTCTAGAGCCTTGAAACATAAAGGGCCCGTTTGGTATACGGAATTGACGGAATTGGAATTGAATTGGACTTGAAATTCCATGGGATTCAATTCCATATAATTGAATTTTGCCAATTTCAATTCATTTTTTGCACTATCAATTCCAAATCCACATAATTTTTGTGCTACCAAACATCAGAATTGGAATTGAAGTCTTCAATTCCAATTCCATGGTTTGAATTCCATGTACCAAACGAGGCCAAATGATGTAATGAGTTTTTCATTAACCCAACCCTGTTTTTTATTTCATTACTCTCCACTAGGAAAGATGTGTTGGAGGGAGGGAAGTGTGTGTGGGGGGGGGGGGGGATCGGACCATATTGTTTTCAAGATAAGAAGGGTGGGGAAGGGAATATGTCTAAGAACCCCATGTGCCAAGTTGCTGTAGCTGAGAGCTACACTGACAGGGATGATGCTGTATAGTGCTGAATACAGAGAGTGAGCCAGTGTCCCTGACCCCGAGCCCCCACCCAACACAGCTTCTTCTGACTAGACAGAAGAGGAGCAAATATTTTGTACCATTCCTGGGAAACTTTTTTGCAAGCTTTCTATACAAACCACCAGCAGCTTCAAGGGCCACACCAATGTTTTTTTCCCGCATTCCACTCAAGGAAGATAGTCTCAAGTTCACCTCAGCAACCAATGTCTCATACATGTTTGCCACATACATCAAAGGCAAAACATGTCGAGGATCACCTTCACGTTGAATTTCGCCCAACTTCCTCTTGCTCACTTTATCTTGAGAAGATTGTAAAACACAGTCTGATTCCGTATTGAACACCTCAATTACATGTGAACTAATAAAATGATCTACGATGATGTCCAGAAATCTTGCTCTTGCTGACTCAATTGGTGAAACATCTGGTCCAAAAAAAAGGATTGTCTAAGAATCTATATAGTTCTAATATTACTTAATTATAACAATAACAAATACTATTATCACCATCACAAGTCTTACGATCATTATTTTAAATGCAAAACCAAATTGAAAATTTATCTTACCGTCAATGGTTACAATGTTGTAAGAGCCACTAGAAGATCCACTATTAGATACGCTACTTTGATTGTCCTCCACAGTTACAATGTGAAGTGGTAAAGAGTTCTGAAAGGAATCATGCAAGCAGTCCTGAATGGAAGTGTACAGGCGTGCAACAAGTATTCAGTTTCAGACTAACCTCGCAATAATGAGCATTCTTACTTAACAGCAAATTACTACTAGCCAAACATTACTAAATAGGATAAAGCTAAATAGGCCATGGGTATTCAAAAGATCTAGTTCGAATTGCCCTTGAAAGAGAACCATACACATTACAGAAAAAAGATGCAATCTAGAAATATAATCGTTCTTGTTAAAGAACTATGAGAAAACCTATCAAATCATAAAGAATAACATGGCATGGACCAGTCCCTAATTCAAGTAGGCCTATTTCTGGAACGTGAAATGTGAATACTTGAAGGATAAAAAAGGAGAAACCGAGAAATACTAAAGTCACAAACAAAAACACCACAAAATTCACAAACTTACCAACCCACTAAAAGAATAAAATGGTTTCAAAAAATTAAAAAAAAAAGTGGAAATTTGTATTCACAAATGTCAAGTTTCTGAATTTAGTGACTTGTTGGTAGACTATAATTTCATTAAAAAAAGTTGGAAAATTTAGGAATGCTCACAACAGTTGCGGAATCTTCTTCGTCGTTATGGAGACTATCCTCCTTGGCATCTCCGCCGCCTGGGTCCACGTCGTGGCTTTCTCCGCCGAGTCCCTCGGCCGCATTGATGTCGTGGACTGAGCTGTCAATGTAAGAAGCAGCGGCCGGCCTCAAATCGTAGTGCGGTACAGGAACCCTAGTTCCCATCCACTGTATTCCGAACTGGGGACATCAGAGTAAAACCCCCTCCCCCGCGGCCACTGTAAACCTTTTCCGGCGATGAAGAGGTAGAAGAAGAAGAGGTTATAGAGGCTACGGTAACGGATATACAGGCCGATATACGTCAGCAAAACCGAGCCTGAGGTGAAGGGCAGAATCCCAAAGCTGAGCTGTTCCTAAGCCCAGAGGTTTGGGATACTAGTACGGAGGATGTTGTTTCTGAGAACCTAAATAAATAACGGATGAATTTACAAAAAAAGATTTTTTTTTTTTCAAATTAGTTTTCTATAAGTAATACAGAGTATTTACTAACACGATTCTTTGTAAATGAAATATATTTTTTAAATAACCCTCTACAATAATTCTTTATTAAATGCAAGTCAAATAAAAAACTAGTGGTCTGCATTAGAAGGCAATGGTAGCTCGGTCCTATCTTACTTGAGCTCGAACCCCTCTTGGGCAAGCTCGGTCTCATCTTTCACGGGCTCTCCCTCGTCTAGGGCTAGACTCCACAACATATGACTTTTATTCACCTAATTTGGTTAACTATTTATTTATTTGTCTAGTTTGACTTTTTTGAGTTAAACTAGATAAATTTTAATTATCAATTATTTTTATTATCATTTTTTAAATGAGATACAAATATTGTACAGTTTGACTTAAAAATTCAAATTTGGTGACATCAACATTGTTAAGGTATAACAAAAGAAAAATGTTAGGGGTACACCTTTGGTTGGTGTATCCCAAATATTCCCCGCCTCCTCTTTGTCCACTAAAAAATGCAAAAAATTCAATAAAAATAAGTAAATAAAAATCAAATAAAAATGTGTAGAGAAAAATAAGGTGGTATAATTACTCATAACAAAATGTTTTTTTGTGATATTTCTAGCTCAATCTTTGAGATTATTCCGATGAAATGGATCTTCACATCCCCATCCACTTAGCTTCGCGCCTCTCTTGCAGAACTGCCACCATCAATTTCCGTTCACCCAACTACCACAACCGCCGGGCTAGGCCGAGGCGCAACCCCACCAATGTTCGAGTTGAGCCGAGCTCAGCTGCCGGCCACAGGAGCAGCGAATGCGACAGAAGCGTCGTATTCTCTGCTAAGAGTATTTCCAGGGACGCAGCGTCGAGTGGAGAAGAAGCGGCGGAGATATCTCGTCGGAGCATCTGGGACGAGACGAATTTCGTGGAGGTGATTGGAATTGGGAGTCGGAAAGACGCCATTATTGACTTCTGTTTGTCATCTCCTTCTTGCTCGCCCGCCTTGAGATTTTGGTATGCCACAATTCATACTTTCCTGTGCTTGAATTTGCTTTTCAATGTGGCGTGTCAGAATTTTCTTCCCAGTCAATGAACACTTTATTGATAATGAACTACAAAGCGTCTCCAATAGAGGAACACACTTGAGTGGAACCTTTTTATGACCTCTTCTTAGAAGGAAGAGGTTGTTTTCAAGAGACTCTTGGTTCACGACACAAGAACACAATGACAAGGGAAAGTAACATGACCAAAGTAGGATTTAGGAATACATACAAAAATAAACACACATGTAGAAACTTACATTCTAAAGCATCAGGGAAACTTACAATTCTTATAGATGTTTTCTCTTATGAACATGAGTTGATTTCTGAAATGTTTTTTTTTTAAAATTATTGTGATGATGTTTTGCAGGAATATTCTTGTCAAAGATTCAGGGAAGGTGTTATTGCACCAGAGGTCTCTTACAGAAGGTAGAGGCTTGGAAGTTTGATTCTTGATGCTCTAACATTCCCTTTCTCTTCTTTTCTTTTTCTTTCTGCTGTTAAATATATGTGAGTGGGTTAGGGTGGAGTGGGGATAGCATGCCAAAGGCTGTAAAACACTTTGAGGAGTTTTTTTATGCAACTTGGTGGCCACATGTATACTGCACTCCTTTACGTGGTAGAAGTTATTGTATACTGTCTTAAAGTAGGAAATATGTTACCTCCTCGATCCCAATAAAGGAAAAGAGTCTTGTTTCAACTTTCAACAAGTTTTTAGGTAAAAAAAGATTTCAATTTTAAAAGTCAACTTACATTTATAAGTTAAATTTAAGTAAAGTTAAGCCACAAGCAGGTTTAGTCCATTACTCAATATTTCATTAGAGGTATGGACAATCATTTATAATTTGAAAACGCTTGTAGGTTGATTTTCTTCACTAAAAATAAGAAGTTGTACCTCACTCAAATCTGGTAACTTTTTTTGAAATGGAGGGAGTAGTATAATTTTGTGTAAGTTGATCGTGACAACCAAATTTTAAAGTTGACACATCTTCCGTTAAAGTAATGAATTTGAAGTACTCTTCATGATTTAGTATTCTAAATAATCAACATAAGGTGCTCATTTTTTAGATATTTAAGTTGATTTAGCATCTTTTGGTAGAATTATGTAATAGAAAGCATCACAACTTTTGAAATGTGTATGGTTTCATGTTTTTAGTACTCTGCCATTTGCATTATTTAGTTGCTTCTCTTGCCAATATACATGCCAACGTAACATGCAAGTTTCAAAAGGGAAAATTACATCTCTCTAAATTGTGCATTGATATTGACGTAGCTTGTATTTTGATAGAGGTCTTTGCGTGGTAAATTGATGTAATGGAGACTTTCAAATCTACAACTGGAGCCTTTTATCTAAGTATCTATGTGAGTTATATTTTTTTAAAAGTGCCTAACGGAAAGAATACTATTTGAGCATTCAACAAATATGGTTTGATTGGTTGAACCTTTGTGTGCTTATGTTGTTAGGACTTAGGAGTATATCTATTGCAACATCTAACCTTGGTATCTCTTGCAAAAGAGAATATTTATGTGCTCTCAATATTTCTCATTAAGATCATATAATAATGTATGTTGCTTTCAAGATAGGTCATTAAGTTCAGATAATAATGTATCACTAGTTTGACATTTTGACATAATCTCTTCTTTGTCATATTTTGGCAGTTTTCTATAGTATGCTCTTGTTTGCCTTCTTATCTATAAATTTTGCTAAACCATTGTTTTATCTTTGGCAGATATTACAGCAGAAGTTGAAGAAGATCCATCATCATTGAGTTTGTGTTCTAAAGCAACAATACTTGTTTGTACAATCATTGACTCCAATGCCCATAAATTAATTGCCTTTTGTGCTTAATTTTTTGTAGTCTAGACTAGTACATGAAAACGTCAATGATGCTAGTAATACTATTGATTTGGTTATTTGGTGGTGTGGCATAGAAATGCAGGTCAGGTTCCCTTATATGCTCCCTGTCCCAAACTATTTACCGGCTTAAAAAATAGTCCCAAAATAATCGCCATTTTAGAATTCTGATGCATATTTTCCATCAATCTCCCTAAAATGCCCAAATGAACAAGTTCTGGAAACAAAAAACAGCATGTAACGTTATACTTAAGTAGGGATATAATAGTCCTTTATAAGATTCTTAATATGTGAGCACTTTTATAAAACAACAATTGTTTTGGGACGGAGTAGTTTTCTGTCAAAGGCATAAGTCCCTAAGATATCTCAGCACATTGTTTCAATTGTCTTTTTCCTTGAATGCTCACAAGTAGAACCATATTCTCTTGTAAAGAGATACTCCCTCCGACCCATAAAATCCTTCTAGTTTGACTTTCACGGAGTTTAGGAAAAGTGTTGAAAAGTAAAATTTTGTTTAGATGAGAGAGATTTTTTTAGCCACATGTTCACTTCTTTAACAGGAAACAAAGTTGGAAGTTTTTTTGGGACATCTAGAAAAGGAAAATAGAATGTTTTTATGGGATCGAGGGAGTATGTATAGTATTGTAAACCAAAAAGATAGATTGCAATCATATTTTATTGCGCTTAAAGCCAATACTATTCAGAAAATTTGAAACATTTAAAAGCTCTTTCATCTCCAGGTGGCTAATGCAGCTTATGGTGGAGATAATATCTTATCACTTGAGATTCTTAGAAGAGTAAGATGTGCTGGTGGGCTAGTCATTGGAATAATTCTGAAACCATTCTGCTTCGAAGGGCAAAGGCGTCTTGAGGAGGTACGTCAACCGGGACTATGAGTTTAAAATGTAAAGAAACTATTCCTTGCAAGCCATGGACATGCTATCTTGTGAGTGGTCAAAGGGCATGGTAATCTGAACTTGTGCACTGTATTGCTTATTTATTCAAAGCAACATCTTAACTGTGGAGACTGGCTCTAAGTGCCAGTAGTGTTAATGTCTAATAAACACACACACACTATGCTCTTTGCAAGCCTAACAAGGGTCGACCTAGCAATACCTTTTTAGTCACTATGAAGATTTTGTTTACATCAAGCTATATGGCTTCTATCAAAAGGGAAAAGGAGGCATAGGAATATAAAAGGTGAATAAATTTTGGTAGAATTCTTGAAAGATTTCCGATGCTTGTATGGCTATATCCAAATGATGGTTATTACCAAATGTATCTGGATATCTCCTATCGGCTATCGTAACCTTGAAATTATAAAAAATATTATTTAAGTATTTCTATGATCTGTGAGTGAGTGAATTGGTTGACAAGCTGTTCTCAATATTTCAATTTGCCTATAGTTTTTTGAATGGAGAAATTTGATATTGCATTATCACCAAATGTATCTCATTATCTCCTGTTGTAACCTTGATTATAGAGTAGTAGATATTACTATACTATTTTGGTAACTGGTCGTCTTGTTGCAGGTGAACAATTTGGTTGATGAGCTTCAAAAGCAAGCTAATTTTTGTATAGGTAATATTATGTCACATATACCATGTGTCTGATGTTCAATCTAGTCAATCTTGGTACATGGCTATTTGGCAGGCTAATTAATGAATTATGCTCGTGAAGTATATTTTTTGCTTATATGTGTATGTGGGATGTGATCAAAAGAATTGTTTATGGTCACATTTCCATATGACGTTAGTGCAGAACACTTAAGCCAAACATTTGTCAATTAATAAAAGTTTTTAGTAGATGCAATTGAATTCGATTCTATAAAGCAATTTCTTTAGTAGATGGGAAGGTTTTTGACAAATGTTGTTTGAATAAGTGAAACTGCCTGATTTGCAACATTTAAGCTTAAGTGCTAGACTTCTTTGTTTGGCTTTTTGTGTAACCATTCCCGATCTTGCATAATCTCCCATGATGTCATTTACTTGGACAGACAAAAAGCTCAGTTCATTGGTTAGATTATTTTTTTTTTTTGAAAATCTTAGCTCTAGGATTTCGCTTGGTGGAGTTGAGTATCTCTTACGTTTGTAGGTCAAATTCTTGAGAGGTGGATTAGATTGTCTACTCTTTAAACCCCACCCCCTCTATTGTATGTGATAGATCATTAGATCTCAACAAATCCTCAAACCCTAAGCATTTTTAGTAGGTAATATTATGTCACATATACCATGTGTCTGATGTTCAATCTAGTCAATCTTGGTACATGGCTATTTGGCAGGCTAATTAATGAATTATGCTCGTGAAGTATATTTTTTGCTTAAATGTGTATGTGGGATGTGATCAAAAGAATTGTTTATGGTCACATTTCCATATGACGTTAGTGCAGAACACCAATTGGCTTGAGTTCTGAATGTGTAATTTTGCTTTGCAGTTGTTGATACTGATGCACTTCTAGCAACAGATCTAATAACTTTGGATGAGGCATTGAAAACTTCAAACAGGGCTGTTTTGATGGCTATAAATGCTATATCTGCTCTTGTATCTGTAGGCTAATCTAGACCTTTCCCTAAACTCTATGTGCTCGTTGTCATTTCAGTACATTCTACTTGTGAAGTTTTTCCATCCATCTGTCTAATACTTACCAATGATTCTTACAGGAAAATTTCTTAAGGTATCAAAATTTACCAAATAATTGTTGTGAATTGCTTGAAGTGCCACAGCTACCAAAGGTAAAAATTTACGGTTTTACCATCATATTTCACTTAATTTTTCCTGCTTTAAGTTTTTGTGTAAGCATTACATTTATGTGTATATGTACAACAACAGGTTTTACCACCAAATGCCCTTTTTTTTGAGCTTCTAATTTGCCAGGTGAGTCAACTACCTATTTGTCTGATCTGCTTACAGATTCTTGAGAGCTATAGAGACGCTAGAATTGGATATGGAGCCGGCTACAACATCAAGACTGCTATTCTGCAAGCTACATATGATTGTCCCTTTCTTGGAGTGTCTTTACAGGTATTAATACTCCGTATATTTATGCAGAAAATCTGTTTTCTTGTTTTTTGGGTCACATTGGAGAAGTTTGAAAAATCGACAGGATATAACAAAATACCGAGCATTCTTTTGTTCTCTGCAATCATATACATGCCAGCAAATGATTTCCAATTCTATTGTGTTACTATTTTAGTGTTCTGTAACATGTGTGCTTGCTCCTTGCTAGTGAATTGAATTGTGCCATTCACCATCTTTTATGGTTTAATTCTATTTGTTCATGTTCTCTAACTTCTATATTTGCTAATCATTTCTTAGGAATCAGATGGTGTGGTTTTATGTGTTATTTCAAGTTCCAATGCGCTTGATTCCCACAATGTGAACATCATCTGTCGAACTTTCCGGCAAACAACTGGATGGAAGGGGGAAATTATAATGTCATTTATTCATGAAGCCAACATGGATGCAAATTTAATACTGACGACTATAATAATGTGTGGGTAAGATTTATCTTATTTTAAGTAGATCTCATTCCTAGAATGCAACATATTTTTACTTTTGAGTTTGCTATTTCCTCTGCATGAGCTAGTGCATAACCTGAATGGTGAGCATCTCATTTGTTTTAGGAAAATGAGATGTCATGGGGCACATAATGGTGAGTATCTCATTATTCTTGTAGATGCATTCCGGTGACAAAGAAACACAGATTCTCAGTACATAACCGTATTCCAAAGTCTTTTTTAATAGCCATACATTATGAATGTGCGTTTGTTACAATTTGCATAGTATTTGACCTAAAGCCATGCATATTTCTCAGTCTTTTTTAAATGGATGTATGATCAGGTGTGTTGTGCAGCAGCCATCACACAGAAGTAGCTTACTTTTTAGAGTGGCCCAACATTTCCCCTTCATTTCACAATTTTTCAAGAAACCTGAATTTCCTTGTTCGGGTAAAATGTCGCATATGCTTTCCATGGATGGTATGAGGCCTATGGACTGTGGGGCTGAAGATGTACAATTTTATGATCAGGAACTACATGAGCTATCTCACAACAATGGTGCAGAAACACTTCTCTCAGACTCAATGTAATACTCTTTCAACCCACCTGATTTCACTTTGGGCATTATGGACTTTAAGTAGAGGCCTATTCATTATTTCCCGGGTTTATACTTCTAATTTATATAATTTTTACTTGTAGGGATTGTGAAAGTGATCTTGTTCAAAGCAAAATTGAATTCTCAGCAACTGACTTCTCTTTCATTGATGATGAAGTCAATGCTGAAGGTAAAATTCTTTATTTGTTAGTTGGTGGGTGTCAATGACAAGAGCACTTGGCAATAATGTAATTTGTTCACCGGAAAACTTTCCTCATCCATATTATCAGATTTGGTCCATTATTAGCTAAAATCAATGAAGTCACAAGTTTTGTAAGTGTGATTGTTTGTGAAATAACAATGCTTACATTGAAACTAGCACATAAAATGGAGAGAAAAACTAAGAAATTATTAAGATGTTTGTGTGTGTGTGTGTGTGTGTGTGCGTGAAGCTTAAACCACACATATTTTAGCTAGCATTATTATGACTTTATTTCATATAGCTTAAATGAGAAATTATACCTTATGTGAAGTTATACTCATAATTTCTAGCTCTGTTCGGTGAATATGAAACAGCAAGAAAATATGAAACATGATCTATGTTCAAATATCATATAGCATTTCAAACCCTTCTATATCTAAACCCTTAACAGCCGTGAAGAGTCAATTTTAAAAAAACCATTTTCCATAATTTTTTGTTCCTCCCCATTTAATATAAAATCTGTCAAGAATGGTCCTTTAACTATTTATTTTGCACTAATTTAGTAGATTATGGGAATCGTCAGTTAGGTGATAAATTTGATGAAAAGTATGTAAACGAAACCACTGTGCCTTGAAATAAGTAGTTAGCCCACTATCCCAATATATATGGTTTACTGTTACACTCTCTATGACTATCTCAAAATAAGGTTCCACATTTTATTTTTTGTTTGTCCCAGAAAAAGGTTCCAATTTCCTTTGAAAGAAATAATTGTGTGGTTCATATTATTTCTCTCCTCGGTACAAAGTCTCCTGGGCTGTAAACCTCATTGACGTTTTGTGTAGCATGGGACCAAAGTTTGTACAAAATCAGTAGTCAAAAGACCATTTTTGCTCGATTTTATAGTTGTTGAGGGATCGTCTCTGTTTTTAAATTTCACACCCACACAATTGCTTGCACAACTGTTTTACAAAACACTTTATACCAACCACAGATTCACAGCTTTCAGTTCTAGCATTTAGTTGGTAATGGTGCATATGCAATTAGAATACTACATACATACATACATACATACATACATACATACATATATATATATATATACTCCCTCCGTCCTATAATGATCTTCCCGGTTCGCAAAACGAAGAAAAATCCCAAGTTTTTTCAATCTATTTTATTTAAATATTGGTATAGAAATAAAAAATAAAACATACATATTTAAAAACTACACCAAAAATTCAACAAAACAAGTGGTGACAAGAATATTTTATTTTATCATATAGGCCATGAAAAAACACAAATAAATATAAATTCCCGTGAAGTTGGAATAGTGCTCTGGGAAGATCATTATAGGACGGAGGGAGTATAAAATTATATATATATACACACACACACACACACATACACACACATATATGGCTGTACAGAAAGGCCTGTCACAGAGGAACATATGCATTTTCTACCTTAAATTAGTAGTCAATCGTTTAAAGCGCATAATGAATGGAAATTGTTGAAAACCCACTCCCACACTCACCAGTCAGCAATTAAAACCCAGTGTAGAATAATAGTGATAATGATAACTTCGAGTGAATACAACTTCAGAACATTGAGCTCAATACATAGTGCAGGAAATCCAATGTTCAGAAGAGAGGTACTTGCAAGGCAAAACCGGCAGCCTGGATTTCAAATCACACATGACAGGGGCAAAAAGGGCACTGATGACATGGAGATCTGTGCAGCTGACAATATCAGCACATTCGTGCTTCCAGTGGGTGTAAAACTAATAGAGCAATCAAAAAATGGTTCAACTTCCTCAAACTCCTGGAGTTGGACAGAGTGGATGATTAATGAAATTAAAGGGGCACAAGCTTGTGATCCTAAGGGCAGCATATCTTGGGATAGAATGAATGCTGACATTGAAGCTATGTTGGACGCGGACAACAATCCTCCCTTTTTGAAGGACAAAGGAGCTCTTTCAATTCGTGCAGCCTCTATGCTGGTTGGTATATACTCCATAGATTTTATTCCAAATTTCCAAGGGAATATTATTATAATGATGTAATGATCGAATCTGAGCTTCATTAAACGAACAATTTCAAGGAGAAACACACTCCCTTAAATGTTATTGTTCAGTTATTCTGTACACAATACTTTTACTTTATCTTTCCTCAAGGATGGTACTATGGTATGATGCGATGCAAAAGATCATGAATGATGTAATGTTAGTGCACTGTTTATTGTAACAACAACAGCAGCAGCAACAAAAAACCCAGTGTAATCCCACAAGTGGGGTTTGCTGGTTTGGGGAGGGTAAGATGTACACACTATTTATTCTAGTAATTAGTTGATAATTTGGACTCTTATCTATTTTTTCCTTTGTTTTTGCAATTTGGATGTTTTATCATTGTTTGGGAGTGGTAGCATTCTCTTGGATGCATTCTGTACTTGTACCAGAATTTTTGAGTGAGGGAATGAAACAGTGGTACCTGCTTTGCCAATGTCAATAATGGGATCAAGTTTGTGGTGTTGTGAAATATTATGATACTATGAATTATGATGCTAGCTGGTGGTGTTAATAGGACGCCACCCGCTTGCTAAATAGCGGAAACACTAATAAATATCACTAGGAGATAGTAATAAGATTGTATGACTCATATCTATATGACTTGATTACAGCATTATATAGGCGTAAAACTGAACTTAGGAAGGTAAAAGTATGTGTATGAATGAGTTGTAAAGTGTATGCCAACTAGTGTAAACGTTCTCATGGATCTGATGTGTGAAACATCTGGTCATCTTCAGGAATCTGAACGAGATACACAGAAGAAGTGGGATCCGGTGATTGAAATGAAATATAGAGGAGGGATATACAGAGGCCACATCCAAGGAGGTCTTCCTGAAGGAAAGGTACACGAGTATGAAATAAATTCCTGGGTTTGGTTTTGTATCAGATATTCATGTAGAAAGGCTACTAGTTGTGTAGGGACATCTGTCTCTTAGAGATGGAAGTGTATACAATGGCATGTGGCGCTATGGAAGGAGGTCAGGTCTTGGGACGATGTACTTCAGAAATGGTGATATTTACCGCGGTTCATGGAGGGATGATGGGATGCATGGGAAGGTAGCAATGCTTTTGTTTGCAAATCACATGCTAATTTTACATCACTTGCATAGGTGACTAATTTTACATCACTTCAGAAATGGTGATAAATCACATGCTAATTTTACATCACTTACATCATCTCTGCTAGTTTACTACCAACTTCAGCTTGAATTCAACTAGGTTGATCATTTATGAGTCCTTCCCTTGGTTATGTGATAAGATCCCAGACCCCGATGGAAGTTAACTGAGCCTTATTAGGGATGTTATATTATTAACCAGTTATATTTTATGGTGTTGCTAAATATATTTTATGGTGTTCCTAAATCCACCCCCAAAATGGCTAAGTCCACAGTGTTCACTTAAATTTGTTAAATCCACACCAATATCAAATTAATCTTAATGAGTGTGGTTTTAGCAAATGTAGGTGAAAGGTGTGGATATACTTTGTAGCACTTTTAGGGGTGGATTTAGCAACACCTATATTTTGATATTGTTTACTTTAACAACACAAACATACATGTGGGGAATGTAACACACACACACACAAATGTGGAGAATTGACATATGATCTCCATTATCGAGACTGCTTTTGTGGCAATTAATATTTTAAGTCAGGGGAACCGGTTTGTGACATTTGTGTAAACATGAAGGGATGGGTTTACTTTCACACTGGGGATCGCTGGTTTGTGAACTTCTGGAAGGGAAAGGCAAACGGAGAAGGGCGTTTTTATCATAAGAATGGCAATGTTTCATTTGGCCACTTCAAAGATGGATGGCGGCATGGCGAGTTTCTTAACATAAACATTGACGGAACACGGTATGTTTTATGTTAATTTACCAGTATGTGATTACAAGTCCTCACACACACAGACACTCTCACATGTTCTCCATGCAGCTATATCTATGTTTTTTGTTTTAGTGTGATTCCTGTTTGCAGCCAATGTGTATGAAGATGTATATTGTATGCTTTTAACAATGTAATATTATTTTAAAAAATAAAAATTCCGTTGATAGTAAATGATGCTGCGTAAATGAAAGCAACCCACATAAGGAATACTATTATTTTTTAAAAAAAAATTACTCTTTTATTTGCAAAAGCCAAAAACCACTCGAAATGGAGTTGAGATTAGATTTATTGACTTGACTATGGATGCAATATTACCTCTTCCTGTTTGTGTGTACCCCTCATTATTACAAGATATATTATGTACTAGACGTTTGTTAAATGGCTGTAACGGTTCACTTGTTATTCTGTTATGTTACAAAGTATATTCTTCTCAATCCTCATTAAATTTTGTAACCCCGCCTTTACAAAAAATGGAACTTTTTCAAAAATTTCCCTTCCCTTCACAACACACTCACACACCAAAAAGAAAATCCCTTTCTCCAATGATAGAATCAATGCCACAGTTAATGGTTTAATTTACCCTTTCTTTCCACACCAAAATGAATACAAGGGAAGGCTTCCAGGAAGTTGAGCTCGTTCCTCTGTAGTAGTTTGGCTTTCGAGAGTAATTTTAGCTTAATTATTGATTCCTCTTGTTGAGTGTGAGCCAAGGCACTCGGCCAACACTTGACTTGAAGAAGACAATGAAAAGCATTTGGAAACCATAGCCGGATGTGGGGCGTAAATTTATGAGGAATATCTTTCCTTCCTCTAAATTCTGTGCATTTTCTTCTCAGCTGTTTGGGTTTCAGAAGTTCTATCATTGGGTTTATTGATATTTTTTTTGTATATAGGTGTCTTGAGAAATGGGATGAAGGCGCCCTTACAAGCAGAGAGATTTTGGATCCTGATATGCCTGCTGGATAGAATGATTTTCCTTTATCTGCCCAATGATTCCATTAGTTAGAATGGTGTGGAGTCTTCATTGTGTCCTGTATCTCATGGGTTAATTAATATCTTTTCTTGTAATAACTTGTTGAATTCTGTTTAGAAATGAGCGAAAGTATATAATACGGAGTATATTTTTGTCACTTCTTGTTTTGTAAAATTTTTTATGTAATTTTTTTAAATTTTTTATTACAGTAATTTTCAAATAAATTGAATTGAAAATAACTTTAGGTAAAACTTGTAAACAATTGGTGACTCATATTCTTTGTGAGAGAGAGAGAGACAACAAATAATCAATCATTATTTGTTTACTAAAGATCAGTACGTCATTTTTGAATAATCAAAAGTTATTTTACCATTGAAAAAAAACTTTGATTAAATGACTAGGCACACTAGTGAGGCTTAACTCAATGATTAGCATAACCATGTTACAAGGGAGAGATCTCAAAGTAAAAGTCCAGACACAAATTTCATCCCTATGATTAATTGGTTGAGATAATAAATGAATAATTGAATTTATTTTTTGTGATCAAGCTAATTGTGTGACCCATATTAAGGGGCCTCTGCAATGGGGATGGACAAATTATACTGCATGCTTTATGGTTTTCATCGTACAATCGGCGTCTCATATTGGAGAAAATTGATGGAGAGCTATGGAGCACTGGTGATGACCTGAATCGAAGAACGATGGAGGGATGGGATGAAGAGCAAAGAGCATATAGTAGAGATTCGAGATTTGTCCCTTCATTCATTTTAGTCCAATCGAGGATGAAGAGCTCCGCTTTGGAACCAATACTTTGTCCTAGAAAACCCTATCTAATGTTGCTCTAGTCGGGTTGGAGAAGAAAGAAGGTTAAGCGGTTTAAGTTTTGCCTACTTATTGCTGGTATGAACTCTATTTTGTTTGAGAATGAAACTAAATTATTTGAAATTACATTATTTGTAAGTGAATATTATAATTATGTTAAATAAATATTTGAAAATGAACACTACGTTATTTCAGAATGAATACTATGTTAATTCAAAATAAGTACTATGCTAATTCAAAATGAAAACTAATGTTTTGTACGATTACTTTATTTCAAAATAAATACTATCCGACTGTATCTTATATGACATGTGCTCTATTGAATGACTGACAACTGTACTGAGAGACAACTATACTAAGCATGTGCACGCTCCACTCTTTATCACCAATTTGTAATTAACTCAACTCAGTGATCATCTGACCAGATTTGAAGGATGAGGCTCATCTTTTATTCTGAATGACAGTTGATACGGACCTTTTAAAATGGGGTTACAATAGAGTGATGATTAGAGAAAGAGGCCCGATTTGAGAAATTTAGGAAAGCAGCCGCCTGGTTTGTTGTTTGTGGTTTCTTATTGCATCTTCTTCTTCTTCTTCCCTGGACTGGATAGATCATAGATTGCCAGAATCAATCGGTCGAACGATCGATCCAGCAGAAATGGAGGTGCCCGGGTCGTCGAAGAAGATGATTGCAACGCAAGAAGAAATGGTGGAGGCTAAAGTTCCGCTTGGGTACAGGGACCAGTGCGCTCACCTGCTCATCCCTCTCAACAAGTGCCGACAGGCCGAGTTTTACCTGCCATGGAAGTGCGAGAACGAGCGCCACTCCTACGAGAAGTGCGAGTACGAGCTCGTTATGGAGCGGATGCTTCAGATGCAGAAGCTTCGCCAGCAGCAGCAGGAGGAGGAATCCTCCCGCCTAGGTCTTAACCGTCGCCCTATTCCCCTCGCCTCCAACCCTGCCAATGCCGCCTCCTGAGTCTCCGCTCCATCCATCCATGGAAAGGTCAGTAGCCTCTTCAATTCTTTATCTTTCTCTCGATTATTATACTTTCTACTTCTTTTTTGCTTGCTTGCCTGATCACAGGGTGTTTGGAAAGTTTTTAGTAGATGCAATTGAATTCGATTCTATAAAGCAATTTCTTTAGTAGATGGGAAGGTTTTTGACAAATGTTGTTTGAATAAGTGAAACTGCCTGATTTGCAACATTTAAGCTTAAGTGCTAGACTTCTTTGTTTGGCTTTTTGTGTAACCATTCCCGATCTTGCATAATCTCCCATGATGTCATTTACTTGGACAGACAAAAAGCTCAGTTCATTGGTTAGATTTTTTTTTTTTTTTTTGAAAATCTTAGCTCTAGGATTTCGCCTGGTGGAGTTGAGTATCTCTTACGTTTGTAGGTCAAATTCTTGAGAGGTGGATTAGATTGTCTACTCTTTAAACCCCAGCCCCTCTATTGTATGTGATAGATCATTAGATCTCAGCAAATCCTCAAACCCTAAGCATTTTTAGTAGGTGATAGATCTAATGCACACTAAAAAGAGACCAATGCTGAAGCTCACATATGCTGAGCTTTGTGTGGTGATAGATCTAATGCTGTAAATCTGTCCACACATGTTTTCAATACACGTAGGTGATAGATCATTAGATCTCAACAAATCCTCAAACCCTAAGCTTTGTTGAAGTAGGCGATAGATCTCAACAAATCTATCCGTGTATCTCTGTCCGTGTATTTCTTTTCAGTTTGAAGCTGCAAAATTTTTTAGTTGAAAACTAGAAATCTCGCGTTGGGAGCCTGGATTTTATGCAAGCATATTTTAGGTGAGAATCTAACAAAATCCATGGAGTATTAAAATTCATGGATTATTAAATACTTAAAGACTTTTTAAGACCTTTTAAAATCTTTATTGAATACCCCAAAATTTTTAAAGATTTTTGAAAATCCAAATTGAATATCTCAAGATTTGTAAACACTTTTGAAAATCCAGATTGAATACCTTCAGATTTTGAAAGTATAAAAAAATCTTACGAACTCCTAATTGAATACACCCTCCTTAGATCTTGAAAGTTGGTTTCGAGGCCAGACTACTTTCACTGTTTGTTATCTTAGTTCAGGTCATTAGGGACATGAGAGTTCAGAATAGATGTTGATGTGGGGGAGTGCTTTCTTCCAAGCTAGGAGGAAGTCAATTGGGCACTTCCAATGTGGTCTAGCTCACTTAATACATAAATTGTTATAAGGATTTCACACACGTGTTACTCTACTCAGTCTGTGTGTGTGTTTTGGAGGAAGAAGAGGGGATATTGCGTCCCTAATTCCCTATCCACTCCACTTAATGATATTTGATGATTAGAATCGAATTAACTAGGCTTTGACTATCTATTTGGAGTTCATTCTTGAGCAGCACTACATATCATTCCTTGCCAGCTGAATAGCTGATGCGGATTTCACAATACATTCCGTGAGTGCCTAACACTTGTTGGAATCTCTCTAGTCTCCAGGTGAGAACTGTCACATGCCGGATTGTTTGGGTGACATGCCATACTCCCACCGGATCATGTTAGATCAATCCTTGTTTGGGCAAAAACCTTCCATGAGATTCTAGTTTGACTGTTTGAGAGAATTTGAGTAACTCTTGATAACACTCAAGAAATTGAGCAAGAAGAACATAGGGTATTACTAAAGTACGGCAAAACAAAATCCCTGCAAGGGAGGGAAAGTTATGGACGAAATAGGCTATGCCAACCTTAGCAGGACTGACTAGTTTCTATTCTGCTACGTTACTTAGAACCCAAGCTATCTATAAATTCCCTAATTCACTAAATAAGTAGAATAAGCTGGAAATCACTACTACTAGATTATATGAGAGTGTAGAATTTCGGTTAATCACCTCACGAATGGCAAGTGGCTTCATGTCTTCCGCTCCCCCCAACCATTCCAAGCCAAATCCAAGGCAGCCAAGTCATGATTAAAGATTCGATCTTTGGGCTTGGAGGCCTCATCTTCATGCTGGGCCTTTTGCTGGAAACTATTTATCTCGAATATATCTGTTCTTGGAAATGATGGATCTTCCTAGACCTGGATCCGATAATCTTGCATCGTGAGACCCTTAATGGGTCATGAACCTACGATGCTTGGTTCCGAATCACTAGCTAGTGCTTATGAGGCTGTTAAGAATATAACAATACAATCTGTCATGTGCCTCTTGGCTCAAGAGAAGCAAACTGTACTGCAAAATAATCTCTTGCATGCTCTCCATTATTCCCACTGTTTTTTGCTGTCAAACTCTCTTGTGTAGGTTTGCTTCTCATTAGTCATGGCTATGACATGAAAACTGAATTATCCATTATTGCTGTTTAGACTGACGGTTTTCCCAAACTAATCAATGTGACTGGCTGTATGCTGACAGTTTGCTTATACTGCTGGGGCCGTGGATGTTCCACAGTGGAGTATTTGTCCAACTGCTCTCTGGGGATGGAAAAAAAAGGGGAACTATTTGTGTGTTAACTGAGAATCATGAAGTATTTGTGTGTATTTTTCTTGTTCAATGCTTTTGTACCAAATAAGTTTTCTCCCTTGCCAAACAATCTCAAAGTCCCTTTTTAGAACATTGATGATAAACTTGATGTTATTACATGAAGTATGATATACTCCGGGTATATATTACTCTTTTACTCCCTCCTCCCAAGAGGAGATTGGACCGAGGGAGGATGTTCCGACCGGACAAACTAAGAGAACTTAGAAATGAGAGAGAGAGAGACCTAGTGTTGTAGGCTTGACTCAGGAGACCATGTTCTTTTACTAGGCCATGTTCTTTTCACCTGATTCGATTAGAATAAATTTTGATTTAGTTTGATCTGATATGAATATAGTTATATATAAAGTTACGGTGGGGTTCTAGTGACACTGGAAAACGATGCCACTAGCGGTGCCACTGGGTTTTTGGGGCACCTTCGGTGCTCCGTTGGTAAAATTGACGGTTCCTACCCTCCATAACCCACCCCCTAAACCCCCCACCCCACTACTCCCACCCCAACCCCGCCGTAAGCCCCCCACAAAATGTGTGGCTATTATGCATTGCATAATAGCCACACATTTTGTGGGGGGCTTAGGTTGGGGTGGGGGTGCAGGAGTGGGGGTAGGGTGGGGGGTTTAGGGAGTGGGTTAGGGGGGCGTAGGAACCGTCAATTTTACGAACGGAGCACCGAAGGTGTTCCAAAAACCTAGTGGCACCGGAGTGGCACCGTTCTCCGGTGTCACTAGAACCGGACCGATAAAGTTATTACTGATTTTGATCTCATCTAATTTCAATAAAAATAAGGAATAAGTACAGTGTAAAAAAAATAAACATGGTTTATCATATAAGTAAGCATTGACTTGTTGATTGAAAGAGGAGCCTAATAACCTTGGATGGGGAAGGTTCTCATGACATTGGTTCTCCCATGATATTGGGAACCAATGTCATGGGATGACTCGGGGGCGCTCCGGTGCCCCGTTCGTAAAATTAACGATTCATACCCCCGAACACACCCCCCACCCCCTTCAATTGCACCCCACAAGTCGATTTTGATTTTGGAGTCAAAATTTGACTCTAAAGTCAAAAATGACTTGTGGGGTGCAATTGAAGGAGGTGGGGGTGTGTTCGGGTCAGGGCGGGGTGGGGGGTTAGGCGGGGTAGGAATCGTCAATTTTACGAACGGGGCATCGGAGCGCCCCGAGTCATCCTATGATATTGGTTTCCAATGTAATGGGAACCAAGGTGTAAAAATAAGGAATAAGTACAGTGTAAAAAAAATAAACATGATTTATCATATAAGTAAGCATTGACTTGTTGATTGAAAGAGGAGCCCAATAACCTGCAACTCATTTGTACGTCTTGCACTCTACCAAACCACATCTGCAAAGGGCACGCCATAAAGACCTAAAGGGATATGAGTTACTCCCTCGGTCCGGAATGATGTTCCCACTTTAAATTTTCCTCATTTTTAAGAGGCATTGAATAATGGCTTGAAAGGACTAAAATGCCCTTGCATTTTGAGGCTCACCATAGCCCATCTCCCACTAGCACCCGTGCTCACCTCCAGTGACACCCTACCGCCTTCATCGCCACCTCCCACCACCACCATCAGCCCACCACCACCCAACCTCCCACCATCGCCGTCAGCCCCCACCTCCATCTCCCACAGCTGCAAAATCTTAAAGCCAAAACACCAAGATTGGAACTCTTAGGATTGGAATCTCCATCTGCAATCTACTTTTCCCACTGGGGACTTAGTTTCCGTATCCCCAATTTTGAATGGCCACCACTTCGCCTCCAAAATAGGAGATTGGAGAGTTGCCCGAAGCCCGTCACGGGGGATACGAACGGACTAGGCTTCGCCGTCAGTGCTCAGTGATGTTCGGAAAAGGGTTCGTCTGGTACTCCAGACCTGAGAGCGACGCTCGACTCCGGCGTTAATGACCTCGTCCGGCGAGTTGACCTAGTCGCCCTGACCCACGCCATCGACCGCCGTTAAAAACCCGCGGGTCGCAGGGACACCCTCGCTGTTGATTGCCGTCAACTTCCAAGGTAGCTGCAACAGTCGGATTGCTGTTGGGCGTTGGCGACGGGAGGAAGAGCTTTGTTCGTGTCAGATCTGGAGCTCTTGGGACTGATTGGGTTTGGACCTGGATAGCATCGGCTGGTTGAGCTCCCCTGGTTTGGATCTGGGAACAACATTTAGGAGCGGAGAAGAACACTGTGCTCCGGCATCAATGACATCATCCGGCAAACCTAGAGCGTCGCTGCACCTGATGCGGTCGCTGGTCCAAGATATCCATCAGGAGGAAAAAAAGAAAGGAAGAAAAGAAGAAAGGATTGAGGATGAGGGTAATTTTGGAAGAATAGACAAAAAAAACGTACAATGGGAACATCATTCCCGGACGGGAAAAAACGTACAATGAGAACATCATTCCCGGACGGAGGGAGTATTTCATTTGTCTTAGCTACGAAATTTATATTTTCTTTCATAAAACGAATTGTGTTTCTAAGTAAATTCTTACCAGCCATACTTTCTTCATTTTTTTATTTTTGTTACTCCGTACATTTTTTTAATTATAAATTTAAAACGTAAATCTCATCATGCAACTAGAAGTATAACTTAAAAAATAAAGATAGAGTCTTAACCATTAAATCGGATATAAGGTGTCCTATCTACATTAGGCAAGTAGTTTTACCTGAGAACTAGATCTGGCAAAAAGTGACTCGACTTGTTCTTGACTCGAAACCCGACTTGAAAACACTGGGTTTTGAACAAAGATTTTGATGATCAAACCCGAAGTTGACCGAACCCGAAATGACCCGCTAAAAATGGGTCAAATCCAACCGAACCTGAACCCGATCTGACCAGCCCGCTAAAGTAAAAAAATTTCAAAATTATTCACTTTACTACTCGTTTTTAGTATACAAATTTATATTTTTAGACAAAATTTTAATGATATTGCATAATTATCTTACTTTTTTTAGTTTTTTTCCAAAACTTAAGCATATTTAAATTCCTTATATTGATTTATATATCTGAAAATTATTTTAGAGTTTAAAATAAAATAATTTTATAGATTTAATACATTTTTTGTGATATTTTAAATTTATTTAATAGAAAATGTAAGTGTTAATGTGAATTTAAAAATTTAAAAAACCAAAGTCATAATCCGTTGGGTTGATCCAAATCCAATGGCATTAGGCATGAACATACATCTCTCAACCCGAACCGAACTTGAAGTGACCGAACCCAATCTGTCTGATCGATTTGCCAGCTCGACTCAGAACAACAGATTGTCCATTTTCCTAGGTGGACAGTTGTAAACTTGAGTTTGTGATTAAGTTGGTTTCTTGAAAGCTATGCATATTTTTGGAATTTAAAAGATACTCCTCCAATCCTAAAATAGACCTTTTATATTTTTTTATTATCCCACAATAAAGTATTCTCTCTGTCCCCAATAGATCTTCCCAATGGCTTTTTTTCTTTGTCTACAATAGATCTTCTCATTTCATTTTTTAACAATTAAAATATCACAACTACTTCTACTTACTTTATTTATTACACCCTACCCACTTCATTTAATACACTCTACCTATTTTTATTAAGAGTATTATAGTAAATTTTTACCTTTTTTCAACTCTCCTTAAAAACCACCAAAAGTCAAAATGAGAACATTTTAGGGGGACAGAAGGAGTACTTATCTTTTACTCCCTCCGTCCTAAAACTTTCTTCTCATAGCACTATTCCAACTTCACGGGAATTTATATTTATTTGTGTTTTTTCATGGCCTATATGATAAAATAAAATATTCTTGTCACCACTTATTTTGTTGAACTTTTGATGTAGTTTTCAAATATGTAAGTTTTATTTTTTATTTCTATACTAATATTTAAATAAAATAGATTGAAAAAACTTGAGATTTTTCTTCATTTTGCGCAATGGGAAGAAAGTTTTAGGACGGAGAGAGTATAAGATGAATGAGGTGATTGACAATATTTTCTCCTCTGCATAAATCCCAAATTGATAATTTTATCTTTTGAAAAAAATCTATAAAAAAAAGTGCTCCTTATTTTAAAAAAAAAAGTGGAATGCCCACGTATTTTAAGTGTTTCTAGACAAAATTCTGAAGGAAATAAATCATACTCCCACTCACATGGATGAATAGTGTGTGAATAGTGTAGGAGTGAGAGGGTAAAAGAGTCAATTCCTTGTAAAGTTATTGACTTTGTAATTCTTTTTGAGACAAAAATGTGTGAGAATATTGTAATCTATTTCGGGACGGAATGAGTAATATAATGCCAGAATTTACTTGGGGAGGAAAGGTAATAAAGAAAAATAATAAGGCTAGCCCCTACTCCCTAGGTTAGGAGAGAGAATATTTGGGATGCAGAAGAATGAGAATTTCGGAGCATTGATCGATCATCGGGTGCAGGGTGAAAAGTGAAAACGGAAAAGCAAAAAAAAAAAAAAAGAGAGAACAGTTTGAAAGTGTAGTCAAATCATAGCGGTAAATTCCAGAGCAGAGCAGAAAAGGGGGATAGGACAGCGTCTCCTTCTTACCCCTCCGTACACAAAATTAAATGTGATACTACTACCCCTCCCTGCCCTACCCTCCATCTACCCTAAACCCTAAACATGGAATTATAATATAAAAAAAAACTGTATTTCAAACTATAGCTCCAACCCACATTCCAAACTTATCAACTCTTTTTTCTCCCTATTGATTTTGATATGAATTTATTAAAATCTAAAGTTAATTTAAATTGAATGTTATAATGCATACCTATCTGATATAGAGAAACCTGACTTTTATATTGGATTATGATCCCTAAACCTAGTCCGATCCGTTATCATGATTTAATATGGGTTGGACAATATTAAAAGTTTAAATTCAACCAATTCATATAATAATTATTTTACGTTTGGATCTAACAACCACTTCATGTTCTCCCCATTCACCTTGATTCAACCCCTAATTAGATTCTTTCATTACATCCAAACAAATCAAAACATGAAACAATGCACTACTGATATATTTCATTCGTCTAACAATAAAGTTCATATTCACTATTTATATAATCAAACTTTATTCACTGTATTGGTTTATTTTCATGTTCTATTTGATAAAATGGTATATTCATGTCACTTCTGGTTTTGCAGATCTTTTTATATAATTTTTAAATATATAATTTTTTGTAATTTTTAATTTCATAACATTTTTTATATAAAATGATTTAAAAATAATTCTGGTCAAATCTCATAACGTACACGGGACCTTTATTTATAGACGAAGAAAGAAGTAGTCTCTACTATTACTATTCTAAGTACTCTAGTGTGTACCCTACCCCCTCTCTCTCTCTCTCTCTCTCCACTCCTACGACTGTACATAGACTACATACTCTATACAACTCCTACTTTTTTTTCATTATCCTTTCTCTCCCTTGAACATTTTTATTTAATTTGATTTCAAAGCTTATCAATTTAAATTAAAAAAATTAAAAATAGACAAATACTCAAGAATGCAGTATGGAGTCTTTGATGTAAAAAACATACTCCGTATTTCCTATTTTATTTATTAGATTAAGATTATACATATAATTAAAACTCCTCAAATAATCATTCTAAAATGGGGTTTTTTTTTTTGAAGATAGTGTACTGTAGTAATAATGGGGATGGGGCCGGGGTAGAATAGGGAATAAAAGGAATTAGGGAGCAGAGTAGCATCATTCCATTCTCTGGGCAGGGGGCAGGGGCAGGGGCAGGAATTTCCCATCATTCCCTTTCTTTTCTTCTTCTTCTCTTCCCGTAAAGTCTTCTTCTACTTTATGTACTGTGTAGTAGACCAAAGCTTTTTTTGCCTGTCTTTTCTCCCTAATCCCAACAAACAAACTCTCTTTCTAATCTCCCCTCTTCTCTTTCCTCTAGTCCTATCCCACCTCCCAACTGTGCACCACTCCTCCCACACTTCCTTCATTTTTCAAATTAACCATGTATCTTAACCAAAAAAGATAAGCCCTATGCTCGAGGGTCTTTAAACCTGACAAGACGATAATTGGAAAGGATAAATTAGATTTTAATCGCATATTAGAGGCAAAAAGTAGAGCCTGAACCTGGTACTTGCAGATGCCTTATGCTTAGTATAGTTGCCTCTCAGCGCAGTTGTCACATATCGAACTCGAGTCTTACCCCCTTGGCACTCCTTACTCTGCCAACTATGCCCACCGGCAACCATGTATCCTAAATTATACACCACAAGTGTGCATTTAACTCTTTGACGGTTTATACTAACACAAAATGTTATTCTAATAAAAAAATTATTTTAACATTTTGTTTTAGTTTGATCCATCAAATTGTCGTTGCACACACATAGTATACAAATCAGGTACAACCCTTAGTGTACTAATAATTTTGGGGGAGATCTCTCTAGATAAGAATAAAAAAAATTATGAAAATATTAAAATAGGAGTCACGAGTCTTTTAAGACCAAAATAAGAATTCACAGTGTCATTGTTGCACAGCCACACTCACCACATTGTCATATTTTAACTTTCACACTATCAACGCCACACTGTCATTTGTTACCGACGGCCACCTGAATGCCGCTACAGATCACCGACGGTTGACTGATCACACTGACATATTACATTGTTATCACTTTCCATCACTACCAATTCATATTCTTACATCACACTATCATTATATTCTTATTTTGGTCTTCAAAGACATATGACTACTATTTTAGTATTTTCAAACTTTTTTACTCGTATCGAGGGATATTTGTTTAGTTTTTTTCTTTTCAAGTTCACAAGCTTCAAAGCTTAATATATTCCCCCCCTCTTAAATTCTCCTTCCCTCCCCATTATACTTTTCATTTAGAAGACCCCAGTAAAATCTACCCTCTTTGTTTCAAATTAGATTGCAAATTGTGATTTACGAGGTAAAATTTATCATCTTTTGAAATCATTTTATTTGCAAATTGATATATCGATAAAAAATAGAAATTACATATTAAAAGACTTCGCCAAAGTTTTACAAAATAAGAGAAGACAAAAATATTTTATTTTATGAAATATGAAAGCACACAGATAAACAAAAGTTATCTACGAGAGTAAAAAATTATAATCAAAATTAAGACCGATGAAATATGTGATATTGTTGGAGTGATTTGGAGTAATATTTAATTGCTTGAAAAGTAAAAAAAGTAACACTCCCTCCGTCCTAAAACTTTCTTCCCATAGCACTATTCCAACTTCACGGGAATTTATATTTATTTGTGTTTTTTAATGGCCTATATGATAAAATAAAATATTTTTGTCACCACTTGTTTTGTTGAACTTTTGATGTAGTTTTTAAATATGTATGTTTTATTTTTTTATTTCTATACCAATACTTAAATAAAATAGATTGAAAAAATTTGAAATTTTTCTTCATTTTGTGCAACAGAAAAAAAGTTTTAGGACGGAGGGAGTAATAAAAAATGGGTTTTGGGGGATGCAAATATGAGAAATGAAAGGGGGATAGATATTAGATAGAGATGAGACTAGAGGAGTGTGGGGAGTCAAAGGAACAGCGATGCAGTAGCCGATCGCCGAATTGGGCAAATGGGTGAAATCATTTCGTTTCGTCTCACTCTCATCTCCCCTTCGGATCGGATCCCATTAAAGAATACACAAATCTCATTCTCTCCCATCCTCTCATCTCTCTGTCACTAAAAGATTGTCACAATCTAAACTTTTTAGTCAAACTGTGGCAATCTTTTAAGAACAGATAAAGTATTATTTTTAAACAATACAGTCGTAATTTTGTGCACTTCATATTCTATGGTAAACTTAGAAGGAGAATGCTAAAGAGGCACCACGTGTGCCTCCAAACATGTCATCCAATATATTTAATTTGTTTTTCAATTTTCCTTTTTTTTAGTTTTTTCCTCTCTCACCTTCTTCCCCAAAATTCCCAAATCTCCCTTCTCCCACTTCAATCTCCACAAGCGATAGAATTCGGACAACTCCAATTCCACGTCTTTCTTCTCCGTCGAAAGCATAGCAGCGCCGGCAGCCCCACCCCTTCAGCTCCAGCGCCGGCAGGCCCACCCCTCCAGCTCCAGCGCCGGCAGCCCCACCCCTCTAGCTCCATCGCCGGCAGCCCCACCCCTCCGAACACTTCTCTTTCCTTGGTCTCTTTCTTGATCTCTGTTTCTAAAATTGATATAAACCCTAGGGGGTTCAGATCTTGGATCTTCTTCTACATTGAAATTTTAGCATCTTTAGTAAATACTCCGTAGTAATTAATGATTTTCGGACAGTTCCGAAGTATCAAAGACCATATGCCCTAACCATGGTTTAAAAAGTAATAATCATGGGCAGTTCAAGGATCCAGTTTATGATATACTCAAGTATTTACTTCTTTTTTAAAAAAAAATTGATTTCTGTGAAATATGTTTCGTGAAATATTTGAACTTCATATAAGATTATTGTCTGTGAAATATGTTTCGTGATTTGCAAAAAAAAAGGTAATATATTCACTGACTTTTAAACTCTGTGAATTTACATAATACCTACAGTCACTGTCTGGGAATATATATGGTTTCTGCTCTTATTTGTACACAGGATTTTGATGCTCTGTTAGAATTCAGAAACAGAAGAGATAAAGGAGGGAAGGTGCTGAGGAAGATGATGAGGAGTCAGAAGAAGATGATGTATTTTATTCATGAAGTTCATATGACATTATTGTTTGTGAAACAGGTTTGCTTGTTATTTTAATATTATTTTCCCTTGCAGGTATGGCAATTGTGGAGTGATGGTGCTAGCATTTCTAGAGTATTTGTTGCTAGCCTTACCATTAAGCCCAAACTGCAATTGTGAACACATGACTGATTTCTGATGTCAATTTGCAGCTAGGTTATGGCGCGGAAGGAAAACACCCAATATATAGCATTTTTACTTTACAATTTTAGGGGTCTTTAATTTTTGTGAAACTCTTTGTAATGGTTTATGTGCTTTGTAATGTATTTTTTGGGGAAACACTTTAGCCTTTTATGAAAGCTTTGTAATGGGGCTTTTATAATCATGAATTTGTACTTGTTAATGCACAATGTGTTAATGTATGTGATGACTGATTTACATTAGTTTATAACTGATTTACAGTTTTACTTCCAGATCCCTCACAGAGAATAACTGTCTGTTTTACCCATTTCACAGAGATTTAATGTATGTGACGATAGAGTTACATAACTTTATGTACATACACCATCTTCAGAATCTTATCACATATGTGGGGGTCTTGTAAAGGTAAAAAGAAAGTTAAAACGCATACATTAGATTTCAGCGGGCTCACATGGAATAGCTGTCTATTTTACACACTTTACAAAGACTTAATGTATGTGAAAACAGAGTTACATCAGGTTTACATACTTTACACAAAAAGCAAAAAGCTATGTGAAATACAGTTCCCATGCTCAATCCAAAAATGAGAGCAAAGATATAGATCTGATGCCAAAAAAGGACAATTAAAAGTCAATGTAGTGAAATGCCAAGCTCCAGACCTCCCAAGGTGAGGTCGTAAACACCATCTTCGTCTTGCACGGGCCAAGCATGCTGCCGTTGTGATGCAAAGATCTCAGACGCATCCATTTTCTTCCTCTTATTAGGTAGGTTATCATTTTTTCTACCTTCTTCCGGTTTCGGGTTTTTCTATGCAAAAAATAGCACATACACAATAGTACAATGCATGACTATGAAGAAAACAAAAATACACCAAATGCAGAGTGCATACAGATTATTAGCATCTGTGACAAGGACAAACCCTAAGTTCACAGAACTTTAATCTCTGTAACATCAAAACAAAACAGTATTTTTTCACTAATTCAAATGAATATAGAATGTGGTCTAAATATCAACACTTACAATTGGGCTGCAAATCATATAAAACCATGTCTTCTTCTTCACCACCAAAATCATGTGGTTGATCATTCTCAACATGTGTAACAATACATGCTTGTAAGTCCATAATCACCAAAAAATGTATAACACAAAAATTCAAAAAATTATAACACAAAAATTCAAAAAATTATATCACAAAAATTGTGGGGGCTGGGTTGGGACTGGATTGTGTACTGACTAGGGGCTATGGGGGAGGGGGCTGGGGTGGTTCCGCTGTTGTGAGAGGGGGGTAGCCGGCGGTGGTGGTGGCTGGTCGGCCGCGAAGGAAGATGCTGGGTCGGCGGCTAAGGAGAGGTCAACGGCGAAGGATAACTGGCCGGCGAGAACAGACCGGCGAAGGGGGGTGGGGTGAGGGACTGGGAACAGGGTTGTAGAGGAAAGAAAAAAGAAAAAAAAAGAAGGAGAAAAGGTAAAAAAAAAGCTTAAATAAGGAGACAACAAAGAAGGCAGGTGCGGGTGTACTGTAGCACGGTCCAACTTAAAATTTATAGATCCACCATCAACGTAAATATAAGAGAAATAATCGAATCCTAAATACTTTAATGAGTATTTATTTCAATTAAAAATAAAAAAAGGATTTTTTATGGTATTTTAATTGGAACCGAAGCTATGAATGTCAACTGAATATTTGACCTATTATGCATACCCTAAAGTTTTCATGTCAAATTCAAAATAAGTCGCTATCAAACCCAATTAGTCAGCACACATTTCATGCCCATCGCCTTTTTAAAATGGTTTTATTTTTTTTTGGAAAAAGGTAATATCCAACCCCATGATTCCATAACTTCACCTCAAGTAGTAGACTGAGATCACATGTTAAATTAAGTTACTCGTATAATTTTATTATATAAAATAATACAATATTATTTTAAATGTTTGTTAATATTTTTTATACCTAGTTATACAAAACTAAAACTCGGATTAAAATATACTTTAAACATAATAAAACATGAATGAAATCTTCTGAATAATTACAGAATAACTTTTTAATAAAAAAATATAAAAAGATTATGATTGTGTTATTATACCCCATATTTTACTCTCTCTGCTTTATAATTATGTTCTACTTTAATATTACAAAGTCAAAAAATAGTTATATTCAATTTCTTTAACTATTTTAATTGATAATTTAATAGAATAAAATAATTTTATTTCCGGTTGTTTTGAAAAAAATGTAGGTATAGTTTTTGGTATACGGGTAACATTTTAACATTTTTGTACGTACATAAAGAAGTAAGGACACTATATAATATATATATATATATATATATATATATATATATATATATATATATATATACTTGAATTGAATATACGGAGTACCCTGTAGACTGACTCTACATATATATATATATATATATATATATATATATATATATATATATATATATCTCCTCATTCTCTGAACCATAAAAAAGAAACAAACATACAAACAGGCAAGCTCAGCGCCAGCTGCTTCTGGCATTCTACTTGCAACGGCGATACATTCTGAAATGCCGGCGGCGGAGATCGTCGGGGGGCGGCAGAGCCACCGTGTGAGGCAATACGTGAGGTCAAGAGTGCCTCGTCTCCGGTGGACTCCCCACCTCCACGCCTCCTTCCTTCACGCCATCCACGCCCTCGGCGGCCCCCACAGTACTCACTCACACTCTCTCTCTCTCTCTCACATTATATTTGTTTTCGTGTAAATTTGTAAATTAGTAGTGGAATAATAATGATGAATAAATGGATGGGGGTGCATGCAGAGGCAACCCCGAAGAGAGTGCTGCAGATGATGAACGTTCCAGACCTCACCATCTCCCATGTCAAAAGTCATCTCCAGATGTACCGGTGCATGACCCCCGCCGCCGCCGCCATTGGTTTCGCTCCCGGCCACCACCACCGCCGCCATCACGGTCCGTTTTTATATTTCTTATTTATTTCTTTTGTTACTTCATTTCGTATTATCATTATTCTCATCACAGCCCTTTGGCGGTCATCTGTCAGCGTCGAAGAAGACGCCGGCGGCGGGGAGTGGGTTGAAGCCGGAAAGTGGGCACCGGAAAAGAGCGTACTCCGGCGGCGGGGAGAGGAGGGAGGAGCGTTTGATTTGTCCGAATCACGGCGGCATCACAGAGCTCATCAGAGTAGTGCAGCCCACTATTAGTATTCCCTCGCCACCGTCGTCGTCGTCGTCGTCTTCTTTTTCTCGCCTAACTGCTCCAGAGGTTGACTTTTTCAAGGTACCCCATATTAATACCCCTTTTAATTTTTATTATTAATTTTTAAAATATACTATTTTGTACTACTACTAGTCCTTTTTAGTCCTTAGCTATATGATATATTCGTTCTGCAGTCCTTTCATTTCACGTACTCCGATCCCCTCCTTTTATTTATTTACCGGATCCGACTCTTCTTTATTATGTTGACCACAACATTTACCCCATTCTTCCTTATTTTGATTACAAAAATGTAGATCACGATTTTTAAAATTATTTTATTTACAAATTGATATATTAATAAAGAAAAAAATTATTTATTAAAAAACTACATCAAAAAATCTACAAAATATGTGGTGACAAGGATATGATGATGATTATTATTATTTTATTACTAATACTCGGTATTCTTAAATGTTAAAAAAAAGCAGGAAGAAGGGGAAAAATGGAAAAAGTACAAAGTGGAAGAGGATGGGAAGGAGGAGGGAGTGGAAGAAGTGTGGGGAATGTCTCTGTCGCTCTCGCTATCGCCTCGTAGTCGCCCTTATAACAATAATATTGTTGTTAATAATAATAATAATAATAATCTGAATCTTGATTTGTCCATTGCTCTCACTACTACTACTACTCCTAGAGCCTCTTGATTATTACTACCATTGATTGATTTCTATCTTAATTAGTATTATTATATATTTCTTTTTTTACTATTGATTATTTACTTAATTAATTATCAGGAAATTAATGTATTCATATATATATATTTTCCCATTCAAACTAGGGAGAAATACCAAAGTAGAAGTAAAACATTGAAAATATATCAAAATAAGACTTTCATGTTTTTTTTTCTCCAAAATAGGACTTACATTACCAAACATGGTCATATACATTACCAAAAAAGTATAGTAATGTGCACATGTACAGTGCCACATTGACACAGTGCAAAGTCACATTACCACAGTGCAAAATTCTATTTCAGGAAAAAAACATGAAAGTCCTATTTTAGTATTTTTCTCTATGTTTTAGTCCTATTTAGAGTGATTTCTATCCAAACTAACTAGGATGTATGTGTACCTATCAATTTTGGGATGTTATTTTAACTATTATTAACTCCATTTAGTGTTTATATTCCATATATCTTTTTAATCTACTTAATTTTTTATTTCATTTATGCCAAATAAAATACCACTTTTCATATGCAGTAAAAAATACGAGTACAAAATTATGGCTTCAAATGTTTTTTCGGGGCGTCATGACGCCTTCGTTAAACGTTTAACGGGTGAAAGAAAACAATTAATAATGTTCATAATGTCCAGTAATGACGAATATTTATTTAAATAATGACTAATGCATAATGACAAAAAGTACTATATTGGGAAAAAACACATGTGATGCTATTTATGATAAGTCATTATGTTTTAGTACGTAGTACTATTTAAGTAAATTCCTTTTAAAAAACACCCCTCTATTTATATTCATTCTTATTTTCAAAAACAATCTTCAACTTTTTCTCTTACTTTTTTAATTTTGATCGTGAATTCATTTGGTATCTCCGTTTCCTCGTCCGGTCTTGAGGCAAGCGAGTATGCGATGCGGATTACCGAACGTACGAGCTCAAGGAGAAATATAATATGCTTTAATTTTTTATTAATGTTATTTTAAATTTATTGTAATTTTTTATTGAATGCAATATTTTATTTAATGAATCTTTTTCATTTAAATTTAATTAATATTTTACAAAATGTGTATTAAGAATTTAAAAAGTAAATGTTTGAAACCTCAGTTTGAAGCTCCGAGTTTCAAATCCATTTCTAGTAAAAATGATATTGTAAGAATAAAATACGAGTATAAGTTTTTTTTAAAAAAAAAATCAAACTTGACTCTATATATGTCAAGTACAACGTTAATCAGATATAAGATAAATTATAAGTTAATTTAGAAGTTATATGGAATACGATATGTTCATTTAAAAGCTAAATAGATGGCGACGTGTGTACTCACTAGTCAGATTTCCAAAATTCCAGCAATAAGTATCGCTTTGTTACATTTTTTAAAGATTGATGGTGTAAATTTGACCGTTGACTGGGTATCACATGGTCAAACGGACTCTACCAGGTAAGCCAGACACACAAGAAAGTAAGAACACGAGAGTGACATAGACCATGAAAGAATTCATGTGCCCGAATTTATATTTCTTACTATGGTTAAAGAGTGTACAAGTATGTGTATCAATGATTCAACGTTCCTCCTCCTCCTCTTCCAATGTATTTATATAGGGTGGAGGAGGTTAATTAAGGTAACAAGCCCCTAGTCAGGCACGGGCCTAGCGCCAATCAATGCCCGTATAAGGAAACAACCCCTGACCCGTATTTCATTGACCAACTCATTAAGGGACGCCAATCTCGCCATCAATCAAGTCATCCAGCAATTAAGTCCCGGAGATGGCGGGGTAGGACAGTGGGATTGCACAACACCATTCATCGCCTAGCGCTGTCCGCATCAACCAGACACTCCTAACTCGATCGAGCAAAACCTTAAGGTAGTCTTATGGATCATCTCGGAATGACCATGCTGAAATATGACCATAGGGAAGCACTAACATTTGACTTTGTGCCCTAAAGAAACAAACATCGAGTATATATGTCGTACCAGTACAAAATTACTTGGTACTTTCTTTTTTCTAAACGGAGAGCAAAGAAGAGAAGCTTATGAGATCCGGCACTTCTCGCCGGTCACAGCAATTACCGTCATCGCCACCGCGCACGGCGATCGGCTGCAGCAGCGGCGGAGTGGATTCTAAAATCGGCTGATCATCATCGAATGTCTCCCAACGGTCAGTTATGATTAGCGTTTTCAATCCGCCTTTCTCCACCGCCGCATCCCGCCCCTCGCCTTCCCGTCGCCGTCTTCCTCCACCAGTCTCCGGGGATGGATTCGATCTGGTTTTAACGTGTCCGGAGGAAGAATCGGAAGAGGATGATGATGTTGATGGCGAAGTTCTTCCACTGATGATGTCCTCCAGTTCCCGGATGTCTTCCTCCGGGATCCTCTTCACTTTTGGGCATTGTAAGTTGTGGATCAAGCCGAGTTCGGTGCATATCTCGAAGAAGGCGGCGAGATCTCCTCCTTGGACGGCGGCCTTCTGCATCACCCGCAGCGCCACCTTAGCCTCTGCCCTCTCCGCCGTGTAGATCCGTAGCAGAACCTTCGTCACTCCGCTGCATATCAGCCGGTACACGTCGTAGACCTCGAACACAACCAGATCCATCGCCGTGGCGACCAGCGGTAGCGCTGCCAGTTCCGGCTGCTGCGGCGTCACCTGCAACAACACGTCGAGCAGCCCCTGCAGCTTCTCCAGCGCGGCGAGGTCCTCCGCGACGTTGAAAGGGGAGAGGCGGCGGCTCTGCTCGCCCCGCCGTCTCCCAGTGGATCCGAACGACGCGCTGCGCGTGGGGTTTGTTCGGGAAGCGGTTGCGGATTTCTGGTCCAGGAAGGCGAAATAGGAGCGGACGAAGGCGTTCTGGGCCCACGTCTTCTCGGGGCAGGAATGGCGGTCGGAGAAACCGGAGAGGTCGAACGGCAGCCGCCCGATCCCGTCGGGGGCGGCGTCAGAGCTGAGAACGCGGTGCAGGAGCATGAGGGCCTTGAGGGCGACGACCCAGCTCCGGGTCTTCTCCAAACGGGCCGCAATGGCCCACAGGACGGGGCGGAAATTGGCGCCGGGAGAGAGGCGGATCCAGTGGCACACCTTATCGACGCAGCGTTGGTCGACGGGGAATTCGTCGTGGGTGGTGGCTCTGATGACGGCGGCCTCGATTTCAGGGCGGCGGAGGGCGGTTCTGGTGGCAAAGCTGGCCAACAATAGGCTGTTCTGGTCTTTAAGGGCGCCGGAAACGACTTTCCATAGCCTCATTATTGATTGATTGATGATATCTTCCTTCAATTATATTTCTGGATACGATTGCCGCCCGTATAATGCAATTGAAGATCGAAGAAGACGATGAAGAAGAAGCGCAGGCAGGCATATGGGATTTGATGAATTGCTGCGTTGCGCTTCCTTCTTCTCTTTGGGCGTAATCTCCCTCTCCTCTGCCAAGCAGCTCCAAGGAGAAATGACGGGAAATTTAAAAAAACAGTACTAGGAAACCAAATAAATTTTTCCTAACACACCAACATTTTATATCAGTGCGAACCATCAAAATGTTAGTCTATATTGTGTAGCATAGTTGTTGCTTTATTGCATATGAAAAAACAATACCTACATAGTTAGTTCTTAAAAAAATATATCTCCTCTGTTAAAAATATTTTCCATTTTCTTTTTTGAAACGTCTAAAAAAAGTCATCTGTTCAATATTGACAAATTTTGTATGACCCAATATCTATTTTTTTCTTTAGGTCTTTTCAATCAATAATTTCCCTTTTCTTAAATTTTGTATCAAATTTAATTATAGAGTTTTTTTCTTGGAGGGAGGAAGTATTTCATCTCCGGGAAGAAAAAAATAAAAAATAATGTGGAAGCAAAATGAAAGTGAGACTTGTTGATTATAACTAGAAAAAAATACTCTCTCCAACCTTGAATATTAGTCTAATTTTAACTTTTTTTTGATAAAAAATGACCTGAAATTAATTAAAAATGATATTAGATATTCATACAAAAATAGTTTTATTAAATATATTATCTAAATTATTTTTAAAATATTATTTATCTAATTAATATATAATAAAAATTTTATTTAATAATAAATCAAAAAATTAAAACTTAAAAAAATTAAAACACAACAAAAAATATTTAAAGTGGGGAGGTAGTACTATTTGTTGTTTGGTTTGTCATACTTGTAATAAAAAGATGGATATGGTAACGTTCGGTGTGATTGATCATAGGGATAATTGTGCTATTTTTCATCATCGTCCTAACCATCACAATCGAGGGCACCTGCTGCAGAAGGAACAAGTGAATCTGCTCTTCTTCTCGTCTTAATCCACTCATTATCTCAAATCCCTAATTCTACGGAGCAAATTCGCTTTACAAAACCAGTGAGGTGATTAGAGCCAGAAATGGCGGTTCATCTGAGTCAGATCTGCGGCATTCTTTGTGTGCTATTGCTGGTAACGGGATTGTGTGTGTTTTCACTGGTCCACGGGCACTCCGATGGGGATGCACGGGGACAGTGTAGCAACGGACACGACCGCCACCATCACCACCGCCACAGCGGCGAGGCGGCACTCCACGAGCATTCTCATCGGCACGATCCTCATCACCAGTGTACCCATGGACACCACGGGGGCGCTGATGTTAAGAAAAGGAAGCTGCTTCCCGAGGAATTGGCTGAAGAGGAAGATCTGAAGATGTACGGATTTTGGGAACCCGATGAAGACCATCACCTTCACCATCATGACCATGCCCATGTTGAGTCTGAGCTCTCCGGAATCGGTAATTGAGCTACTAATTTTGTTTTTATGTGATGATGGTTTGTATTGTTTTTGTGACTTGTATTATTTTTGCTTGAAGCTCTTCCCATGGAGTAGTAGTATGTCACTGTATGCTCCCTTTTATTTGATAATTCATGGGAGTGTTTTATTTCAACCTGTTAAATTTTGGATTGATATATCCGCATAGAGCTGACCATTGTATACCCTGCATTCAAATAGGAATGCAAAATTGTTTCTTTTCTTTTCTTTTTGTTGCAAAAGTTGGCATTTGATATGACACCACACTTAGTAACATTGATACCAGACTGTAGAAAATGGACTATGAATTTCAAGAAGTAAATTCATTATATGACTGATCTATCAGAACTTAGACTTCGAACTTGCACATTTCTTTATTTTAAAGCTGAGTGAATCTCTTCATCTTAAGACTTTGCTCACCATTTCCATGTCTTCTTGAAAAATGCTTCCACGCCTTGGAGGCATCCTGATAGCATGACTTTCCTTGAAAAAAATGTAAACTTTTGTTACCTGCAAAAAAGTTAGCTTATGTGTAGTACTCGTGCAAGTCTAACAGAGACTAACTTGTATTACTTGAATGTGAATTAGAAGTTTGTGGGAAAACTGTGGATTGTAATTATAGCCATATGACTCTAATTTAACCTTGTGCTTTTTTTCTCTGTTTTTTCCGGGATTTGTTTACAGGCCTTTGGCTACATGCAATGAGTTGCTCCCTATTGGTGAGCTTGGCTTCCCTTGTTTGTCTGTTCATTTTGCCTATATTCTTTTGTGAGTGGCTGTATGCCTTTTTTGTTTCTTTTAATCTTCAACTTGAGTAGATCTTCTTATAAACAATTTTATGAAGCTAAATGATTCTTCTATTCTGCAGTAAATGGGAAGCCATCCAACACAATAGTAGATTCTTTGGCATTATTTGGGGTTAGTTACACGGTTTCTTTCTTTTTTAGCGTCAACTTATCCAATGCTTGCTAACCTAAGATGTAATTATGCTTTATACTTCCTCTGTCCCTTGTTAGTCTTCTTATTTACAACGTAATTACAGGGTCAAACACTTCTCATTTTGTAGAGCTTGATGTAGTATTTAGATATATAAATTTTATTTTAAAAATTTATACTACTATGTAAATAAATTAAATTGAAATAACTTCAGTCAATCATCGTAATGTGAAAAAAAGCATATTAGATAGGAATGAAGAGTTTACGATTCATGTAAGTTCAAGCGGTTAAGCTGATGCAGATGCTGATGTTGAAAAATTGCAATGCATAATTCAGGACAACTTGTGATCTATCAAACAATCTCTGTTACTAATTTTATAAATTTTGTATGTTGTGTTTGGTAGTTCTGAACTAGAGTGCAATTTGCTGTCTGCATTTCTTGAGTTTTTCCTATAGACCTCTGGTGCTTTAAAAGCAGTTTTTGGGATTTCTCTTCTTGGATCATTACTTTTTTTGCCTAATATGTTGTCATCCTCATGCAGGCTGGAGCTATGTTGGGCGATGCTTTTCTCCACCAATTGCCTCATGCTTTTGGTAAGATATGGAAAAAGACCTTTCAGAATTCATTTGCCTTGGTGATGTGTGAATTCCATTTAAGTTTCCTGCATTGGTTATATTATATCTAAGGTTTGCAAGGTGAATAGAGCATGGTGAGATTAGTGTCACAACATCTTATTGATGTACATTATTTATGTCACTGCATGGAAAGGGACCTTTCAGAACTCACTTGCCTTGGTGATGTGTGAATTCCATTTGCTGCATTAGTTATAAACTTATATTATGTCTAAGATTTGCAGGATGAATAGAGCATGGAGAAGTTACTGTCACTACATCTTATTGGTGTACATTATGTATGCCTTATAGTATTTGGCTGTATTTTTTAAAGAATCGGTAAATTTTCTTATTGGCAAATATATGTTGAGCACTTGAGCGCACTGTGAAAACTAAGTTCACAGACCACTCAAGGAAAGATTACGCTTCACTTTCAATAAAAATTACAGTAGTATAAATACAAGAGATATTAACAAATCAGAATTACTTATTTCCAAGGCCTCTTGTTCTCTTTAATTCTTATTGGCTTGACCAGTCACCACTCACCATTTACACTTAGGGGGGCTGTATATATCACTAATACCTGCTAATACTTATTTATCTACAAAAGTTGGAGTACTTATATGTTTGGGCTTGACCGTGCTTCTTTTTTATCCACATGTGGGCTCGATCATGCTTCTTTTGCTCTCATACTTAAGTTCTCCATCTGCCCCTTTTTGTTTATCCTCCCACTTTCTGTTTTGGGTTGTCCCTAAATAATGTTTCTATCTCGTTATAACTATTAAACTAAGAATTATCTTGTTTATGTTATTTCTCTTTCCTCCGCATAAATCGCAATCACAACATTTTATCTTTTTTAAACTCCGTATGGAAAGAAGATAACAACAACAACCTAGTAAGGTCTGGAGAGGGTGTGTGTACGTAGACCTTACCCCTGCTCGAAAGTAGAGAGGTTGTTCCCAAAGAGGCCCTGGCTCAGTGTCGAAAGTTGCATTGATTGACTAATTACTATTTCGTTAATAAAAGAAGCGCATACAGTTTAGAGATCCAACAACAACAACATTACCCCAATGCTTCAACGGTTCTCGCCCATTGCGCAGACAGTTTAGAGATCCATTTTGCTTTATTCCATCACACCCCAAAGCCAAAAAATAGTGAATTTTTAGCTTGATCGAAGATGATGGGAAACTGTGTGAGAAGAAGATGAGAACATTAAATAGGGACAAAGGGAGTATAAATTAAAATAGTGTCATGCAAGTCTCACATCTTCCCCTTGCTGCACACCCTACCCCTAGAAACTCAACAACAATCATGTGTAAACATAAATTGAGTTGTATTTGAGCAGCAATGTTATTCCATTTTCAGGTGGAAACCACTCCCATTCAGAGAGCCATGTGGACCATTCTCATGATCACGGCCATTCCGGACATTCACATTCTCATTCATTGAAGGATCTGTCTGTTGGCATATCCATATTGGGTAAGTTGCCCTTGTGTTTTAATTTTCATTGATGTGCATGTATATATATTTTGGATCAAATGAGAATGCCCACTTGTGTAAGAAATGTGAAATAATTTGGAATGTCCTAGTGATCAAATGACGTAAGAGGTTCAGTGGCATATTGTACTTATTATGTTTTCTAGTTAAAGTGTAGCACATAATGTATGGTGTAGAAGCATGTGATTTCTCTATAGTATTGTGCTACTCTTAACGCAGAAGTGTGTGTGTGTGTGTGATATCTACAGTGTTTTGCCATTGTCTGCAGACATCTACCTCTCCCAGACCCCACTAGTGGGATTTTACTGGGTTGTTTTACTGTTTTCATATGATAGTATGATAGTGCACTAATGCATCATTTTTTCATTATTGAAAAGAATTGAAGTTCAAAAAAATTATTTAGAAAAGTGTTTGGTAGATTCATATACTCGTATTTTTAAAAATTACATGATGTAACACAATTGTATAGAGCTGTTGTGAGCTTACAAATTAATTCTTATTTTACTGCTGATAACTAAACAACTAAAACTATAGTTGAACTATAATTAGAGTGAATTCTCAAAATAGTCCTTTCTAATAAAGTGTTTTTCCATATCAATCCTCAACAAGCAATAATTTCTGAAATAGTCCTTTCTAATAAAGTGTTTTCTCAAATCAATCCTCAAAAAGCAATACTTACCTACGTAGTACTTTATAATTGAGATGTATTCCCGCAATGGTCCTCCGCCAAAATTTTGTTATACGGATGTTAATTGGAAGGTATTCAGGTATTTTCTACCATCAAAATTTAGAGTAAGCTTTTAAAATAGACCTTTCTAATAAGTAGGTGGTCCATTTTAAAAGCTTTCTCTGAATTTAGATGATTGAAAATACCCAAATACCCTCGGATTAATAGCCATAAAATGAATTTTTCATCGGAGGACTATCTCAGGAATGGATTTCAATTATGAAGTACTACGTTGATAATTATTCCTTTTTGAGAACTGAGTTGGGAAAACACTTTATTAAAAAGGACTATTTTGAAAATTATTGCTTCTTGAGGATCGATTTGGGAAAAAAACTTCATTAGAAAGGACCATTTTAGGAATTCACTCCTCACAACAACAACCGAGTTGAATTTCACAAAAGTAGGGTTAGGGAGGGCGTCCGTACGCAGACCTTACCCCTACTCGAAAGCAGAGAGACTGTTTCCAAAGAGACCCCTAGCTCAAGCACCACAGATTACCACGCATGCAGTCTAACCCCTATGTTTAAAACATAGAGCGGCCATTTTTGGAAGACCCATGATGAGTATCGGAAGTTGCATTGACTTTCACTAATTGTAATTACGTAGTACGTTTTTTTTGAACTACAACCCGCTACACCCTTGGAGCAGAGGCACGTTAAGTCGTTAATTCAATGATCACTAAACCCATTTAAACCCTTCTTTTATGTTGGTTTTACTGCAGCTGGAATTTTTCTTTTTCTTATTGTTGAGAAGCTTGTGAGGTATGTGGAAGAACGGTCTGGAGGAGCTAATGCATGGGGTCATGGCCACCATCATCATAAACAAATTAAGAAATTGAAGGTTGATAACAATCTCGATAATGATGATCTTCAGGGTCTACCTCATAAGAAAACTGGAAGTTTGCCAGAAGACAAGGAATCTGGTGGAAGTTCAACTGATAGTCAATCTGCTAAGATACTTGATCGCGAGGACAGCAAAAATGCCGTTCTCCGGAAGGTAGAATGCTGATCCTCAATGTTATTTACTTGAAAGTCATCCATTCTCGCTTTTTTATATACCCAGTTTTTACTCTGGAAGTAAATTTTGATCTTGTTATTGAATTTGAAATTGTACATACATCTTTTCACATTTCAATTTCAGAAGCAGATTGTCTTGGGAGGGGGGGGGGACTATCAACCATTTTTTTTCATGCTTCATTAAAGGGATATTTCTTGAGATTATCCATAGTGTTGTGGTATTTCTCAAAATGACCCTCATATGCACACTCTTAAATAACCTTGAGTTGGGCAAAGCATGTGACCGAGAGTTAACTGTGAGTTAATGGATCAACCATCGACTATAGCTAAATCCACAACAACATAACATAGCCGCTAAAGTGTGAATTGCAATCATATTACGTATAAAGCTTTACCTCTTTTGAGTATGCAGATTCTGATAATGAATTGCAACAATTTCAACAATTAGAAACCTCATGGCAAATAAAGCTTTACACAATTTTAATTGACAGATTTCTTAAGTGTCATATTAGAGCTAATGACTGGTGGGCATGCTCTGCTCCGGCTTGATGATTTGGGTGATTGTGTTTCCATGCTACTCAGACGAGTGGAGCTCAGAGGTGTGTTGCTGCTGTTCTTCCAATGTACTGTGGACTTGAATCCACAGAAAGGTTACATTTCCAACATAACTAGGGTTCCCGAGGTTTAAAAAGATTTCCTATGGGGTCAACTGCATGAGAACTTTCACAGATTGAATGCTTTATTAGTCTGTCCATAAACTCTCCATTACAGAAGTTGGATTTTAGCCCCAGGGTTATTTTTAAAGCTGGCATATGAAAGGGTTATTTTGAGAAATACTCAAAACCTGACTAGAATATTTTCCTTCTTTAAAGTTTAAATCATGTAAAAAAGATTCCCACCAGCTTGTGTCTATACAATGCATCTCATATTCTAGTTCCTACCTTCTTGCAGAGAAACATTGGTGTTGAAAATGCTGAACTTGAAAATAGTGAAAATGCCTCGGAAGTCTCTGAAGATAAGGCTAATTCCATTAAAGATGAAGAGCCTGCCAAATCACCATCAAGTCTGGTGTTTGGTTATCTCAACCTTGTCTCTGATGGTGTTGTAAGTATACTTCAATTTTCTCAATGTAAATTTTTTCAAGCTTTTCATACATAATTTCTACTATTGTCTGGCAAGCTAAAATTTACCCTGTCATATACAGCAGTCTCTGAAAAACATCTATAATTCAGATTTGCATCATTTATTTCTTTGTTACTTGTGTGGACTGTGGTAATCTGTGTTCTTGTTGTATAAATCAGATCAATCAAGAATTAAAATGTAATTTTAACAGCTCCGTAATATCTTTTGAAAGCATTACTAAATGGAGTAGGTACCTTTTCTCAAGCTAATGATCTAAGAATGTCATTAACTGGTGTTGTAAAATTTTTCGTTGCAGCATAATTTTACTGATGGGATGGCATTAGGTAGTGCTTTCTTTCTTTACGGATCGGTTGGTGGGTGGTCTCGAACTTTGTTTCTGCTCGCACACGAGCTTCCTCAGGAGGTCATCTTTCACTCTCATTCAGATTGGTAAATAAATTGCTGAATTTGACAGATGTTGATCCTGGTCATGCCTATGCAGATAGGTGACTTTGGAATCTTAGTAAGATCCGGTTTCAGTGTTTCCAAAGCCTTGTTTTTCAACTTATTATCTGCACTGGTCGCTCTCGCCGGAACTGCCCTGGTTTGTATATTGTCTTTTGTCTGCTCTGCTCATTGTTTTAAGTGTTCCCACCTATGGTTTTTATTTCCACGCTCAAGATCCACCTAAGCTACTTCTGCACCTCATAGCTTTTATTTTTGTGAATCATCTTAGGCATTGGTGGTGGGTCAGGATCCAGGCCAATCATCGTTGATTGAGGTGGGTAATTCAAACTGTATTTCATAGTAATAGTCACACACAGACCTGGCAATCATGTCAATCCCTACGGTTATGATTCGATTTGGGTATAATTCAGGTTTGACTCAATTTGTTTTGGTTCCAGTTCGGTTTGGTTCATCTCAGGTTTCGGTTATAGACTGAGTATTCAAATTTTGGGGTCATTTTGGGTCCGGGTTTGGATTACCCAGTTCGGATAATCGGCTCAAGCATCTGGGTCTGTTAAAAAGTGAATGATGCTTACTACCCAGGCCAGATTAAAAGTGAATGTTGCTTTATTTGGTTGCAGGGGTTCACAGCAGGCGGGTTTATTTACGTTGCAGTGGCGGGAGTGCTGGCAGAAACAAACGGGGGAGGCCGCTCATCGTCGGTAAGGAGTGGGGCCATTCAACTGGTTTCTCTGGCATTAGGCATGTCAGTGGCTCTTTCAATCTCTCTTATTGAGTGATGTTTTTTTTTTTGCTTAATGCTATCTTCACCAATGAATTTGGTGGGATGTACAATATGCTTTGTAGCAAATGTTTGATTAATTTAGCTTATTATTATGTCTTATTAATACTCCATTTGGTAAAGAAGCGTAGATATTATTATGCATTATGACTACTCATATATACGAATTATATGTACAAACTTTTGAGCACAAGTGTTATAACCATTGAATGACAACAAAAAATATGGTGAGATGACACGTGATATTAAATTGTTGTAATCCTTTTGTGAAATACTGTACTTTTGTGGAACGCAAGATTCACATTTTTTAAAAAAAGTTCCAAATATATTGAATGTGAAATATAAAATATAAACAATACATAATCCTTTTGCCTTAAAAAATTATGTCATTTTTTCTTTTTGAACGCTCTAAAAATAATTTTTACTTTATTTTCTTTTAGAATATGAACATGTGGCTACTTGATTTTTTCTCATATATAAACTTTTTTACTTCATTGTCTCTTAATTTTTACTTTATTTTCTTTTAATTCTCACCTTGCTTCGTAGAATTTTGATGTATACCTAAAAGATACAATTTGTACTAGTTTTTATTTCTATACAAATTTGTAATTAAATTAATTTTAAACATAATGAGATTATACATACTTTAGAAAATGGCAAACATTGTGGGATGGAGGAAGTATTATGTAATATTTCCTGTATCCCATAAAAAGATTTCACCTTTGAATTGTACGAAGATCAAGCAAAATAAAATTGTGTGGTTGAAATGACATAAGAGAGGAATTACAAGTGCCATAAATTTTTTTGAAAAGTAGAAAGTGAAACATTTTCATGGGAAGGAGGGGTATATATTATACCAATAGTTGTTTGAATATGAAAGAAATAATGTGAATACACGTGTATTACACACATATTTATGCGTATTAGTTATTACTATTGAAAAGAATTTTATGTAAAAAGAATTTTTAGCTCGTAAAATGCAGGCCAGACTTGACCAACCAAAATATCTCGATAAAAAATTAAGTTTAGACCCGTCCCAAATGCAGTTTGGATCCATATTTGTGATGGTCTATACATAAGGTATATTGCTATTGTATTAAAATGATTATATTCTACCCGGTAAAGATCTATTTTGTAATGCAAAACTTGAAAATTTTGATGAGTGGAAATAATCAATATTTAAACTAAATTAAACATTTTAAACCCGTATGGCATAGTTTTTTTTAGAAAATTTCATATGATGAAAAAATTGACCTCTTTCTTCAAATTTGAGAAATCACCCCGCCGAAAGCACCCTGCCGATGGGCACTGCACAGTTGACACAGGTGGAGAATTCAAGAAGTATAACCAAGTTCAATTTCTGAGAGCTGCGTTAGCAGGAAACTATGTTGAGCATATGATCTTTGACTCTCTGCAAGTACGAAGTGCAAGCTCCACCCTCTACAACAATCTACGATAAAAAATCTAATTTAGATCCTCTCAGTAATTATCCAGTCAAGTCTGAGGGGACCTTCAGGGATGGAACTCATCTTTTTTTTTTTTTTAGTTTTTTGAGAAGGCACCCCTTCATGAAAAAGGGTGGGAACATTCCTTTTTCATTGGGCAGAAGTGGTGTGATTCAAAGGAATTGTGGGATTAAGTTTGGTTTGTTAAAGGTAAACTAACTTGAATCACATGCTTAAAATAAACAAAAACAAAAAAAAACAAAACAAAAAACCCACTTGGTGTTCTTTTCCACTTGAGGCCAATCTAAGTAACATGCAGGGGGTTAAAAAAAGGAGTGGTTGTTAGACCAAAACAAGCCTACCCTACAAATGAAGACATGTTTTTTGTTTTGTTTATCTCAAAGACCCTACACACACACACACCCAAATGTGTTCATGCAAAGACAAAAGTGTGATAGCTGTATCCAGTCAATATCCTACATTACATTCATTCATCACCTTAAAGGTCAAAGGAATAACATCATTGTACCTACATTAAGCAAAAGAAGACAACAATTCAACCTCATATTTATCATTATGGTCAACACTAATGTCCCTATTATTTATTCCCCACACTCTTCATAATCAATACATATTCTTCCCCTCTTCTCCTAAACACACATTTTAGATTCAAACTCATGTGCAACTTCTCCCTCTATATTCACATCCTATGTCAGCGGGGCCCATCGCGCGACGTGCAAAAGCAAAAGCGTAACATCAGAGACGCACTATATAGGGGTTGGGTTTCGGGCATATTTCAGTGCCGAAGGGGAGACTCGGGTTCGGACCCGGACACGGACGAGAAGCCAGTCATGTCATCCTTGGCTAATGCCACGAAGTTCAGGGGGGCGGTCGACAGCCTCCTGAAATGTCCGTTCTGTCGGCCGGAGTAAGAGCGCGGCGTTGAGATCTCCGGAGTTTGATAGCCCGCGGAGTTCCTGCGCGGCGAGGGGGTGACGTTTCCATTCCCCTTCCTAAAGCTACTGCTTCTCGGGATTGGTTTTGAGCCATAGATGGCTTCCTTTTCCGCGAGGAGTAGATCCTGAGCTCTCTTTTGGTCCTGCAATGGAGATATATATACATGACAAAACTTTTAGGCAACGTTTGGTAAACAATAATGCAATGTAAGGCTACACGAATTGAAGCACATACTTTTTCCCTCTTGGATTTGTACGAAGCATATAAGCGAATGAATGATATTGTGAGATTGATATTTATTTGCAGAAGAAACAATCAATATTGAACACACAATTCTTTGCTTAAAAGGAAAGAGAGAGATATGTCCTAAAAAGAAAGGGAGATCTTTAATTTTTGAAGATTTTTCATTAAACATGCAAATATATGCCAATGTTTGCAAGAAATCCTCTACTTCTGAAGTTCTGATGCAGTAGGGGATACGACCAATATCTTATGATCGCGGGACGTGTTCCATAAAAAGTCATATTAGTAAAGTATAAACATTACCCGAGCACGTCTTTTCTCCTCTTCTTTCTGTTGACGGGTCAATTTGTAATCTTCCAACACCGACACCAAACGTGCCTAAAAGAAAAGTGTGGCAGTGAGTGATCAAATCCAACTGCAAAGTTGCAACCCGAGGGAATTTTTAAAAAAAAAGATCCAGAAATTTGAAACGTCAGCTCAAACTCACCCCATCGTAAAGAAACAGCTTCTTCTTATCATCTTCCCATGCTAGAGTCTTGGCAATCAGACTGTCAACCATACCTGAAACCAGAACAGCTCAGATATTAAAAGTAGAAACTACACCAACGAATAAAAAAATTAAATTTTACTGTGACCCAAAAAAAACACTAATTTTGAAAGGATGGAAGAAATTACAGAAAATTACCTGGAATCTTGTTTACTGTGATTCGGGCACGTTCAGCTCGCTTTAAGTTTATGTGAGCACCTCGTCCACCACTGTAACGACTTTGATCCTGACAATATTGACTCACAACACGGATTAGTGTGTTCAAATATTTCGCCAGAAAAGAAGATACAAAAAAAATTGCCTTGTTAAGGACGTAGTCCTACTTGGTTATAGTCTTCAAGCCAGCTCTCTTCCTCACAAGCAGAAAGCCATCGTTCAATTCTATCAGTAACATCTTTCCGGCTCAAAGCTTCATCCTTTGCTCTATGAATTTGGGCTTCAATGTTTGCCAAAAGCTCACAAGGATCCACAAGACCTTAAATGTATCAATTGAACAAACAATGATTTTCATTTATGAATCGCTCAAATGTCGAGATATTCTAGAATAGGGATTAGGGAATCCACTAACCAGATTCCATCATTGCACATGACTTATCAATAGCAGTGCTTGGGTCAGGCTCAATATGGCTTTTGTTGCATATCTCCTCCAACTCCGACCTCTTCTTCACGACCAACTCTTTCATCCTGCTCGCCTTTAGTTTAGTCAACCTCTCAACTTCTGACAATACCTATTAAGAACAAAACAACCACGTGTATATTCATAATCAAGTGCTTCTAATCTATTTCCCTCTTCAGATGTGTAATTTCTGCTGAGACATGACAGTAATATAAGAATTTTATCATTGGAATGCTGTTACGGGTCCACTTGGAACTTGGGAAAGGATAGGAAAAATAAATATTTGGTTCAAACTAAAAAACGACAACCACCAGATACAATCCCATTACCATGTGCGCAATGCTGCATTTACTGCCCAAAACTTCATAGAAATTGAAAAGCAAGGCAAGTTTAATGTGTCATTTTGATATAGTTTAGTATGTGCCTAAAACTACAACATTGTCAATAATGACTCTTTTAGCTCCACTGGCAATGGATGTAAGGTTCAAACTACAAAAATCAAATTCAGATATTTGTTAGAGCTCATTTGATTTAAAATATATTTCTATCATACAAAGACTACTACCATACTACGCCTCATACATTTAAAATATTAAAAATTTCAAATCAAAATTTGTTTTCTTTCATATTCTTCTAGGAAAAATTAAACTGCAAGAAATGATATTCTACAACAGAAGTGTAACTCTAAAAAGGATTACATTGACATGAAATTTTTTTCAAACCTGTTGAATGATATCCAATGAAAGAGCACCTGGTTCCTTGATCTCTGTTTCGGGAGAATCAATAACAGAGGTAACCTTTAGAAAGTAAGCCTTCTCTTCTCTTGGTGTGTCCATCAAGTTCCACAGTTCAACTAGCGAGTCAGATATTTTTTTCAGCTGGCATTTGGCAATATTTAAAAATAATAATTAGCACACAGATCAGAAAAGTAACTTGGGCAATAACCAATGGGAAACATTATAGTATATACCTTCTCGTAACGTTCTTTTCTTTCTGTTTTCAGCCTCATTATCGTCTTCTCTAGGCCCTCTATCGTGCTATTGCTGATATTTGTGGACTGTTCTGCCCCTGCATCATGTAAGCTTGGATGCACAATGCTTACTGTTTCACCAAAATCCACTCCAAGAGTAGCACACAAGGCGTGAACCTCATTTACAAACTCTAACACTTTCTGAACCCGCTCAGACTGCATAAACGACATATATTTGCAACCAATAGTTATTTCCCTTGGGATATTAAGCACACGGTGTCATTTTCATATTATAGATGAACATGAAAAAATTCCCTTTTATCGCAACTTAGGGTCTATTTGGGACCTGGAAAATGCTGCTGGAAAAATAGGAAGAAAGAAAATGTTGGGAAACTAAGAGGCAGGCTAGAAGTGCTCAATGAAGTTATTTTAACTGTTTACAATTCCCATCATTATGTGAAGGCTAGGAAATCTGAAAGTAGGTAAACCTTTTTAAAAAGTGATCGTAATTCATTTTCCTTTACTATTTCCAAGGCAAAACCAAATATGCAGCAAAACCAATTTTCCGGAATCCAAACATATCCTTCAAACTTATGAAACAAGTGTCTAGAAAACTACTTAGTTCTAAAAGACAAAAAGTTACTATGTTGATGCATGAGAATCTCGTAGAGTATGAGAGAGAGGTGCAAATAAAAAGAATTGATATGATACCTTCTCCTTCTGAAGAGCATGAAGGGTGAATTGGTGCTCGGAGAGCCTTCTCAACGACAGGTCATTTTCGTCCAGACTCAAAGTAGAATTCACACCATTGATCATGTTATGGGCATGTCCTGAAATCTCACTCCTTATCTTCTCCATTTGTGTCTTTACATCTGCAAATTGCTTTAGTCTCTCCTCTTTCTTTACCTTCAAATCTTCAACTAGTGGTGAGATTAATGCCAGTTGATCCTTCAATGCCATTTCCTTCTTCTTCGCCGACTGTATCTGATATCAAGAGTAAAGAAAAAAAAGAGAGCAGGTCAATCTTTCTTGAGAAGTTCTCTAAAAATAGTAAACTAGTTTCGTGTTTCTTTTGAAATTATAGAAATAATTAGCGTACCGGTGAGTTAATAGTGAGTTCACCAAGAGTTGCCATTAGGGTTGCAAGCTCTGCTTCTTTTGCTGCAACAGACTGGTGAAGGCGTGCTTTGGCACTAGCAGTTTCATCAACTTTTCTTCTGTATATTTCTAAGCAGTCTTTCTCCAGCTTCATCAACATTTGGTCTTTCTCCTCCTCATTCTCACCAATCTCAGTCCACAGTTGCTGCAATTGGGCATTACAAATTAAAGAAATCACCAGAAAATGTTCATAATTCAAGAAACTATCAGAAAGGAGAAAACTTTGAAAGAACCAAGAAAACCCCAGTTCAAGAAACCATTCATAGAAGAAAAATACACTGGTTTCATTCAAGAACAATGAATGTATAACCGATTCAAGAAAATCCCCCCACCCATGAGGAGCTAAAGCAGGAAAACAAATTTAAAATTAAAAAAAAATAACTTTAATTGTGCGTTTGGCAGGAGGGAGGGAAAATCAACAAATTCACCACTCCAACCAAACACACCTTATAATCTCTGTGTAATCTGGAGGGGGAATCAACAAATTCACCACTCCAACCAAAATCAACTCCGTGTAAAAACACACAACAGAGTCCAGGAAAAAGGGCTACGGAAGAAAGAGTAAAGAAGTGAAAACGAGAGAGAGAGAGACCTGGAGTTCCCTGAGCAAAGTAGAGCAAGGACTCTCAAGAGTCAACATTCCTTCAAATCTCTCTCCAAGACACAATACAGTGTGATAATGGCCTCTTAAAGAATATATAATGCTCAATCTCTACCCTTCAAATTGAAAAGGCTTGCAGTGAAAAGTGGGCCTTTTCTCTCTTTACTCTGAAGTACTCCGTAAATAATGAAGAAGATTTTTTTAAGAAAAAAACCCTGTCTTTACTTCCCCAAACTTCCAGATCTGAGAGCTTAAAGAAAACCCCACCACACTACACGCAGCCTTGGGCCCACTTCCAACTCTTGTTTTCCAGATGAGAACTGCTAAAAACCATAAGAAGAAGAAGAAGAAGAAGAAGAAGATAAAATTAAAGGAGAATGCCAAGAAAACCAAAGCAGAAGAGTCTGCGCACGTTAGAGAGAGAGAGAGAAGAAGAAAAGGAGAAGAAACAAAGGAATCTGCTGCGAGTGACGCTTCAACAATTACAACAACAGAGAGATGAGGGAGAAGCAAAAAAAATGTTTTTATTTACCCGTATAAAATTGTTATTGCCTCTTTTTTAGTTCCTCCCTCCACAAAAATTTTATCCAATTGACTCGACATAGATAATTAGATATTAAGAAAATTCAAAAAATGTAAAGATTTTTTATGTGTCCTTTTTGATGTGATTCAATAAAAAGGATAGTATAGAAAAAAGTTGAGGTATAAGGATAGATTCATTATAACTTTTTTGTAAAAATAAGAAATAGGCAAAATATTATGAACATCTCAAAAAGAAAAGTGAAAAAAAATTAATGGACTAAGAGAGTATTATATTTACATTTTACTATTATTATTTCAAAATACAATATTCATTTGGGAGAGTGAATACTAAAATTTGGAATACCGATATAAAAAATTATAGTGAAATATATCATTTCCCTTTACTTCCTTGAAAAATCATCTGATTTAAATTCAATATTAAAAATAGTTTCAAAGGTTCATAAAATATAGTAAATTATGAAAATATATACTTTTATCATATATCTATGAAAATATAGTTAGCATTGTCTAGAGATTTGACATATCTTAAAATTTAAAATCAACACAAAAACTAAATTCACATTCAACTAAAAATATTCTTCTAATGTGGATTGTGATGGATTTCTATTCCTTGCATATGAATATAAATCCTGTTCCAAATCCGATCAACAGACCTCTGATTTTGCGGATTCTTTTTCATTCTCCTTCTTCGATCGGTCTTCCACAGTTCCACGCCTCCCCCTCTTCTTCTTCTTCGATGAGCAGAACCGCCGACCGCGAGATGGTTTTTCGCAATTACTCCACCAATTTGAGCTCAAAGCTTCAGATTTTTGGAAATCTAGGATCGCCTACAGCTAGGGATTTCGTATTAGAGCTTATCTTGCTGATTTTTTATATGAATTTTGAGAAATCGAAGGTCAATGCCAGCGTTTCCACACCCGTTTGATTTCCATTCAATTTTTGGACTTTTGAGAATGGGATTTCACTGTTCATTCTGCGGATTTGGTGTATGACTGTCAATAGTTTTTGGGGTCCAGATTGTGAGGTTCCCATGGAATGTTAAGTACTTGATTATGTTGTTTTGGTTATGGTTACTTCCATAGTTCCATGCACTAGTGTTCTTGTTTTTGTCTACCACTTGGCATCGTGATGGACCGGCATCGCTGTAGGGGCTTGACGGGGAGAAGCTGGGTAGGGGCAGGGGGAGGGGAGTGAGAAGGCTCTCCATCATATTCCGCGGGACGGCGGGAGGCGGCTTGGGAGGCGACACTGTTGCAGAGCCGTCCGCTTCAATCCAAAGCCTTCGGCGTTGCAGACTTGCAGAGCCTTCGGCTTGGGAGGCGACAAGGTTTCAATCCAGATGCGAATGTCTTGCTTCAATCCAGACCCTTCAGTCTCCTTTTTTTTTTTCTTTTTTTAACACTTTGGGCTGGAAATAATCCATTAGAATCTTGATAAATCTTTACATCGAAATCTATTGAAGTCTACATAGAATTAAAACAATCCATAAATCTTACATAGTCTATAGATTATAAAAAATCTAACACAATCTTTTAAAATCTATGTTGAATACACCCCCATAAATCTATGAGAGACTAGATAAAAATGCTCTGGCATTTTTTGCAGGGAGATTTTTATACAGAATGTTATATTCTTGCTCCGGAAATAATTCAATTTTTTTGTGAGCAAAGGTGATAGTTCTTTATTCTTCAGATAATCTCATTCATCCGAGTATTAATAATTTAGCTTATGCTTTAAGTGGAAGTGATTTTACTCTGTTTGGCATGTCAGCTTCTGCTTTTCACCACCACTATTTTATACATAGAACACCGTTTCGGAGAAGCAGGTATGAAGTGCTTTTTCTTTCAGCTTTGGTGGAAATCACTTTATCCACAAGTTAATCACTCCCAAACACCCTCATCCTTCATACTTCAAACTCCCTCTATCCCAATTTTAATTGCATGTTTCGATTTACGATATTTAACTAAATTTATTTTCAAATTATTTTATATAAAAAATGATGTAAAATTAAAAAATAAAAATTATATATTTAAAAACTGGATCTACAAAACTAGTGGTGACATGATTATACTATTTTATCAAATAACTAACAGAAATAAGGAAAGAAAGCGAATAAAATTTGACCAATTGAATAGTAAACAAACAATTTAATTTGGGACAGAAGGAGTAGTTTTTATCTGAATTTTCAGATTATATTAGATCTTCAAAAGAAAGATCAATCTCTTTATTATAGAATAACTTCTCAAATTTCTTTTTCTGAATATCTCAAAATTAAGTTTGCACTTCATTTTTTTTGGCCAAAACTAAGTTTTTTTTTTTTTGCCAAATTTTCGAACGAATTCAAAACTTCTAAAATTTGGCCCAGATATTTCTATTTGACTAACATATAAAATTTCCGCTCTCAAAGACTTAAACACAGAACACTTATTTAAAAATTTGGTTTTGGTCAATTTATAAAATAGGCTATACATTCACAAAAACTTTGGTCAAATCGTCCTCTTTTGCATATTGATTCATGTTATAATATTCCAAGTCCGAAAAACGGAAAAAGGCGTTCACAAGGAGTAACACTCAAAGACTTATCAATGAAGCTTTTTGATTAATGTTCCTTAATGGGCTAAAAAAGCACAAATTCTGGTCAAAGATTTGGGTTTGACCTCCTAGGAGTTACCATATAAAATAAAATCAGCTGTTCAAAATCAGAATTGCCAGTTCTGTAACTGAATTTTTGATCCCAAACTTTCAACGTCAAAATCTAATACAGTTGTTGGCAGCACCAAGTCACCAAAATTTTTCTTAAAATATAAATAAAATAAACCAAAAACACATATCCTTTCTTCTCTACTTAACTCAGCAACCTTTCATTGGTCACACCTTCACTACTCTCAGCGTTTCCATTGAGTACCTCTACCTTTTTTTGGCCCTCCCCGTCCCCTACTTCACTTACAGGGGTAGAAATGTCCCCGCCACTCGACATCCCGAGCCCACCGTTGTTGTTTCCGGGAGGTGGGGCCACATCCTCCTTGGAAGGACCATTGGTGGGTGAAGGTGTTGGGACTAGCAAATGGTTTGGCGGATTCCCTGAGCCTGGAGGGAAAAATACTCCCGTCCCGGGTACCAGCACGCGCGGCGGCGGTGGATTCCTTGGGTGGGGGGTTGCCACCCATCCAACAGGAGCCGGTGGGGCAGGAAAAGGCATCGGAGGTGATGGGAGAGGGGTAGAAACGAAAATCGGCTGGATTCCGTTGGGAGGTAGTGGTGGGCAAGCAACTGGGGCCGGCGGTGGTGGTATGACATTGGAAGCTGGCGCCGGGCTATTATAATGCCTTGGGGCCGAAGGGCGGAAGCTGTGATTTGGCGACTTGCTAGGGGGAGGACATGAAACCCGATGAGCGGCTGGTGGTCCTGCAAATGTGGGGCCGCGTGGACCATTTCCGGATACGGTTTTCTCAAGCTGAGACTTGGTTAAGGTGACCAGGATTCGCAGTTTCCGGATGGATGGAAGCGCGTGTTTAGCAAGATCAGCTGACAACCCTTGCATGATTAGCAATGACCTGCACAAAAGCATTCAAACATAAGGTCAGCTCACTAGCAGCAAACCTTTGGGACTATTTTGGGGCATCTCAGCCAGAATTTCTGGGGGCTGGATTGGATAATAATAACAATTAATAAATAAATAAATAAAACTATGCAAAAGCTATTTTTTTTTAATTCAAAAGGCTAAAATGAAATATTATGGCACTACCAATAACAACTTTACAAATTACTTTCTCTTCATTTTAATTAGGAAACAGATTGTACCCGGGGAACAAAAAGGTGTAAACTTGAAAGTAACCTACCCCGGTGCAAGAGTAAGGCGGAGACAACCCTGATAATCCCCACGGTGGTCCGTCTCAATCACTTTTCCATATGTGATTTCACATTCTGTCAAAAACAACACACATACAGGGCGTCCAACCATATGAGGCCACACATTTGGCTGTGAGTGGTCTCCCTACATAAGATGCAAAACAATAGCACTTTGCTTAGTATTATGGGGTAAAATAGGATAGGACAGTCAGAAACTTCGATAACACAGTTAATGCCATATTCACTCTGAAGATCATGTGTAGATTTCAGGTTTGAACCTCTACTTTTAATTCTGCATTGAATTCCATGTTCTTTCCACTTTTAGCCATATGTGAACTGATCTAAATACAGAAACCTGTCCATCTACTAACAGATGACAATGGACCATGGTAAGAAAGATGTCGCTTTCCTTTATTGCCATAGTTCTTGATAGAGCCCAGTAGATTTGTTCGCAGAGGAAACAATTTATTTGGGGAAAAAAGCTTGTATCGATGATATAATCACGGCTAACCTCATTGAAGATATCAATCATGCACGAATCAGGCTTCACAGAGAACACATGCTTAGAAGTCAAAGAATCAATGATATCTTGCAGTAGCACAGGGATGGGCTCTATTTTCCTGTCTGCAAATAAATTTATTGTCCGGATGATAAGAAAATCACAGGGGAATAGAGTACTCAAAGAGAATAATTGTGAAGGACGAGATTAGTTTAGTGCAAGGGCACATGTGAGTGCCCTTCAATGATTAGTATAGTCATGCCTTTGGATATTCCAGCAGGAGCTTCACTTTCAGTTACATCTGCACCATGAGCAGCACCCAACTGAATTATCTCCCTCCCATGGCCCTTCATAGGTCTTTTTGAGACAATAAATGTTTGCCCTGCTAATCACACAAAATTTTCTTCAGTGTTCAAAGTGCCATCAGGAAAGGGTTTTCCTTTGAGCTTATAAAAGAAAAAAAATTACGTCACAAACACAATTTTTAACTTTTATCTCACTGTTCTTAGAAACAAGATCAAGGTGGCATAGAGCCTGTTTGGAAAATTATTGTATGATGTATATAAGTGATTTTATCACATCTTATTTCTCAACCATGCCCTTAAAGTGCAACTTTTGAAAATTCACCAATGCTTTCTTAAACAAGCATCAAAAACTGTTTTTTAACTGTTAAAAGCAATTCTTTCCATTTTCTTTAAAATACTCCTTTTAAAGTAAAAATACTATTCTTCCAGAAATAAGCACTTAACTATTGAATGCAAGAAAGAGAGTGTTATGCCCTACTTTTAAATTCAACTTAGAGAGAGAGAGAGAGCATCTAACTTACAAAGAGACAAATACCAATACAAATTTACAGCATAAACATCTTTTCTACACTTAACTCAAATTGTATTATCATGATACTCATTATCTGCCTTTCTCTATCAGTTACAGACAGGTTTGGAGGTAATACCGATAAGCAATTCTCAAAAGTTCCAAATATATCTATGGCCTTGAGAGGATATTTTCACTGAACCATGCACTTCTGAGACAAAAAAATTGGTTTCTAATGTTTTCTTTAGGCTGAATACTATGAAATGGATAATAATTCATTATAAGTTACTATAGCACATGCAACTGGCCCAGTTCTGCCACCATCTTTATTTCTTTAACAAAGAATGAATTTGAATATATAAATAAATATGAACATGTGGGCATCATGATAAACTGTGAAGATTATTTATCATGTTAAAACAACACTGTGACACAAACTGAAGATTAAACAATATTATTAACCTTATACTAGCTATCCCAAAGAAAGAACGTGAAAGATGACTACTGCTACTTCTAAGACGACAAATATATGCATCATGTTAGAAACCCATTCATTAGATCATCTATGAAAACTAACAGAGAGACAGCACTGCCACATTGTCTAGCTATACTGATAGCATTATATCAGAATTTATATAATCAAAAAACAAGCACATACGCAAAGTGCAACTTTCTACCTTGAAGCTGTCCACTTTTCCCAGCAGCTCTCAATTCACTTACCAAAGTAACAAGTTTTGAAACTTCCGAATCACTAAGCAATTTTTCGTACAATTTCAATCCATCAACTACATTAACCTATACAGAAAGGCAAACAGGTATGTTTTAGTCCAACAGATACAGGCTTTCCGTCGTAACTTATTAATATGTGACATGAAGACCAAAAATAAGATTCCAAGACAGAATAATTCACGGTAAAGCAGTTTAGATATTACCATTTTCCCATCACATAACTCTTTACCAACAAAAGTTTTTGGAGTGATTGTGAGGTTCTGCTTCCCATTTGGTACTTGCGTGGAATTACATTCATTCTCCATACCACAAGACCCTTAAGAAGCAAAGAAATTTGTCATAGACTTAACAATGACTTTGTTCATGGTATATAAAGCATATGGAGAAGCCTAAGAAAACGCAAAAAAAAACTAAAGCATAATACCATCATGAATATGGGGAACTCTATGACTATCCAAAAATTAAGTAGCATTATGAGAAGTGTTTTGCTTGAAGTTCATATGGCTGTATGAGTGACCCCACGATGTGGGGGGTTATAAGTTAGAAATGATGGATAAGACACATATTGAAAACACCAAGAAAAGTGTATACCATCAGAATTTGCATCACATCTGTTTTCTTTATTAGCCTCACTTTGCAAGTCGCCAGATTGACTACTCTCCAGACTCTTAGTTAAACTGTTTGATTCAGGCCTTTCGGGATATTCTGTTCCTGCAAAACTCAACAAGAATGAACATCGATTTAGTTTGAAGAATGTATCCGAACAGTCAGGTGATTCCTTTTAAAGCTCATTCAATTATAGTAAAATTCTAAATTTAAGAAAGCTAACAAAAACATTTTGTTTATCTTTGAAAAGACATTGCCTCATCATGACAACAACATGTTGCACACCCCAGACCCCACAAGAAATTAATCCAATAAATTTTACTCGGTGCCATTGTAAATAATTTCTATAATGAATCTCATATTTCTGCTTCTCAATCAGATGAAAACAAAGTTTAGCAGAACCACACACATTTGTGCGTAGCAGATAATATAATACAGAAATAAAGGCTTTTTTATGATGAAAAGTTTGGTCAGGTTGAGACATTCAAGAAAGAATATGATTTGTTGTAGGGACGTTTATAAGATATATGAGAGTGAATTTTAACTATATGCCCCATAACATTAGGCTTTATGTGAGAAATACTTGATGAAGAGGCAATATCAAATAAGACAATATTTTCCAAACTTATCATGTTCATGAATCATGACGGGCACACCACAATATCATACAAAAATGTAACTTTGTTTCCAAAACTTTTGCTCTGAACCACTACAACTAGTAATTCATAAAGAGAAGACCAATGATGGGAATTTAAATTTCCTAATGTGTCCAGTTCTAACGGGGTCAGAAAAATGTGTAAAGTTTACCAAGCTAACTCCTTTCTTAGGTTGGTATCAACAACGAACTATCAAGTGTAAGTAATGCCAATGAATGCAAAACTATCCACTTCCTATCCTAGATTAGTAAAATATTCAGTAGCCATCACTTGCAAGTTTTTTGCTAGTAATTCCATATTTTTACTAATGACAAAGTTAGAAAAAAAACTTATGATCCCTTCATGCAACTAAGTTTTCCTTGTTTTGACATATCCAATGATATGGAAGAAAAATACGCTACTACAGTTTAAATCAAACATTGGGGAACAATCAAGGTCTATCTTTAACGGGTTCTTCAAAGAAGTGCAGCTTCATGTCCCCAAAATATCCCCTTGGATACTTGGGGACATCCCGCCAACCAAATCATTTGTAGAATTCCAAAACATTGGTGTTTCCAGTCCCCATATGAGTACATGTCTCCATGCAACTTAGATCAAGGTTTTCTATGTTACCTTTCTTGTCAGCTTGTTTCGTTCCTGCTTCTTTGTCGGCCGAATCCAACTTCTCACTGCCAGTGACATTTGAATCCTTGTTATCAGAAGTATAGTTATGACTATCGCTTTCTCTCCCATCTCGAAACCCCTCATTTCTCGTGAAGAATCTTCCACCACCTCCTGTCCTCCTGCCCTTGAAGCCACCTCCATCGAAGCCTCTCCTATGCTTCCTATATTCCACCTGTTGCAATTCGTACACCACCTCCACCACCGAGAAGTACTGCTGCATATACAGCACGGAGTTCCAGTTGCACCTCCTCTGCTGTATGCACCCAATCACCCCCTCATACTCCCCGGGCTCTCCCAGCATCCTCAGGTGATGACACATCGCATCGATTATAGCATTTGAGGCAGCAAACTCCCCCCTCAGCCACGACATGAATGCATCCCTCTCGTCCATCTGATGGTGGTGGGGAGGGTGGTACCACTGCTGTTGCCCCATGTGATGCTGGTGGTGCATCACCATTCCCCCGGCGCCGCCAGCTTTCTCCGGCAAAGAACTCACCGCATTCCCAGATTGTGTAGCCATCAAAAACACTAAACTAAACAAGCAATATATAGGTATATGCTTGTATCTACCGGCGAGGGCACTATACCGGGTGTGTATCTATCTATAAATGGAAGATCGAAGGGAAAGCGACCGAGCTCATCTTCTTCAGATCCAGAGTAACCAAGACAAAGCTTCTTCCGCAGTAAACGATCGGTGAGTCTGAGGAAATCAAGCAGGCGAAAATTAAACTCCGCCGGTGCGGGATTGTTCTCCGAATTCACAATGTGAGAGATGTAGGAAACGTGCAGAGTTCATATCTGGAGAATTTAGGGTTGGGGTTGAATGGCAATGGTATGAAGAGATGAAGAAGAAGATGGCTTATGAAACACGCGGAGAATGGGCAAGTCCTAAACGGTGGCCCTAGCAAGATCTTCACATGCCTTCAGAGCTCTCCAATCTCAATCGGGTGGATAAGTACCAAACTCTCAATCACGACGTACAAAGCTACTTAGAAACTCATTTGAACTAGTTCTCACACATAATTAGGATTAGAAAAATGTAAGGGGTACACCAAAGGTGTACCATATGTCCCTCACCCCCTCCTTGTCTACTAAAAAAGACAAAAAAATTTAAAAAAAATAAGTAAATAAAAATTAAATAAAAATGTGTGGTAGAGAAGGAGTGATGTACATTTGGGGTACACCTTTTGGTGTACCCCTAGCATTGCTCTTAGGATTAAGCTATTTGTACAACAAATATTATACTCTCCTCGTCCCCAATTTAATTACAATTTGTTGTTCTCTCCTCTCGGTAACATTTGTTTGTTTACGTAATTTTATTAAGTATTTGATAAAATAAAATATTCTTGTCACCTTTTGTTTTGTAGAACTTTTGAAGTAGTTCTTAATATGCAATTTTTATTGGACCATGTTAGGGTGCCACCACATGTGTGCTACCATGGGTGCATCCATGCTTCGCACAGACAAACACAAACAATAATTGTCTGTGTCGCACAGACAATTATCGTCTGTGTTTGTCTGTGCGAATCATGGGTGCACCCATGGTAGCACCCATGTGGTGGCACCCTAGCATTTCCTATTTTTATTTCTTATCCATATGTCGATTTATAAATAAAAAGATTCTAAAAGTGAGATACTTCTCCTCGGAAACCTCAATTTGTAATCAAATTGGGGATGAAGGGAGTATCTCATTTTGTACTCCGAATGCATGCACCAACATTTTGTGCTAGTGCAACGGTTTATACTAACAGAAAATGTCAGCGTAATTTTTTTATTAAACTAGCATTCGTGCCAGTGTGAATCGTTAAAATATCGGTGCATCTCTTTGGGGTACAATTTGGGATATATTTTTTGATGTATTTCTAGCATGATTAATATAATTAACATTCTCAATTAGCTAAAATAATTATTTATTTTGTACTCAACATACTAGTTTTATGTAAAATTTGCACTAAATATTATTAGAACATGTGTCCTTTCTCAATATAGTACACAATTTTTTTTATTTTCTAAATAGGATTTGAATAATGTCCAGTGATGGTGGACATTTAGTTTGAACAATGTCTAGCGGTACTGAACAATTACTTGAACAATGACCAGTGGACATTGAACTGTGTTACTACATTGGAAAATAAAAACATATGGTATTGCATTTGGAAAGTCATTATATTTCAGTACTATTTAAGTATATTTCTCTAGTTTATATTTTTATTACATAATAAACAAATCTCATGCTTTGAGTTATGTCCTTCGTCGCATTACATCTTTAATTTTTGAATTTTATTGTATTATATATTTTAGAAACTTGAGAATTTGAGATGTAATCTTTTATACAAATATATGAGAAGCTGTCACTTGTCATTATTAAAAAGTCTGATATTTTTGTTGGAACACATTTTGTACAATAAACTAAAATCGTGTTCATTTTTGACAGGTTTTGATAATTGCCAAACCGCCGTGGATATAAAGAGTTTCGTTGAATAACTCAAGGCGTGAAGAATGGCTTGGAACAAGACCAAAAAGACTCAAGGACAAGATTAAGAATTGAAGACTTAGTCGAGTCGGTCTTTTGTGATCAAAACCGACAATAAATTTAAGTCTCGGTTCTCAAAAACTCAAAACAATTTTTACAAATCACAAAATATTTTTTTGTGCATCAAAACAAACATTTTTGATGATTTCTTTTATTGTTAAAATCACTGGTCCTTGCTCAGAACCGAAACCACCTAAGTCGGCGTTCGGCTTTCGGCGTTCGGTTTTTGGCGCCCGAACCAACTTCGTGGTTTTCAATATTTTAAACTCTGTTTTTACCTCTGAGCATTTTTAAAATGTTCCCAAATAATTATTTTATAAAAACCACTTTTGTATCTTGGTCAATCGGTCTAACACGTGAAAAACGGTCAAAACCGTACGCACGTATTTTACGACCTTGGAGACTTGGTTTTTACCAAACAAGTCTTGTTTTTACTATTTTATACCATATACAATATTTTTCAAACCTGGTTTTTACTTTTGGGAACACTTCGTTTTTGGACCTCGGTTTTTCAAAACGGGTTTCAGCTGGCTAGACTTTAGTTAGGTGATAATCGATTATCACCTTAATGACAATTGACTATCAGCCCCTGCAGCTTTGAACTCCCAAAGTTCTGAAGCACGCAATAATCGATTATCACTTATGCAATAATCGATTATCAGTCTTCGCAGCCAAAACCCAGATTCTTCTGAGAGGACCAATAATCGATTATCACTTGTTGACAATCGATTATCTGGGTTACCGTTGTCCTCTAACGGATAGAATTTTAAATTTTTTGGACAATGAATCTTTTGATAATCGATTATCAAGCTTGGATAATCGACTATCAGCCTGTGTCCCTGAAAAATTTATCTTCATCCTGTTGGAAACTCTAGCAACGGGTTTATCCCATTTTGGGCTATAAAATGGCACTCAAATCTTCTCATTTTACACACAATTCTTCAACATTTCAATACTCCTTCATTGCATAAGCATTCATATTTTTCTTAGCTATTTGAGAGCCAATTCTTGAAGAAATTGTCGTGTTCTTGAGCGTTTACTAGTTCACTCATATATACTCTTTGTGAGAGTTTTATTCCTGAGTGTTTAAGTGTTTTCATACACTTTAAGGGAGGTTGTTCCCTTGTTGTAAACTCGAAGGAAGTTCCTTGTTCCTTCGTGAGAAGTCTTGGAGTGCGGTATCTCCGAGCAAAGGTGTTGAGGCTCGTGTGACTCGGATTCTCAAGTTGTATCGGTTTGGTAAGCACCCTTAAGCTTAACGGAGTTAGTGTAGCTCGAGAGAGTCTCTCGGGGGGCTGGATTAGCCACACGTTGTGGTGAACCAGGATAAAATTCGGTGTGCTCCTTCCTTACGCTCTTTACTTTAACGCTCTCATTTTTAATTTCCTGCGATTTTGTTTTAAACGCTATTCACCCCCCTCTAGCGTTGGGCCTTTATTCTAACAATTTTGACACCTAATCACGACGTGTCACTTTTAGGACTAACGCTACCAAGGCTCTCTCTCCAAAGGAAACGCACATGCAAAAGGGAGGAAACTATCTCCACACCTCTGTCGTATTTCTTCAAGGAAATTCCAAAATTTACGCTTTCTCCTCAACAAAGAAACCATCCCTAGAGGAAATTTGAGCTCTACGGTCTCTTCTTCACCGAATGAGACTTGGAAATTAGGCCATCTCTTCTGTACCGAAGAAAAGTCTCGAAATTACACATATTCGCTCTTTCAATTAGGTATTCTGGTCTCTTTACAAACCCAGTATTCGTGTGGGTGTATGTGTGTCAACTTAAGCATCATATGACATTTAATGATCTATTTTTTATTAAAAGGTTTTAAGTGAATTTGGAAAAAGCTTTTTGGTATGTCAAATTATTTAAGATTTCTTTGTATTACCCAAATGTTGAGTATGATGTAGGATATTGTTAAGGATTTGTTGTTGTTGTTCTACCATCAATCTCGAATGTTGGCTACAATATTTTTATCCTTAATTTAAGTTGTATATTTTTTTACTCTTTGTTCTGAAAATTTTGATTGAAGATTTTGTAAAATTTCAAAATAGTCAATTGGAACAAAGTGTATATGGTGACTCTAATTCCACTCCCAACAAAAGACTACAAGAGGTGGAGCATTTTAATGCAGATGAGATTGCAATAAGTGGAGCATTGAGTGTTTTGATTTACAAATTAGAATGTCCATCCATCTCAAATCAAAATTTTTGTTCCCTTAAAAAAATAAATTTGGTTGCGAGCTTCTAGGGGTGTACCCTAACGCATTTAAGACCAATTTCTAATACATAAAAATTTGGGGGTGGTAAACCCATGACATTGCCCGACAATGTCATGGGATAACTCAGAGGCGCTCCAGTGCCCTGTTCGTAAAATTGACGATTCTTACTCCCATAACGCAGTAATAATAATAATAATAATTTATAACAACAAGAATTAGAATAAAAAATATAAAAATACACTACAATAATTTTTTTTAAGTTTTCCAATTTTTGAAATTTTTCAAGTTTTTTCAATCCTCCAAATTTCTTCCAACATCTAGTTCTTTTTTTCAGTCCTAAAGAACATGCTCTTAATAATTCAAATAGTGTCTACAAAGATCCGAACCAATAGAATAAACAAACCTTTTCGTTTAATACGCTATCTATTCATGAGTATTTGTCTGATTTTGACTTTTTCGAGTTATTTTTTTTTAATTTTTGACCTATAATTAAATAAAATATATATTGTATATTCATTAGATAAAATAATATTTTAAAATTATTTTATGTAATAAATCTAACAAAACTTTTTTGTATCAATTCCTTTTATGCTTTTATCATTTTTATTTAATTTGAAGTCAAAATTTACCAATTTTGACCGAAAAAAGTCAAAAGTAGACTATGTATTACCTTAAATAGAAAAGTACCAAAATAGGACTTTCATGTTTTTTTTTCTTGAAATAGAACTTCGCACTGTGGTAATGTGATTGTGATGTGACACTGTACATGTGCACATTACTATACTTTTTGGTAATGTACATGACTATGTTTGGTAATGTAAATAAATTTTAAGTCCTATTTTGGAAATAAAAATATATAATTTTTATTTTGTTATATTTTCAATGTTTTAATATTGCTTTAGTATTTCTTTCAAAGTTGAGAAATACTCAGTGACGCTGTGACGGCAGGAGTGATTTATTTTTTAGTAAAGTCTATAGTTCTAAAAAGGTAAAAAAACTTACCCTTTTAAAATTGTACACATTTATAAAGAAATAAATCATGAAACTCCATAATTTCCATTCCACATGCCGATGATATAACGGTTGCTCTCTTCTTGACTTTCTCCTTGTTAATTTTACCCACTAGATTATATTCTTGCCAGAAGGAGATGGGGATGGAGAAGATGCACAATCCGGCGACGGCGACGGAGAATCTTTTGATGATGCTTCTTTCGTTTTCTCTTCTTGGGGTTGCGCGTCTGAGGGCAGAGCTGCTGCCCAACGAACATAGAGTAATGGCGGAGTTGAAGGGGAACCTCACGTTTCCGAACAATACGATGCCCTGGAGCTCGAATGACTCCCACGACTTCTGCGATTGGAACCCAGGGGTGAAGTGCGACTGGTATGGCCAGGTCACCAAGATCCGAATCCCGAATCTGAACCTCACCGGATCTCTCCCCGCAGATCTCGGGTACCTGTCCCACTTGGTTTCCCTGGACGTGAGCGGCAACCAAATCGGCGGCCCACTCCCCAAGTTCTCCGCCCAGTTGACCCAGCTCGACACCCTCCTCCTCAACGACAACAATTTCACTTCCATCCCGCCGGATTTCTTCTCCGGCATGACCCTTCTCTCCAACGTCTCCCTAGACAACAACCCTTTTTCCCCGTGGAATTTATCTTCGGTTGCTCTCAACGAAGCCACCAATCTCCAGGCTTTCTCGGCCGTCAATTGCAGCATTTCCGGCGTCTTGCCGGACATTTTTAGCGGCGACGATTTCACCCAGTTGCAACATCTCCGCCTCTCGTACAACAATCTGACCGGCGGCCTCCCGCCCAGCCTCTCGACCGCCACTTCCCTGAAGACTCTGCTGCTAAATAACCAAGGTACCGGCTACTCTCTGGGCGGGGGCCTGGATGTTTTGATGACCATGATAGACCTCACCCAGGTGTGGTTGCAGGGGAACGCCTTTTCCGGCCAACTTCCGGCAGACTTTTCCCTTCTCACGTCCTTGCAAGACTTCCGCGTCGACGACAATCTGCTCACCGGCCCGGTGCCCGACACCCTGTCCAAGAAAAAAATCAGTTCACTCCGGGTCGTGTATCTGGGCAACAACGCCTTGCAAGGTCCGGCGCCGGCCGTCGGCGACGGCGTCGAGGTCGACGATGCAAACGTGACCAACCACTTCTGTACGCCGCAACCAGGGGTACCATGCGATCCCCGGGTCAACGTGCTGCTGGACATAGCCAAGGACGTAGGGTACCCTATTACCCTTGCGCTCTCCTGGGAGGGGAACGACACGTGCGCCGGCGCCGGCGCCGATAACAGGACGTGGGTGGGTGTAACTTGTGATGGAGAAGGAAACATAACGGCTCTCAATTTCGCGGGCATGAATCTTTCAGGGACAATTTCGTCCGGCATTTCTTCCCTCACGCAACTGCAGTCCTTGACAATGGCGAGGAACAATCTCACCGGAGAAATTCCCGGCGAGCTCACGAAATTGGCCAATCTCACCTTCGTTGATTTTTCCAATAATGACCTTTGTGGCCCTATCCCTGCCTTTACTAACACTACTACTACAAATGTCACAATCCTCACCGATGGAAATGATAGAATATCCCAAGATTGCCCTCGCCCTCCTCCTCCCTCACTTGCTCACACCGATGCGAAATTCCGAAATTCTCCTCGCCCCCATCCTCCATCACCTCCTCCTTCGCTTCCCAATTAATCCTCTTGCTATATTATTTATCCAATAAACTTTTTTTTGTTAATTATTCATTAAAATAATATATTTGTATCACTACGAACATGTATTATTATATATATACACAGAACGTTTGGTTAAATTTTATTTGTGTCTCATTAACACATATTATAAATTTGGGATGAATGCAATATGTCTCCCACAGATCAAACTTATTACTAATCAATCTAAGATTAGAATATCTACCAAAGTATGTTCTTTTATTAAGGAGCCCTAGTATGAGCTGAGTTTGTTTTCCTTTCCTACTAGCTTGCTCGTTTTGTGTTAGTATTCTTCATATATACTAGTTTCATTTTTGTGTTTGCAAACAACTAAACATAAACTCATTTTAATATATGTACATTAACTTGTGTTTTGGCCAACATTATTATTCATATATGATTGGTTGAAGTCATTTTAATGCAGGGGCACCCATAGGGGCATGCATCAAGTGCATCTACACAAGGCCCAATTTTCAAGAGGGTCCATTTTATATATGATTATTTTCTTAGTTTACATCAAAATTTACGTTTTGATTATATAAAAAATCAAAAAATATATTGGAGAAGGAATTGAAGTCTCACCATACTTACTTCAAGTTCATGCATGTTATTGGTGTTTGTCAATTTTAATTTTCTTTAATAATTTTAATGATATTGTAATCTTGTAAAGTTTTATTAATTTCAAAATTAATTATATTATTTACTCTCTATTTAATAAATACTACTCAAAATGATTTTTTTTCACTTTGTTTTATCTTTTGAAATGAAATTTCATCAAAGGTCAGTTTCTCTTTCCCTTTGTGTGTTCATCATCTCCTTCGACCGACCACCCTATGACCTTTTGAAAAAAAAACTAAAGTGAGCTAAGAGGCCAATAAGTCAATAAACAACTATGATGGTGTATAGAACTCAAATTTGTCTTACCAATATGAAATGAATGTTGTGTTTTTTTGTGTGTGCCAAAAGTGATCCAATGGTTTGTTCTCTTCAATTTATCTTATTGGTTTTAATTTGATTTTATTAATTTTTTATTTGATCTGATTATAGTTATATTTGAAGTTTTTTAATCTACTTCTACTAAGAATAAATAATCTATAAAAAAATAAGTGAAAAAAACAAACTCTTAGTCTTTCTTTTTGTTATACTCCCTAGTCCCTATATCTTACTCATTAATTTATGCGCGTAGAATCAATACTCTTTGAATTGGCAAAAAAGGCTTGCACTTAGGGGTACACCAAAATGGAGTACCCCATTTGTACATCACGCAAATATAGGCAAACACATACATTTAGTGTCTGTGTTTGCCTGTGTACAAATGAGTAACTCCATCTATCTGTACCCCTAACATGCCCCAAATTGTTTCTTTTTTCAATACTGAATCTTCATTATCTTTTAACGGTGGGATTCCCATCCATGACATGGGGTTCTCATGTCATGGGATGACTCGGGGGCGCTTCAGTGTCCCGTTCATAAAATTGACGGTTCGTACACCTCTAAACTCCCTGATAAACCCTCCCCCACCACATCACGATCCGAACACACCCCCATCCCATTCAATTGCATTCCATAAATTAACTCCTCCCCCATCCCGACCCAGTCCGAACCCATTTTGCAGTCTCCGTCAATTACACCTCATATGTTTAGTTGACTTTGGAGCCAAAATTTGACTCCAAATTCAACAAAATCTTGTGGAGTGCAATTGAGAAGGTGTGAGGATGAGTTTAGACCAGGCCGGGGTGAGGGTCTTCTTGGGGAAATTAACAAAAACTTGGATGAATCGAGAGTTGTGTAGAACACTTTCAGATTGAATATTTTGGTTGTTCACTCCAAAATTCAATCGGATAAAACTCGAAGATATCAAGAACGAGTATGAATTGCTGTGAAATTTCCGAACAAAATTCCAATCATGGCTTGCGGGAATTTATAAACTTGCGGTGAGAAGGAGAAGACATCATCGTGTCTATTACCCAAAGCACGCAATTCTTCAGTCCTTTGAAAATCAGCGCTATCCGTAACGAATTTTTCTTTTAAAAGATCCTGCCCTTGGAACCACCGATGTAACGAGATTTTTATCGTAACAAACTCAATGAAGCGTGCACTCCGCACCACCAAACTTCTTTGACGATTATTAGGATACCATTGGTCATAGTTTTTCCAATTACACTAAAATATATAACAGGTATTACCAGAAGAGTTAGAGGGTATAAACTATCAATTTTACGAACAGAGTACTGTAGGTGCCCTAATCGGGGTCGTGTCAGATGATGACATGGGGGGCTCATGTCACTGAACGCCCCCAATATCACCTTGGTTCCCATTTCATTGAAAACTAATGTCATGGGATGACTCGAGGTCCATACGGTGCACCATTTGTAAAATTTATGATTCTTACCCCCTAACCCCCAGGTAAACCTCCCACCCCCGGCTGGTCTTCACCCACCCCCGCACCCCCCATCAATTGCACCCCACAAGATTTAGTTGACTTTGGAAGTAGAATTTGACTCCAAAATCAACTAAATCGTGTGAGGTGCAATTGACGCGGTGTGGGGGGCGGGTTCAGATCATGCAGGGGTGGGGTGTTTACCAGGGGGTTAGGAAGGTATGAATTATCAATTTTACGAATATGGCACCGTAGGTGCTCTAACCGGGGCCTATGTTATAAGATGATTCAAGAATGCATGCCAAATAGGTATATCAATAGGTATATTGGCATGCCAAATACAAGCAATTCAGAAGATGATTCAAGAATGAATGAAGTATATATAGATGAGTACTCGATATTTTCCCACATGTCATTTTAAAAATTTTCTCTCATTATCAAATTTTTTAGTGCTATTGACTTAATTACAATATAGTATATGTTCATTTTTTCTCTCAACATAATGACGCACAATAGTTGATGACTTCGCTTTCGTTGTGACTTGAACTTAGGTGAACTTATTTGTAAATCTTGGAGAGTGGACTTCCTACCACCCAAATCCGGAGAATTCTCCCACTACTAGTCTTTGCTACACATCAAATTTAAAAACAAACCTATCTTTATGTCATTGTATTTATTCTTTTTTGACTTTTAAAGCAAATTAAATTAAGTTGAACTATCTTTTGGAGGAATAAATAAAGTTGAACAATTAATTAAATAGGGTGTCTAAAATAAATTCTACCATCAATAAATATGATCCATATTTTTCTCGATGGGCTGTTCTCCGTTTTGCCAACGTATTGTAACCCCTAGCTAAGCCCAAGTGATCTATTTTCACTAAAGTGGGACCCACACGGTGCCAGCTGTCTCATATTTTTTGATGGCCGAGAACTTAATTTAAACCATGTTATTTTAGATTAGAATTTTAGAAGGAGAGCTTGAAAGATATTAGAAAAATTTGAAAAAAAATAGAAGTAGTTGGAAAAAATTAGAATGAATTAGAAAATATTTAAAAAATTAAAGTGTTAAAATGTCACACAAAATTAAATGATCATTTAAATAAATATGCATTAAATTTCTAAATTTAGATAAAAGAATTTTTTTTATCTTTGTCAGGGTTTGAAGTGTTATGTTATGAATTCGAATAAATAATGTTATTGTATATTAATCATATATAAATAGTTGAAACAAATTGATAAGAGGTGAAAAGTATTGAAAGTTAATTTTTTTAACTCAAAAGAAGATGACCAAAATATTTTTTATGTGCTTTGAAGACCGAACAATATTTTAAATAATCAGACTAAAAATATACTGTGATTTATTTTTGAAATATTTGCACTAAATAGCACTAAAACTTAAGTCATTTTCTTAAATAGCATTTAAATTTATTTATTACTTAAATAAACATAATAATGTCCATAATATTCTGTGATGGTGAATATTAACTTGAATAATGACTAATGCATAATGATTAAAAGTGCTACATTGGAAAGAAAAGTACATGTAATGCTATTTAGGGAAAGTCATTATATTTTAGTGATATTTAAGTAAATTTCTCTTTAATTTTTTTTACTATATTGTTGGGTTAGGGTGTAGGTATGATTTTTTTTTTTGGAAAAAAGCAAACCTCACTCCTCAAAGACTCAAACACAGTGAACAAAATCGTACGCCACTCTCCTCTTTTGCTTTCTCCCATTTTTGACGTTGGGAAATTCCTCCATCACCGCCGTCCAATCCGCGCTCTCAAATTCTTCTCAGTCTTCTTTCTTCCCAGTCAATCCTTTTTTTCTTTTATAATTTTTCTTTTACCAATAAGAAAACGAGGAGAAAGATTTGATGATAAGAAGCGCATAAAAAAATTTGATGCTTCGAAACTGTCGTGTACAAGAAGAACCAGACTAGATTCTTGTAGGCCTCTTCTTGTTTCTTGCTGTTGTTCTTCGTTTCCGCTTCCGATAGAATCAGAACAGTGAATTATTGGAGAAATCCACTCTGGGTTTCTCCGGAATGGGTTCAAAATCGGAGCTTTTTCTGGGGTTTGTCGTCCTGGTGGCGGCGTTTGCGGTCGCGGCGGTTCTTTCCCAGTCCACAGACGCCGATGTAATGCTGAATCTGAAGAAGAGTATTAAGATTCCGGCGACGTCGTCGATCAGTTGGAACGGGCCGGATCCGTGCGTCTGGAGTGAAGTGGAGTGCGCAAACGGGCGGGTCACCAAGATCCAAATCGGGAAGAGGGGGATCACCGGGACACTGCCGCGGGACATCGGAAACCTCACCGACTTGACGGTGTTCGAGGTGATGGAGAACGGCCTCGTCGGAGCCCTGCCGAATCTCTCCGGGCTGGCCTCGCTCCAGAGGGTGCTCGTCAACGGCAACGGCTTCACTTCAATTCCATCAGATTTCTTCGCGGGTATGAATTCCTTGGACACTGTTTCCCTAGACGATAACCCTTTCTCCCCGTTCCCTTTTCCGGCGAGTTTGAAGGATTCTTCAAATCTCCGTTCTTTCTCCGCCATCAATTGCACCATTTCCGGTCCCCTCCCCGACATTTTCTCTAGTTTTCCGAGCTTAACAGTACTGCGTCTATCCTTCAATAGCATATCCGGGCAGCTTCCTCCCAGCTTCGCCGGCTCACCCTTGCAGACTCTGTGGATTAATGGGCAAAACGGTAATTCAAGGCTCAATGGCCCCCTCTATGTTCTTCAAAACATGACTGAACTCACCCAAGTCTGGTTACACGGAAACTCGTTTTCCGGCCAAATTCCGGACTTATCTGCCCTCCAAACTCTGAGAGAGTTCAGTGTGAGGGACAATAGTCTCACCGGTCCGGTCCCGGAGTCACTGACAAAGATCGGTTCGCTCCAAGTTGTGAATCTGACTAATAATCTGCTTCAAGGCCCGACTCCCAAGTTTGCGAAATCCGTTCAGGTTGATGCAGCAAAGGGCACAAATAGTTTCTGTTTGGATCAGCCCGGAGAGGGTTGCGATGATAGGGTCAATGTATTGCTGGCCATTGCTAAGGATTTCGGATACCCGACCCAGTTCGCGCAGGATTGGAAGGATAACAATCCTTGCAACCCCACACCGTGGAGGGGCATTAGCTGTGTGGATGAGAAGATATCTGTCTTAAATTTCCAGAAAATGGGGCTCTCGGGGACGATTTCGCCCTTCTTTTCGAATATCACCACGCTGCACACGTTGATTCTGTCGGGTAATAATCTCACAGGGACGATCCCGGATCAGCTCACGTCCTTGACTCAACTCAAAATGCTAGATGTTTCTAAGAATCGTCTTAATGGTAAGGTCCCCAAGTTTGATAAGAATGTTCAAGTGAAAACAGCTGGAAATGATGATATAGGGAAAGACATTCCTCCACCGCCCTCCCCTTCAACGGCCTCCTCGCCGCCTTCTCCCCCAGACACACGTCGTCCTTCTCCACCCGGTGCGACACCCACTCCTTCGGCGGGTGGTGGTAGTGCGGGGGAGAAGAAATCTTCAACCGGTGTGATTATTGGCGGAGCGGTCGGTGCTATATTAGCTCTAGCTGCTCTGTTTGGGATTATTTTCTGTTGCTTTTGCCGAACGGAGAAGAAGAAAAAGTCTGGGAAAGTGCAGAGCCCGAACACGATGGTCATTCATCCCCGTCATTCTGGGGACGGGGATGCAGTTAAGATCACGGTCACGGGATCGGGCGTAGGAGGAGGGGCAAGCGAGTCTTTTAGCATCGGAAGCAGTGCACCCAGCGGGGAAGCTCATATCATCGAGTCCGGCAACTTGACGATCTCCATCCAAGTCTTGAAGAGTGTCACGAACAACTTCAGCGAAAGCAACATTCTCGGTAGGGGCGGTTTCGGGACGGTTTACGGGGGCGAGTTGCACGATGGGACGAAGATTGCTGTCAAGAGGATGGAATCGGGGGCGGTGGGGGAGACCGGTTTGGGGGAGTTCAAGTCCGAGATTTCGGTCCTCACCAAAGTACGGCACAGGCATCTTGTCGCACTTCTCGGGTACTGTTTGGACGGGAACGAGAAGCTTCTCGTGTACGAGTACATGCCCCAGGGGACGCTCAGTCGGTATCTGTTTGATTGGAAGGCCGAAGGGTTGAAGCCGTTAGAGTGGATGAAGAGGATAACCATCGCCTTGGACGTGGCTAGGGGCGTCGAGTATTTGCACGGTTTGGCACAACAGAGTTTCATTCATAGAGATCTTAAGCCGTCGAATATTCTTCTTGGGGATGACATGAGGGCTAAGGTGTCTGATTTTGGTCTCGTTCGCCTTGCTCCCGACGGCAAAGCTTCCATTGTCACCCGCTTAGCTGGCACTTTCGGTTACCTCGCACCAGAATATGCAGGTACCTCCTCTTTTCTGCTTACTTGTTGGGGTTTATGTTATTTATATTTACTAAGAGTATCTATTTTGAGGAAAAAAATGTGTGTTTGGAAACGAGAAAATCAACAACAACAACCCAGTAAGAGTGTAAAGATAGAGAGGCTGGCACTTAAAATACTTGCCAAAAATAAAGTTTGAAAATGACAAAGTTTGAAAATTTTCAGATATCGGTTTCTGTCTTGAGAAACCAACTGCGAGAAATGCTAGTGTGAAAATGCAGTATCTTGTTGTTCAAATAAAAACAACAGAAAACATTACCAAATGACACCTTAAGATTTTGCTTTGCTTTTGATTGCATATGTTTTGTGTTTGATCAGAAATGTTACTTCAGAAACATTCTTTGATTTCTTTCTACCTTCAAACACTAGGCTTGTTTGGTTAGGGGATTTCCCATGGGACAATGTAATTTTTGTATTGCTCCACTTTGTTTAATCTCTTACACTATGTTTGGTTCAAGGAATTTGAGAGGGAAAGGAAAAGAAAATGAGAAGGAAAACATTTTTTCTTGTTTGGTTAGAGAGGAAAAGAAAAGAAAAGTGGAAGGAAAAGAAAATGATAAAGCAAAATGTGGAAAACCAAATTCCTCCCATTTTGGTGAGGAAACTAATGGAAAACCATTTTCTTTTCTTTTCCTTCCAAATTCCATGAACCAAACATAGTGTTAGTGTGTATCTATGCAAATTTTCATATTCACTTTCCGTGGAACAAAAAAAAAGAAGTAATTATTGAAACCCAATTTCACACTTCCCTTCGACGCCACCTCCAAAATCTCCAAACCAAACAAGCCCTAGGGGATCAGCCCTCCAAGCATCTTACATATGCTGCATTGTTTGTTGTAAGTCGAATGTGATTGGCATGAATGCGTTTGTCAGTGAACCACCTCAACCAAAAGCTCAAGCTCGTGGTTGTAAGCCGAGATTAGATTTCATATTAATACTTTTGATGCAGTGCCTGGAATTTTATCTAGGCATCAACTGAACCAAAAGCTCAAACTTTGTGGTTGTAGCTAGGACAAGGAAACGTTTTGAAGTCTAACAGTTTTGAAAATTGAATTGCAGTTACTGGGAGAGTGACGACAAAGATCGACGTGTTCAGTTTCGGAGTGATTTTGATGGAGCTAATCACGGGGAGGAAAGCACTTGACGAATCCCAGCCAGAGGAGAGCGTCCACCTCGTGCCGTGGTTCCGCCGGATGCAGCAGGACAAGCAGCAGTTCCGGAGCGCGGTGGACCCCACCATCGACCTCGGCGCGGAAGAAGTCCTGGCGAGCGTGAGCACGGTGGCCGAGCTCGCGGGCCACTGCTGCGCGCGGGACCCGCACCAGAGGCCCGACATGAGCCACGCGGTCAACGTCCTCTCGTCCCTGGCGGAGATGTGGAAACCGACCGAGCCGAGCGCAGAGGACGACGACTTTTACGGAGTAGATGTGTACGACCTGAGCTTGCCGCAGGCGATCAAGAAGTGGCAGGCGCTCGAGGGGTTGAGCGGGATCGACACGCCCTCTTACCTCGATAGCACGGACAACACGCAGACCAGCATACCCACACGTCCCACCGGATTTGCCGATTCCTTCACTTCGGTGGATGGACGGTAATGTCTCCGGCAATCTCCTACCGTGATTCACTGTTTCCTTTCTTTCTTCTCTTCAAAAAAAAAGAGAAAGAAGTCTCATGATCGAACGTACTAAAAATTATGATGTTTTGTTGTCTCCAATCATCGTTGAGACCTTGTCTGGCAACATCTGGGATGTTGGTTGTGTTCAAAGTTAATATTTGTCGTTCTACTTATTATTTATTTCTTATTATTTGGTCCACACACTTTGAACCACTTGTACACCAAGTTTAAACCACTTTATTTTTAAATTTTTTTACTTCAAAGACAACTATTTTTTTTTATCGAAATGGAGAGGTAACAACCTCAGAACCTTAAGAAAGGTTCCTCACTGTCACGCGCCTAGGCCAATAGTACCCTAGCTTATCCTCCTCTAGCAATTGACGTGTACCATTCGGTGGGGACTCTAAGTCTCTCCAAATCAACGCTCTGTCTTTTCCCATTCTGGCAAGTAAGTCTGCGACTTTGTTCTGATCCCTCAGAATATGATAGATGGTAACATTCCAATCTTTTCCCATCCAACTCTGACATGCCTCAATCACTTCGCGTGCCGGACCTCTTGTAGTGTGTCTACCATGAATCCATTCAACACACTCTAAAGAATCACATTGGACAATCAGCTTTCGCAAACCTTTCTTCCATGCCCACCTTAGCCCCTGCAGCACAGCACACGCTTCGGCAACTGTTGGATGATTAGTATTGCATGAACACATAAAGCCTCCTATCCAGTTTCCATCATGTCCTCGAAGCACTCCTCCACAGCCTGCGCCTGTACCATCAACACTCCCATCCACATTCAAACAGAAAATGTCATTGTCTGGTTTCTGCGAACGAACTTGTATCATGCATTCTTCATCTTGTGAGTTGTCAATAATACTCTGAATATGAAAAGCTCTCAAGATATCATCTTTTTGGTTAAAAATCCATGTGAGTTTTCCTCAACATCATACTCCATGTCCTTAAAAACATAATCTTCATCATCTGTAATACAACAGCATGTTAGTTTATTCTTAAGGTCGTCGGGCAACAGGTCCCCAAATAGGACTCCTCTAGCCATCTTCTTTCTTCCTCTACCAATTTTGCACTCCCTGCTTTCTTGTGGACATGTGGATTCAGTTCTGTGAAAATTTAATCTGAGACATGTGGTCTAAATACTTATGGTCATGTGAACATAAAGTGCGATTAATGAGGAAAAAATGGGTGCACGGCGCATATGTCGAGGGGTATTTTGGGGATGCCGATGCAAAGTTACCCCTATTTGGGGATTTATGTTTTGGAATGCTATTTAGATATATTTTCTATGTTTTAGTTCTAATTATGTTTTTTTCCCTTTAAATTAAAGTAAAGTTAACTATATGGGATTAGCATTGAAGTTATACAAAAAAATTAATAGGATTTTTGTGTTTTTACTCCAAAATATGATTATTGCACTATGACAATGTACATAATTTGGCATTATATATTTACATTTCTTAGTATATTATCTCCGTATTAGAGTATTTGTCTGATTTTTTTTGTTAAAATCGATAAAATTTGACTATTAATCAAACTTTGACCCAAAATCAACTAAATCTTGTGCGATGCAATTTACAGGGGTACAGGGGATAGGTTTGGAGGTGGAGGATTTACCGGGGGATTAGGGGAATCATTAATATTTCAAACGAACCATAGGAAATCTCGGATCATCTCATGACATTGATTCTTAATGTTATAAGAACCAACTAATTCTCCTTTTATGCGAGTGTTGTTTTACATAACCATTTAAGTCCAAAAAATTTATTAGGATTGGGCATTCAAGACCACACATTCAACTTTGGGATGTTGAGACTTTTGTGCTTGCAAAAAAATATTTTTTAATCTAGTATGTAAACAATGAAATTAAGGTCATGTTATCTTCACTTGATTTGATTGGTCCTAATCTTAATAGAATAAATTTTGATATGATTTGATTTAAATGTAGTTATATTTAAATCTATTTTTGATATAATCTGGTCTGATCTGATTCCAATAAAAATAAGTAATAAGTAAAAAAATAAGTTGGGGAGAACATGACCTAAGGACGATGATGCAAAATTTGACATGGCTAGAGATTTTTTATATAAAAAAAATATAATTTTGTTTTGATGTGACACTAAACTGAAAAACGAACTAAGATTGTTATTCTACAAAATTTTCAACAAAACACAAATTCAGGACGAATATTGCCAAATCTATACTCTATTTAAAAAGAATGGAATTCCCTATTACATTTTCCCGCCTATACATTTTAGTCACAAAAGGTAAGTGCAAAAGCTAGAATTGTTAAGTGCAAAATGTTGGTGTCGTGTATAAGGCAATTAGCAGAGAAATTAGTAGAGAAAATGGAGAAGATAGACGTGTTTATATCAGTTTGGAGAAATTAGCAGGATCATCCTCTGTTATGCATGACTAATACTCTAGGGACGGGATATCCAGCTCAAGGAAGAAGACATCGAAGATCAAAGGCAAGGGCCCGGGCGGGGTCGGGCCGGGGACAATCGCCAAAACAACCAAGGTAGCGGAGCGCCAACAACCTTAGAATAGTTATAAGAGGCTAGCGATCGGCCCAGCCGACACGAGTAACTTAGATATTTTGTAAAGGTACTTAAATAAAAAAAATGAATTTCAAAGAAGCGAAGCAACAATTTTTTTTTATGAAATGGCCAAATAGGTTTTTTTGTTTGGTCACGAAATTTTAAAAATATAGATAAAATAAATATTTTGTATAAAAAAATACGAAGGCCCACATATTTCTTCTGTCCTGCAAAACTCTTCACCTTTTTTTCGTTTCAAAAAATATTTCTCAATTCTATTAAAGACACTCTTTTATCTTACTAATTATTGACTTGTTTATCTGGTTACACTTTTTCATTATTAATTGATCCATTATATCATACTTTTAACTATCACATCAAAATCAGAAACGTTTGGTAGGACAGAAAGAATATAATAATAATGGAGAAAGGGTAGATGAATGATTAGAGTGGGGTGAGGAAAGTGAAAGGAGAAAGTGAAAGCTAATAAGGGATGACTACTCATGCTCTTAGATGCAAAAAAAGGATGATACACATACTGATTATAAACAAAAAAAACTTACGAACACTTTAGGAAATAGCGAAAATGAGAATACGGGTGGAGGAGAATATATGTACTCCGGAGTATTAGGATAGTGTAAACGGCATGGACTTCCGTTCATAAAATAATGATTGATACCCCTGGTAAACCCTTCCGCCGAGTCCTGAACCCAACTCATCTTCCACCTACGTCAATTGCACCCCAAAGTATAATTGACTTTAAAGTCAAAACTTTTGACTTTAAAGTTAATTAACTTACGGGGTGCAATTGACGTATGTGGGGATGAGTTGGGCTCGTGACTTGGCGGGAGTTTAGCGAAGGTTAGAAGATAGAAATCATCAATTTCATGAACGGAATTCCGTAGGGGCAGTGGGTTCCGTGTATAGAATGGGTAGCTAGAGTCTAGGACACATAGATGAGTTAAAAATGAAAAATAGAGATGGAAGAAAGCAATAATTAGGTTCAAAGCAAGCTAAGGTGGGTCGCCTTGACCAGACAAGAAGACACTGCTGCATTCGACGCGCCGTCGTACGTCATGGTTGTCTTCTTCAATGCTTCATCCCACCACCGGGGCATGTTTTGTGTATATTCGGACCGGAGCTCCGGGAGGGACTCCCCCGCAAAGCTTTTTTCATTATAAGAAAGGTCTCTATTGGGAGAAGATTGGTCGAGCGCGTGATGGCGGGAGGGATAGCTAGGCCCCGTGAGATGGTTAGTTACCTGCCTGCGAGGATCACGTATTGCAGTGAATAGATGTTTGCCAGCGATTCCGGCACCGGACCGGTGAGACTGTTATAGCCCGCGCGAGGAATGTTTGCAAAGATGCGAGGCGGGAGAGATTATGGGGTATTTCGCCCGTACGTGAGCTGATGGTTACTAAGGTCTAATCTCGTAAGATTGGTCAGATTGTTGATGGCGGGAGGAATAGTCGATCCCGGTGAGTGGGAGAGAATCACATGTTCTAGTGAGCGGATGGCGCCCAACGATCCCGGTGACACCGGACCGGTAAGGCTGTTGTCGCCCACGAACAATTCTTTCAAGGACGTGAGGCGGGAGGGATCGGGTTATTCCCGATCTCTCCCGCCTCACGTCCTTGAAAGGGCCGTACAAGTTACAAGTGGCGGCATGCACGGATATTAGATTTTAACTTGTGCGATGCACGGTAAAAATATTAATCCCTCGTGTCAAATGTAAAAATATTAGTTGTGCGTTTTGATTGATTATTTGATAAAACAAAATATATCCTTCCCATCTCTTGTTTTATAAAAATATTGGCATAGTTCTAAAATATGCACACTTTATTCTTAATTTCTATTCCAATCCTCAAATAAAATGAATAAAAAACTCAAAGCATTTTGCATAAAATGTAAAATATTTTAGGACGGAAAGAGTATTATAATAAGGGGCTAATAACACGGGTCCTCTCAAGGTTTATAAAATGAGCACCCATATCCCCTATATTTGTAAAAGTTATTTGTAAAACTCCTGTGGTTTCTAAATTGTGCATATACGCTCCCCGTAATCAATTTTCAAATTTATTATGACATTTATACCATTCTTTCCCTCTATAATCAAGTTTCACTCTTATTTTTTCATCTTTAATTTTCTTATTTATACAAATAATTAAAATAACATATACGCTCTTCATCTCAATTATATTTAAAATTTTTAGTTTATTTATTTTTCAATACAAAAGATTTTTTTTTGAATGAACGTTACAAAAATATAAAAATAATGAAAAATGATATAAAATACTCTGTACGAACTAAAAGAGAAAAGAATAGAAAAGATAAAGAACTACCTTGTTCTTTTACTTTGTATTTTATTTCATCTTTCTATTTTTCTATTTTATTTATTTTTTCTTTCTTTTTCATTACCTTTTGTATCCTTTTTTCTTTTGCTTCGTACATAGTATTTTCTTTCATTTTTATTTTTTAAAATTTTTTTAACGTTCTCAAAACATTTTTTTTAAATTAATAAATAATTTTTTTAACTTGAGATGAAGAGTGCATATATTACTTAACTTATTTGTATAAATAAGAAAATTAAAAATGAAAAAATAAAATAGTGAAACTTCATGATAGAGAGGAAGTAGGGTAAAAATGTATGGAAAATGCTAGAGTCACAAACATATAGTTCACAAAATTCACAAACTTTAATTTGTGGAATTGAAGATCAGCTTTTTGAATTTGCACCAAAGTAGTGGTAAAACTGACTAATCATCTATTTGTGATTCATCTATTTGCGGCTTCGAGTCTTCGACTGAGGAACCCTATTTGCAGCGAGATGGTGAAGGAGATAGCGTGGATTTGCAAAATCTTTGCATTTTTTGTGAGATTTTGGACATAGATTTTAATTTATACCAAAGCCCCAAATCCATCAAAATCCATAGATTATAGAAGATAATCTTAATAATTAGGGATACAAACTCATACTTCCTCTGTTCTAAAAAATAAGTTTGTAGTTTGACCAAGTGTAGAAATAAAAAAGTGATAAATTGTAGTTGAATTCCAATTTTGCCCCTGATGAGATGGGTAAAAGTAAGATGTGATGGATAGATTATTAGAGAGAAAAAATATGATGTGATATGTATGGTATGAAAATGTAAGGATAAAAATGATTTTTTAATAAAAAGTGAAAGTGTTTTGTTGAAATTGAAAACAAATAAAAGAGTAAGTATTTTTGAAGAGGGAGAAAGCAATTGATTACAAATAGATTTAGATTAAATAAAATCTAAAAGAGGGAAAACGAAAGCACAAATGAAAATACAGAGAAATGCAAATAGGATAATATAAAGGCAAGTGTAAAATGTAAATTGGTGCGAACAAGCTTTGAAATGGAAACAAACAGAGCCTTGACTTGACTGGACCAGACAGGACATACACTGAACGTCGTCGTCCTCTTCCTCATCCCGCCGGGCATGTTTCATTTATACGGGGAATTCCGGTTGTTATCACTGTCACATTAGGGGCGAACCCCGATGGGACCCCACCGCAGATCTGATAATTATAGGATAAATCCAATCGGAGAAGACCGGTCAAGCGCGTGATGTTCGGAGGAATAGTTCCCTTCAGGCTGTTGTACGCCACGCTCACATCTTGCAGTGTCCGGATGTCCGCCATTGATCCCGGCACCCGACCGGTAAATTGGTTCGAGTACACGTAGAATACTTGCAGCGATCTGAGGCCGGACAGGTCGGGTATTTCGCCGGAAAGCTTGTTATAGGAAAGGTCGAGTCTGAGAAGATTGGTCAAACGCGTGATGGCCGGAGGAATAGTTCCGGTCAGATTGTTGAATACCAGACTCACTTCTTGCAGTGAGGTGATGTTCCCCAATGTTTCCGGCACCGGGCCGGAGAGACCGTTGTAGCCGGCGAGGAATTCTTTCAAGGAAACGAGGCCGGACATGTCGGGTATTTCGCCGGCAAGCCGGTTATAGGAAAGGTCCAGTCTGAGGAGATTGGTCAAACGCGTGATGGCCGGAGGAATAGCTCCGGTCAGGTAGTTATTCGCCAGGCTCAGATCTTGTAGAGAGGTGATGTTCCCCAATGTTTCCGGCACCGGACCGGTGAGACTGTTATTGCTCGCGGTGAATTCTCGCAAGGACGTGAGGGCAGAGAGGTCGGGAATTTCGCCGGAAATTTGGTTCAGGTGCAGCCTGACCTGCTTCAGCCGCGGCATCCCTTTTAAGACTGAGAGATCGCCGTTGACGTTACACCCGGCGGCGGAGAATGACGTGAGATTCCGAGCTGCCGCGAGACTCTCCGGGATCTTCCACGGTTCAAGAAAAAGGTTGAAGTCCAGGGAAACATTTACCAAGTTAGATGAAATACGGAAGAGATCCGACGCGAAAGAATTGGAGGTGAAATTGTTGCGGCCGGCGGAGAATTCAGTGAGGTAAGGGAGCCCTCCGAGACCGGCCGCCGGGAGGGTGCCGTTGAGACCGTAGTTACCGATGTCGATCTTCCAAACCCGGTTGTCGCCGTCGCACCACACCCCTTTCCACCGGCACGGGTCCGGCTGGTTATTCCAAGTAGACAGGAGTGGTGACCCCGGCGGGAACACAAGGCTGTCCTTCAGCATCTTCATTGCACCGCTGTCGGGGGAGGACGGATTATCATCAGTACCGTTAACCGCTGCAACTCCGGCGGCCGCGGCCGCCGCAAACAGGAGGACCAGCCATGTTGACGCCATATATAATACGGAGTACTCCGTAACAAGATTAATTAACACCACTGCACACACGAGTGATATATGTAACAAAATTCAAGTGTAGCGTAGAATGAACACAAATTAAGAACAAGATGTAGAGTATCTATTGCGCCGTTTCGTTTAATTTATTTTTGTTAGTTACTACTTATTCGGTTAAATAGCACGAAAGCCTCCAATGATTTGGAAAATAGGCACCGAAACTCCATTGATTTTCAATATTTATTACTAAAATACACATGATTTTTATAGGATGCACACTCGCTCCCCAAGCTATTTTCCGTTCAATAGCCGGCAAATAATATGAAAAAGACAAATATGCCCCAACTTTTTTTCTCTTTTTTAAATTTTGAAAGTCATTCCACCTAATTAAAAAAAGACCTGGAACGAAGACTAAGAGTCCTTGCAATTGAATAAAGGAAAATTAAGACCAAGGTTGCAATTGACAACGGGAAACAAAAACCCTAAATTGACGGAGGGGACGAAGCAAATCTTGGAGTGAATATCATCTACTTTTCTTTGTTTACTTTTAAGATTTTGGTGTGTATGTGGCATTTTTTCCAATTGATTTACTGTTTTTGTGATGCTTTGTAAATAAATTTTATTTTATTATTCACAGAAAGATACTTTATTTACTTTGTTAACCTATTTTCATTATCATTTGGTAAAATAATATTGTTCAAAAAACAAAAGAGTTTAACTTGTACATTTTAATTTGCAAATTTTTCAAAAACTTAATAGGTGTATTAAAGAGAGACGTACACTTTTAGAAAGCTCGAAAATAAAAGTACAGAGGAATTTTCAATTAACAATTAGGATAGTGCAAAATGGAAGTAGTGAAACAAACAGACATTGGTGAACATCCAACCTAACGTCGCCCGTCGTCGTCCTGTTCATCCCGCCGGGCATGTTCCAGTTATACCGGCATTTCCCTTTGTTTCAATCACTTCCTGATCTCCGTAGTCGCCGGTAGCCATTGGCGGGACACAGCCGGAGAGCTGATTATAAGAAAGGTCGAGTTCGGAAAGATGGGTCAAACTCGTGATGTTCCGAGGAATAGCTCCGGTCAGACTGTTTCCCGCCAGGTTCACATATTCCAGTGAAGTGAGGTTCACCAGTGATTCCGGCACCGGACCGGTAAGACCATTATTGCGCATGTAAAGGTTTTTCAAGGACGCAAGGGGAGACAGGTCGGGTATTTCCCCGGAAAGCTGGTTTTCAGAAAGGTCGAGGGTTAAAAGATTGGTCAAACCCGTTATTGTCGGAGGGATAGCTCCGGTCAGGCTATTACCCGCCAGATTTACTTTTTGCAGCGATGTGAGGCGGGAGAGGTCCGGTATCTCGCCGGAAAGCTGATTCAGACCAAGATTCAGTGTGAGAAGATTGGTCAAACGCGCGATGGTCGGAGGAATAACTCCGGCCAGATTGTTACCCGCCATGCTCAAAACTTGCATCGAAGTCGCCAATGATTCCGGCAAGGAACCGGTAAGATCGTTGAAGTCCAGGTTGAGTTCTTTCAAAGACCTGAAGCGGGACAGGTCGGGTATATCGCCGGACAAATGATGATCTTGGTTTAGTGCGCTCAGCCGGAGAGTCTCCAGAGTTGCCGGAAGCTGGGAAGGGATAGGCCCGGACAAACTATGGAGCGAGAGATCAAGAAAGCGTAAGACCGGGAAGTTTTCCCCGGTGAGAAATTCCGGTAGGGTGCCCTGCACGTTAGAATTGACGGCGGAGAAAGAGGAGAGATTCCGAGCCGCCGTGAGACTCTCCGGGATGTTCCACGGCGAAAGGTAAGGGTTTTGGTTAAAGGAAAACACCTCCAAGTTAGACAAATTGCCGAAGAGTTCCGACGGGACTGAAGGGAATTGGTTGAAGTCAGCGTAGAATTCACGGAGGTAGGGGAGTGATCCGAGAACGGCCGCCGTGAGATTGCCCCCGAGGTTGAACCGGTACATGTTGATCTTCCAAACCCAGCCGAGGTCGTCGCAAAATATCCCGTTCCACCGGCACGGGTTCGGGTCGTTCCAACTTTCCAAGCCTATGACGACGGATGATCCCGTCGGGAACACCAGGCTGGCTTTCAGATTCTGCATTGCCGCATTGTCGAGGCACGCCGGACCATCATCCGCCGCAACAGTAGTAAAAACCGCCGCGAGCAGGAGGAGCAGCCAAGTTGACGACGCCATGTATACCATACAACGAAAATCGAACACACCCACACTTTAACTAATTAAAACTCGTGTTCGACTTTGAATTGCCAGCCAACATTATACGTTATTTATAGAGTAATTTACTAAAACATAATGACTTTCTCTAAATAGGACCATATGTTTTTATTTCTCAATGTAGGACCTTTGGTCATTGTTAATTAGTCATTATTCAAGTAAATGTCCACATCATTGTTGGGCATTATTCCTCCCCCATGAAGACATTATTAAATCCTATTTAGGGAATAGAAAAGTTTAAGTCCTAGATTAGAAAAGTCATTATGTTTTAGTCCTATTTAGTGCAAATTTCACTTATTTATACACACACATGTATATACTACTACCTTCCTCCCTAAATAAACTTCCTTTTTTAACTTTTTGAGGATTTAAGAGAGATATTTTTGTGTTGACTTTCCAAAAAATACCCTTGATGTGATGTGTAAAAGTAAAATGTAATATGTAGATTATTAGTAAAAAGTTATGATGTGATAGGTAGGGTATCAAAGTGTAAGGGGTAAAAATGGTTTTTTTAAGGGAAAAGAGAAGTTTATTTAGGGACAAAGAAAAAACGAAAAAGAAAATTTATTAAAGGACGGAGGGAGTATATACCTAATTTTTTTATTTTTATAAAGTTGTCTTCAAGTTCACACTTATGTAAGGTATTTATTGCACAAATACCATTGTTTCAACACCTCACTTCGTTACCCCTTATTATTATTTTTTGATAATTTCTAAATTATAGTAATACCTTTCAAACCTCATGTGAATAGTTCTTTTGCCTCATACCGTATAATTTTAGAAATATACACCAACGCCCCCACTTTTTTTTTCTTTATTATTTTTCTTTTTTACTTCTCTTTTTTTCATAAATGCCTAAGTTATTTTTTAAAATTATTCTTTTTAAAAATAAAAAATCACTTTTTGTGTTTGAAATAAAAAATGAAATGAAAAAAATAACATATATACTATGTACTTCATTTGTCTCGAATTAGATATTTTCTTCATTTGTCCAAAAAAATTCTTATTTTTTGAAGCAGTTGCATGGGATCAAAAGATTACAAAGTAAAATCTTATTTTTGACCGATGACCAATAGATTTTCTTCATGACATAATTTTTCCTTTTTCCAATAAATGTAAAATTTCATATATATTTTTTCTTCATTTTAGTTTCTATCTTTTATTTTAATTTTGATTTTAAAAACAAACATAAAATAATAAAAAAGGAAACCAAAAAATGAACAAATGGGAAATGAGCGTCAGTGCAAAAAAGAGAAATTAAAAATGTTTCATTAATTTTGTATTATGAAAATGAAAAAGGACCTCCTTTGGACAAAAAAAGAAAAATTTAATCAGAGAAAAATGAAGTGTACAATAATTCTTTTTACGTTTTTTTATTTCAAATACAAAAAAAATCGATTTTTAAAATATTATAAAAAGAGATTTAAAAAGATCTTAAATATATTTATGAAAAAGAGAAGAAAAAAGAAATTAAAACAATAAAGAAAAAAAGAGAGCGGACATTGCTGCTCATTTCCAAAAGTATATGGGCGAGCAGATCTATTTACCTAAAATTAGAAAGATATTTTAGGCAGAGGCACATTGACATAAAATTTTAAAAACATGAAGAGCAACGACGTAAATTTTAGTTTTTTAAATATTGAATTTGTAGTATTTAATTCCCAAACATTAAAATATTGTATTTAATTAAAAAAATGTTGTAAGTATTTAATTCCTAAATTTTTATTTTAATATTTTTCATAAAATTTTATGTATGAATTGTGTTATAATAAATAATATACGAAATATAAATTATTTATAATAATAAATAGAGTAGACTAAAAGTGAACCCATGAGTAATTAATTAAATGGATGGATGAGTAAAATTAGTTGTGAACGTTTGTTTAAAAAATAAAATATTAAAAATAGATAATATGGGGATCATGTGAGCGAGAGAAAATGATTGGATTGGAGAATTTTAATTATAACGGATGGGGATGCTCTTATATCCAACATGTTTTACTTTTGATTTTTTAAAATAAAATTCTTAAATATTTTGAATGTTAATAAATTCTCCCTCCCTCCCAAATTAAATATAATTTTCACTACTTATAAAGTCAAGTTTTATTTACATATTTTCGTTAATCATTTTATAAAATAATATTCTGCATAGTCATATCACAACTTATTTTGTAGAGCTTTGATATAGTTTTATTTTAAAATATTTAAATTTATTTTTTTATTTCACTTCAATTGTCTTGTAAATTGAATGAAAAATAATCAGTCAAACATTGTTCAAAAAAATACTTCATCCGTCCCTTAAATTCTTCAAACTTTTTGAAAAATTTAAGTGAGGGATATCTTCGTGTTAACTTTCCAAAAATAACTTTGATGTGATGGGTAAAAATACAATGTAATGGATAGATTAATAGTATAAAGGTATGATGTGATAGGTAAGTTAAGAATTAATAAAAGCAAAACAGATTTTTTAATAGAAATAAGTATTCCCTCCGTCCGGAAATATTCTTCACATTTGACTTTTCTTGGTCAAAGTTTGTAAATTTTGACAATGATTTGTGGAAAAAAATACATTGTATTATAATGTAAATTTAATACCAATATATTCATAATGAAACGTAGTTTTCAAAAATCAAATTTTTATAAAATATATCTATGTACAAATGTAGATATTAATGGTCAAAGCACAATATTGAAGACCGTAAAAGGTCAAATGGAAAGAACATTTCGGGACGGAGGGAGTATTAAACAGTGAAGTTATGTTGACACTGACATCGAGTGTAAAACATAAAAGGAAACATAAATGATTATTTAGCATTTAGCATACCATGTAGAACGTATTACTGTGTAACTAATAATACAAGGCCGCAAACCGATATAAAATTTGGACTCCAGCAAATAGATTAATTTTTGATGAAATGAAATACTCCCTCGTCCCAAAAAGATCGTTACGTTTCATTTTTTGCGCATCTCTTAAAATACTTTTATATCGTCTCAAATGCCAAAAAAACTTTCAAAACAATTTCATCTTATAATAAAGAGTAAATATGGTAAATTTTAGAATTTTTAGATGTGAGTAGCATTCCTTTTTGTGATGCGCAAAGAAATGAAATGTAACGATCTTTTTGGGACGGAGGGAGTAGAATACGACTCTATTTAGTCATGGGCAACCGAGATTTAAAATTCTGTTCAAGAGTCAGGGCCAATCTTAAAACATGTTGGATTAGTATATATTACGAAAACTGATATTTAGTCAAGGGCAAATGTATGTTCTAATTTCAAGAACAACAAATCCTAATGGCTTGAAGATTTTGATATATAACAAAGATGACGTTCCCACGAATTGTACGAGTAGTGTAGTTTATAAGAAATTTCTTAAAATTTGTAACTCATTTAATTTTTGTACTTTTAAAATAATGAAAAGTCTATAAGCATGTTTGGAATAGCGATAGCGTTTTGAAAAGGCTATCTACGAACAACGTTTAGCATTAACGTTTTCAAAGTAAATTGTACCATTAAAATGTAATCCAAAACACTAAAGCTATTTCCAAACAAGCTCTATATTCCATTATATGTCAATTTGTATTCTTCAATAACACTCCAAATATTTAATAACGTAAATGCGAGTCGTGCAACACACGAATTTGATAATAAATTGAAATGAAAGGAGTATAATTTTAATTCACAAGTCCAAAACTTTAGTAAAGAGTAAATTTCATAATTAGTCCTTTATAACAGGGGGGTTTCCCTATTTAGTCCTTTATTATCAAATATTACCCTAATGGTCCTTCTTTTATGGGTATCTTTCCACAAATAGTCCTTTTTGGTACTTCGGGATCATCTCAAATAAATAGTATAACAATGTCAAAACTTGATACACATAATTGGTACTTCGGGATCATCTCATCAAATTGATAAAAACTGCAGATATTTTTTATGAAAAATAATAATAAGAAGACACCTACCTCAAGAAAAGAGCAGCGACACTGGTACTTGAGCTCCTTGTGAGTATGCTTAATTTGCTTCTGAAGATTAAAATTGAATCTCTTTATGCCAAATTCAATAACACATCACAACTTTCATAAAAAAAAAAAAGAATACCACATATATCACAAGTAGAAGTTAGCCTTATCTTCTTCACGTACCTGTAAAGTCTTGAAAACCATAAGTGAAGCAAAGCTTGTTGATGAGTTAGATGGTAAAACCCGTTTCTAAAGTTCAACAAGAAGTTACTATAAACACAAGACGTTACATGTCGATGATCTACTTAGTCAACCTACAAATAAAAATACATTAGAGATTCAACCAGAGTATTTCAAGTCATATTAGTATATTACCCTTGAAGATTAAAAGTCAGTTACTATAAACACAAGACGTTACATGTCGATGATCTATTTATTACTAGCAAATAACATACACATCCTGAAGGGTTTCGATGATCAAAACAATTTAAAAGTAGTGAAAGAGAACACCCTTCAAGGCAACCAAAAGCTGCACGAAAAAAATAAATATCTGAAATAGTATATAATAAACAACTATAGCCTGTATTAAATTCAAAATAAGAAAAAACTCAACCGCTATATGGGGTTCAATGTAATATATCAAATCTATTCAAGCTCTAAATTGCCAACCTAACTACAAATAAACTAGCCTTTAAGTGTGAGGCCACCCTTAATTGCCAACCTAAAAAATCATATTCTAAACACAGAAGAAAACTGACCATAAGAATTTATAGCTGAATCTAGAGCAATTACCACTATACCTGAATCTGGTGCTGCTTCTTTAAAGTGTGAAGTGTCATTCGTCTTCTCATGTATTTGATGGCCTTCCCCGAGGAGTTTTGTACCCTCCAATGAGCCCTAGGGCTATCATGTGCATCTGTTTTGGCTTCTTTTTGGGCACACCTGTTATGTTTTAGTATATCAAATATCAAAACTAACAGAAATTTCAATATTCATTTGAAGCAGTCAATCAAGAGTAAGATTGAATCCAGTTTCAAAAGATATTCAATCCTTTAAACATGGCCAGATTATACACACAACCAACGAACAAATATTTAAACATTAACACATATATGGAAATAACCTGACCTGTAATCAAAAGTTTAATTTCAATTCAGTGAAATCTTTAGAACATAAAAAATGTCCTCGAATCAGACTAAACATGCTGCGATCAATGAACAATGGAGAAAACATTACTTATAAACTAAGAAAAGAACCAGACCCAAAGAGTTGTCCTCAGTAGCAATGGTATCAAAAGAGTTCAATGTGACACTAACATCAGTTGAGGAAGAAGCTGAGGCCTGCACAATTTCAATAGAGGAGAGTAAACATGCAGAGTGGTGTTTACCACTGCCTATGCCATCAACCCTGCATTTTTTTCCTTCGCTAATTAGTGTACCATCAAAGACAAAATTTGTGATGTTTTGGTTCTGAATTTTGCTATTCTTATTCTTATTATTATGTCCCATAATCACAACACTAAAGAACGAGACCCAAGTTTTAAAAACTCACAACAAAGAGGGCAGCAAGCACAACAAGAAAATACCAACACAAGCACCAAAAAATTTCA